ATAGGCTTCGGCTTAGGCTTAGCCACTCGCTTGCTGCTCTGTTCTTGGACCGCTCCAAAGACTATTTCATTAGTCTTTTCACTGTCCTGCTCATAATAAGTATGTGGGATCGATGAGTAATGCCTTCGATGCTGCTGCTGCTGATGCTGATGCTTCTGGTGCTGCTTTTGCTGCTGTTGCTGATTGGGGAATTCTGCATCCCAGCTACTGTAGAATGCACGGCTCTGACGCAGCTGCTGCATTTTCTCTGCGTCTTTGGACATAAAAGCATAAGTCTTTCTTGGAGTTGGGTTCCTGGGCTCAACTGGAGGAGGTTCGTCTTCGTCTCGAATCACAAAGCTCTCTTGAATTGGCCATGGAGTTGATGTGCTAAATGCAGCAGACTGCTTTGTTATCCCATGGTACTGCTGATAGCTGGTGCCTGTCTGCTTTTTTCGGAGGATCTCCATAACGGAATCCCAAGCATTTGAAACGAGTTTTCCCAGCGATACCACAAAGGTTTCCTCTTGTTTCTCTAGCTGCTCGTCTCCGGTTGGAATCAGAGACGGTCTGGATGGTTTCATAGGCTTTTGATCAGGATCAGCTTCAAACATTTCTTGATCCTGTGAAAGAAATATTTGAATAGTTAAGCAGAAAATTAATAAGACAGGCAATGTTTGAGATATTTAAAGAACACTTAGAACACTTACATTATGAGAAGAAACGATAGAACCGACTCTTCGTTGCAACAGAGCCAGCATATAACCAAAGAAACCTGCAGCAACGAGAACCGCAATCCCTGCAATACATTGAATTCAGAGATGATTATTCAAAGAGTGAAACGAGACAAATCAGTCCATTAGAAAGAGGGTTTGATAGTTTTGTAAGTTTACCAAGAGGAAACCCACTTCCATACTGATAAGCACAGTCATCGAAATGGAGTTGAATCTCTCTGATGGCTTTATTTCCTCGGTCAATAACGAGCAGAGAACAACTACTTCCAACATAAACAACATCAAAATCATTGGAAAACTTTGCATCTTCACTTGGTCCATCCACATGCCCTCCATTTCGAACCGTTTTGCCCCCAGCAATTGTTGTAACTCCTTCACATCATAGGCATTTAAACTCAGTACAAGATACAACTGTGTATATAACAAAACTACCTTAAACCATCCCATGAAATGCAGTTATGAACAAACCATTACCTCCTTCACTTATCTTCCGGATAGCATTATTCACAGTGTCTGCCACATATATGTTTCCTCTATCATCAACCGTAAGCCCTTTAGGATGATTCAGCTTCGCATCACGTAATCTCCCGTCCACATGACCCGGATATCCTTCAGGAGAGCCAGTAACCAGTCTCGGCCTGCTATCTACAAGTGTTTCCAATACTTTCCATATAAATAAAACTCAAATACAAAACATTTCAAAACAAGAACTCAACCAAAGCGTTAGATTATATTAAAATGCAGCTTATATGCAGAAAGAAACACTTTTGCAAACCAATTTAAGCTTTTTGTTTCTATTCTTAACCATTTGAAAGAAACACTTTTGTTTTAGATCTCATCTTTGAAAAAGTCAGTTTCAGCAAACGAAGTAAAAATAAAGTACTACTAAACTGATATCATCCCCGACAAACTCACTCCAGAAACGACAAAGATACAGCAAAATCTCCATAAAATAGTAATAAAGCTCAGACTTAGAATTTTCAATTGAAGTACCAAAAAAATTCCATCAATTTTTTCCATATGCAGCATCTTTGTACTACAGTCCCCATGTGCATTCAGTTTTAGGTGATGACAAAAGAACAATCGTGGTCTAAACCACAAAATTTGTACTCACATAATGAAAGAGAAGATGAGATCTTGTAGATGTTACTGTTCTCAGAATCAAGAATAAGTAGCTCGCCGTTTGGTAAGACTTCTATCGAATACGGTTCAATACCAAGTTTGCTTCCATCGAACACTGTCTCTACACTATACCCATTTTCAAATTTCACCATCGATCTCGTAGCAATAGCTGATTCAAAAAAAGGAGAAACCTTTATTGATAAAAACCTAATCTTGAAGAAGATAAAAAAGCAAACTTTATGATCAGAAAAGGGGAAAGATTCGAACTTGGTTTGGTTGTGGTTTTGAGTGACCATAACCATTTCATTAGAGAAGAGCCATGATTTGAGATAAACCCATTAAGAATCTCTGCGAAAAGGTTAAGATTTGAAACAATTAAGCAAAGATGGAATCATGAAACTGAAATCGAAGGTTAAGAAATGTGATTACACTTACTTGCAGGAGAATTTGCTGAAGGAGCTGAAGATACAAAGCCAGAGAAGAGTAGAATGAGAATACTTAGAACAAGAAAATCTCTACCCATTGATTCGATTTTGAAGAAGAGACAAGTTTTAAACTTTAGAAGAAGCGGCAGAGGAAACAACTAAGAAGCTTCCCTGGGGAAGAATAAGAATGGCGGACAATGCGAAGATTTGAAATTTGAGGTTTCTCGAAGAAGAAGGAAACAGAGAGGTTAGATTTGTGCAGAGTTTTGTTGATAAGCAAAAAAGAGTGAAGACAGTGTCTCAGTGGGAAAGAGAGAGAGAAGAAGAGTCATGTGATGCGATCAACGTCGTTACTTTTTTAATTAAAAATAATTGAAGATGTTTTTGTATGGGTTGGTGATTAATTTAATTTTATTGTTTGTTAATTAGCAATATCAAAATTTAAACTTTTTGAGTTTAGTGGAATAAGGCCCGAACTATATTCTCTGGACCTGGTGATTACATAAGTTTTATGTATAAAAAGATCAGCTTTTCTAATTTATGTGATGGAATATATTCTATAACCACAGAATAAGTACAAATTTTTATATCATAAGTAGAATATTGGTAAAGATTGTAACTTTTTTAGTATGAAAGTTTTGGGTATGGAGCTTTATTTATCTTTTTATGGTTTAGATAATATTTTAAGAGCATAACTCATACATGTCTTTTATATATAGTTATTCACTTATTCTATAATCCTATAAAATAATGTATAGAAATTTTAAAGTATACTGATAATTTTGTTATATATAAAAATAATTGATGATATGTTGGTTTGCTTAAGTGTTTATAAGAATATTTTTGTTGAATTCATACAAATTTGTAATACTTAAAAATCACTCTTAAATGCAAAATAGTCTTCAAACCAATATACCGTATTACAAAAGTTGCATTAAATGCGAGTTTATTTATGGTTAATAAATTGTGGTTATCATGTTGTATTAAATGGTAAATATATATATATATTAACACAAAAATGGTAAATAACTAAATACAATATATTTTGGAAATTAGTTTAGGTTTTGACCCCAAAAAAAAAAGATATTTAACTAATTTTATGAATTTGCTCTGGCTTTCTTTGAATGGCCACTAACTCTAGCAAAAAAGGCATCCAATAAAGGAAGGGCACGTGTCATTTAAGGTCCATTTAGAGTACGTCACGTGTACGAAGGTCACGTGTCTGTCTATTTTTTACTCGATCTTTTTGTTACGACGATTAATAAATGGGTAAAGTAGTCATTTACACACAGTCAGAGTTTACGACTAAGAGTCAAACAGTGCATATATTCTCGCACCAATATCCTTGTTTCGCGCTGCCCTTATCTATTTATTTGTAAATTCACTTCTTGTTCTTTTGTTTTTACCTCTTTTCACTTCTTGTTTTTTTTGTTTTTTTACCTCTTCTCTCATATTTAAAGACTAAAACTCCATAATGTTTTATTATCCACCAATTGAATCTTATCTACTAAATAACTTTGTTTCAAACATTTTATCATACAAAAAACAAACATTGTCTAGAAACTTATTTAGCGACAATAAAGCTTTTACTAGCTTGATTTACAAGACTTTGGACACTGCTTTTAATCTTTTAATATTGTATAAATATTTCACTTGGCCGCCATTTTCATGCTGATTTGCTAACCAAAAATGTGAAAATGAAATGTATTGGTCTTTTCATGTGAGCACAACGGTGGACATCTAGTTGTCTTCTGAAGCATTCCTTTTTCCGATAATTGATGTAGTATAGTTTATAATTAACGTAATAAACTCATACAAAACAGAAAAAAGTGAAATTAAACGTTTGTGAATAACATTTTTTTTTTCTGAGAATAATTAGGTGCTCGCAACTTCGGATGCTGATTCTACTAAAAAATTGGAAACAGTGAAAAACATAAAATAAAATAGTGATATGTTGAGAAAAAATAAATATTTTTTTTAGCGTAAATGGAAAAATGTAAAAGCCAAACAACAAAAGAAAAGAAGCAATGAGAAAGAAGGTGAAAAATGGTCCCCTTTAATCTTTAATTGATAAAAACACTTTAACTGGAGAAAAGAAGATTCATCAAGAGGGAACTCTTTTTGTTTTTATAGGAATTTCTTAAAAAGTATCAACATATATATAAAAATAATTATCCTGACTTTTTAAATTCAAAATAAAATAAAAGTTATTCAAAAGCAGAAATAATAAAATTTCTTTTAGTAAATCATTTTTCACCAATGTAGTTTAAACTCTTAAGAAAAAAAGAAGTTCCAACATAATTATGAGTTGATAGTTTGGTGACGCTTGAACCTCATGGGCTGGAAATAAGCAAGTTGAGCTAAACCTTACCAATCCATTGAGTTGGCAAAAACAAAAACTTTTAACATTAAAAAAAAACCTCGCAAGCCACGACCGTCGGATGATAGAACAAGAGGATCGATCGTTGGGGAAATAAATGGACATGACATAAAATTACAAACACCAATAACTTTCTCTAGTTGGTCCCTCAACGACAACAACATGAACCTCTCAATTCTTGATAATGACTAATGTGGTTGTGCCCATAATGGAATTTAATAAATTTAAATAGAAGGAAATAAAAAAGTTTCTGTACAAGAGAACAAAAATAGTTCCTAATTTACCCAAAAGAAAAACAACCGTGAAAAGAGGCAAAAAGAAAGACAAATTCTTCAAAAGCCTATATCATGTTTTTTACATTTTGATGTTGTTATGTTATTTTTTGGCACGTCCCCACTTTAAACGATGCTTTCAAATGAAACTTGAGTGTGAGAAGATGTGGGTTTTAAGCTTGATGATGAGTCTCCAAGGCCTCTTAGGAGCTTAAGCACGTCGGCTTCATCGTCCAAGAAGTATTTAGCTTTGCTTGGTTTTCTTCCAACCGTGCATGCAAAAACCTCTGGCTGAACAAGAAGCTCTGGATTTGTCACTGTGCTTAATATGCTCTCGAACATGTCCTCGTCTGATCTATCGTCTCCTATGCACATCACCATTTCTGGTGGCTCCCCGCGTTCTACCATTCCGCGGATTACCTTTTCCGCAGCTAAACCTTTGCTTACACCCTGAATCCATTACAATGAGTCGAGTCAAAACTAATTGGCAATGAGTGAACTTTAGATTCCGGTCTAACTTTCGATATGAGATCCTAACATTCTCAAGCTTTGCAAAGTACTTGTGTGGATATGGAAGTGAAGAGATTCTCTGCTTTTTTACTTACCTGTGGTTTGACTTCAACGATGTGTTGACCTCTCTTGACAACGACAGGCTCATTGGCGAGAACACTCTCTAGATGATCAAGCATCTCCTTAGCTTGACATGATCCAAAGTCTGGATCTGCGTCTTGATGGTGCCACACCAAAGCACTTTCTTTAAACTCGATACTCGTCCCATCCGTTGCCTCCATATACGATCTCATAACTGGTTCCACCATTGACCTCCACTCTGTATCCGACGACGAATAACAAGTCTCCCACTCATCTTTGCTATTCCACCTAACACCCACAAAACAAAACACAAAAGTATCTTTTAAGTTTATTGAGAACCCCCATGGAAAAGTAAGACAAGACTGCATTTATAATATATATACCTTATGAAGTATCCGTGTTCCGCCGCTATTCCAAGATTTTCACAAGGAGATAGCCAATTGCTCAAAGACTCTTTACCTCTTCCACTAACAATGAACACTGTGTTATTGGGATCTTCACAGAGAGCTTTCAGAACAGAGACAACCTCGGTGCTTGGATCTTGAACAATGGAGCTTTCAGGAACAAGAGTGCCATCATAATCAAGAAATATCGCCCTTCTCTGTGTTTTTCTATAAACCGGGAGAATGTGTTCTACGGATAGCTTCCTGAAACTTGGAGAGAGCGACAAAACTCTGAACCCCAATCCAAATCCAATCCCCCAACAACGTTTACTATAATGATCCCGGCACGCTCTCTCAAGATCCTGCATAAAGCTCTTTGCCCAGTAACCAACATCATGAGTGCTAATATAGTGGTAATGTTTCTCATGCCGTAATTGCTTCTCGGCCTCACTCATTTTAAGAGCCGAGTTCACCGCCTCAGCCACAGCATCTACATCCCATGGATTCACCCTAATGGCACCACTCAAAGAAGGCGAGCATCCAATAAACTCAGACACAACAAGCGTGCTTGTGCGGGGCGATGAATCATCAAGGGCCTTGTTTCGAGTCCCTTGTCTGCAGACTATATACTTATAAGGAACTAAGTTCATACCATCTCTCACTGCATTCACCAAGCAACAATCTGCTGCAGCATAATACGCGGTTTTCTCAGAACGTGGAACAAGACGATCAATCAAGACTATCGGCTTATGATCAGAAGTACCGTAACGCTCATTGATCCTTTTCGCAGTCACATACGTCTCTCTTTTAGCTTCTTCCACATCTTTACCAGAGGATCTTGCAGGGTTCACTATCTGAACAAGAACAACTTTCCCTCTCAAATGCCAATAAGTCTCGAAGAGATGTTCCATTGCTATAAGCTTTAAGCTTATACCTTTAAATATATCCATATCATCGATACCAAGAACCAGTTTTTTCCCTTTAAACTGTTCTTGAATCTCTTTCGTTTTCGCCGCAGTAGAATCAAGATTCAAAACAGATTCCAATCTACCCATATGAACACCAACAGGAAGAATTTTGATATACACAGTCCTACCAAAGTAATCAAGCCCAATATGACCGCGCTTAGACTCATAATCAAGACCAAGCATTCTACTACAACAAGACAAGAAATGCCGCGCGTAATCAAACGTATGGAAACCAATAAGATCACAATTCAACAAACCTCTCAAAATCTCGTCACGAACAGGCAATGTGCGGTAAATCTCGGAAGAAGGAAACGGACTATGAAGGAAAAACCCGAGTTTAATCCTATTAAAACGTTTCCTCAAGAAAGTAGGAAGAACCATAAGATGATAATCTTGAATCCAAACATAATCATCCTCAGGGTTGATAACTTCCATAACTCTGTCTGAAAATATCTTGTTAGCAGACACATAAGCTTGCCATAAACGTCGGTCGAAACGATCTCCATGATCAGGAAACATTGGAAGCATGTAATGAAAAAGAGGCCATAACTGATGTTTACAAAAACCAAGATAGAACATTTCTTGCAACTCTTGAGACAAAAACGTAGCAACGCAGTTAAATTCCTCTAAAAGCCTTTGTGAGACTTCTTCTTGCTCACTTGTTTCGATATCAACGTTAAGTGATCCAACGTAGAGAAACTCTGTTTCTGATGAAAACCCATCTCTAAGTTGTAACTGGAGAGAGTCTTCGTCCCAATTAAAACACCATTTACCAGTTTCTGCATCTCTTTTAGATTGGAGTGGTAACATATTAGCTACAATGATCTTCCTCTCACGTGACCCACCGGAGGAAGAAGTAACTTCGGAGGTTATATCTCCTCCGTCTACGTCGGTGATGATTCCAGGGACAGTCATGACGCGTGGAAGAGTTCTTGGAGTTTGAGGAAAATCTAAAAGGTCCCAAGATGATATGTCTAGAAAATTAGCACAAGATCTTGACACCATGGAGAAACAGAGCTAAACAGCTTCTGTCTGATTCCAGAAACCTTAAAAATGGTAATATCAACAACAAGAAATAAAAATCAATTACCTTAAAATAAAAAAAAACTTTCTTGTTTCAGATTCAAGAAATTCATAATTTCAGGCTAAAATTAATCCAATAATTACGCCATAATAAAACGGATCAAGATTACATCAAAACTTTTTTTCTTAACATAAAATTTAACTCCAAGATCAATGAAACAGTTTACATAAATAAATAATCTTTATAAACGTTTAAACGAAACAAGTGGAGGAAAAAAAAAGTCGTCAAATATGGACGAAGAAATCGCCGGAGACTGACCTTTCGCCGTCGTTTTTGATCGTTAAAAACGAACGAATGGAGAAGAAAAAGTAAGCTCGTGAAAGAAGGACGAAAGAAACTCGGAACTCTCTTTTGGATATTCGTTCCACTGAGAGAAAGATACAGAGAGAGAGAGAGATTAATGCGATAACGAAGAGAAAAAAAATCGATATATAGCAAATATACACACATATACACGTTTTTCTAACGATCTATTTTTGAGATTTTTTAAAAATAATAATATAATTAGTAGCTTTTGCTCTGTACGGTTTTATCGCGATAATGTTTTGGATAGTTTCTTGGGAATTACGTTAATGTGTGTAGGATGGATTATATTTTTAAAGATAATCTTCTTGTTATTGGCATTTTAATTAAATTTAGCAACTTGTATCTTACCTATTTGTCTGGTGTTTTTATGGATATAATGAGGTCCCCTTTTTTACATTTATAATTAAAAGTATATATTTGGTTATTATTGCCAATTTAATTTCATCAATTTTGTTTTTTTTTTTAACAAAATTCATCTATATTAAAAAAAAAAATTTTGCAAAGGAAACAGGATTCAAATCATGGTTTTTCTTTTCTTGAAAATGAATTATTATCTTAATGAAGCAGATAAGCATCATTAATAATTGTACAAACCTTTTAACACGATTAGTTGATATTGCATACATCTCTCATTAATCACAACTGATAACTAAATCTGAAAATATTAAATAAGTATTGTGTATTTGAAAATAGCAATAATCGTAAACTCCTTATTTCGTCCAATTTTTTTTTGGAAAATATACGTAATTATTATACTCGTAAAAATGAATACCACCAATACACAAGTCGTGATGATACTAATTAAACAAACAACTACAAAAAAAAAATGCTTTGTTGACAAGTCGTTTCATAGTCACATAGAGTCTAAGCTCTACAAAGTGGAAACAACGTTTTAAAATTAAATAATCGGATCGTTATCCACTGGTCAAAGTTGAAACACCTACACACGATCAACTAGAAACTCTATCCATATATAAAGAATATCTTAAGTTTGAACTGATATTATTTATAAGATTGTGAAGTATTAGAAAATCAACTAAACTATATTGTGAATGAATCATGCATTTATATACATTTAAGTATCAAATTTTGTCGACCAAGAAGATTTTGAGTATTAGCCATTTAGGACGACGTCCACTAACCATATGTAATATGTATTTACGAAATTACTCTATAGACTGAGTGGCTTTAAGGTAAATAATATTGAACCTAAGGCCTTCTTATACATCCACGTTGCCTCGACAGCCAATGCGGATTGGGAGATTGGATCCGACGTATCCGATAGACTCTTTCTTCTTATTTTTTTAAGCTTTTTATTTGTTTAATTTTCAACAATTTTACGTCCATTTGATAATTTAAAAAGAAAAAAAAAATCACGACTCTATCTAGTCTCTTCCTCTACTCGAAAAAGCCACGCGCATGCGTCTTTATACCAACCAACCAATATTATTGATGCCTTTCTTTAATATAAAGAAAAAAAGAAAGCAAAACACTTTCTTTACTATATACCTTTCTTTATTTCCATAAATAAATACATTCTTGAATCTTTGATAATATTCCCCAAAAGAAAGAAAAAGAATATATACTTTCCGCCCACACACAAAAAAAAACATTTTCTCTTGTTTTCGTTAATTGTGTTATTTGAATGTGTTTCTTAATAGTAACAAAACATTTTTTATTGAAAAAAAACGTTTTATTTATTCTTTCTTTATCCAGACAGACACCAACGTCGGCTAAAGGTGGGGCTCGTTGATAATGAACCAATGAGAATTAGACACGAACTAAACTAAAAACGAGGATCAGAATGTTTCTGTGAATGGATAAGTGTTTTGAGGGATATGATTTTTTTTTTTGCAAAATGCGTTTCCACTTACGTAAGTAAAAGTCAAAACATATTAAACCAATGAAAAAATTACACGTCAGAATAATCAAAGTTTTTACATGGGAAAGGATCTGTGCACGTCTGTATCAAAGCCAAAGCCCACCTTTAGAAGCTTCCCATTTTTTCTTTTATCATAATAGTTGTCTCATAGCTGTAACATCCAAGTACATTTTCATTTTTGGATATTTAACAATTTTATGAAACTGACATATTCAAACTCTTTTAACACAAAAATAAATAATTCTTTTGTATTACACTGTTTTGTGTTTTGTATTTGTGTTACAATTAGCTGTCATTGAGTGTGTAATGTAATACTATGAAATTGAGGTAGAGATTTTTTTTCCTTCTTGAAATTTGTGTTTTGTTATTTGTAATCATCAACGCATTGATGTTTATATAGTTAAAGTCGGACGACAAAAATATTAGCTTAGATGGAATTGTACGGTATCAACTACATTGACTACGACATCAAACGTACAAATTTTTTGTGTCAATAACTCTTTCAATAATAATTATTATCACAACCACAAGTAATAGGTAAAAATGATACTCTTATAGTATTAAGCCTTCTGAGTTTACGTTATTAACTCAAAATTATAATATTTCATACCCGACAAGAAAATTCATGACGTAAAGAATATAACTAGGGACACATAAAGACGAATATACTAGTAGTGGTTAGAAATCATACAAAAAATCATCCAATGAGATTGCTTGGAATGGTTTCATTAAGAAAAAGAAAGACTGAATTTGAGTCAGAAAAAATAAAAATTAAACGATAGAGAAAAGATAACCAAAATTTAGAGAAGCACGTGGTTTCAATTTTTTAAACAGTTGAGCTGTTCTTTGAGTAATATTATCCAAAGTCAGATCGCTTTCAGACAAATTAATACCAGTCCGACATTGACAGCTCGATCAAATGGATCCTCATCTTCGGATTTGGTCCGGTCTGACTAATTCTGACTAGTTAAACCGGTTTGAACTTTTGAATTTAGTCTTCATGGCCCATTAGCCCGCTCCAAGCTAAGCACTTCCTGGACTGTTTTTTTTTTCTAATTTTGTTTGCGACCATTATGAATTTATGATGATATAATTCAAATTCGACCGTAAAACTGATTCAAAGAAATGTATACAAAAGGGACAATATTTTGACTAAAACATGGTAACTAAAACATACCATGTTTTAGAACCAATAATATAAGCAATATCTTAGTGGTTTGTATTAGTAGTGTCGAACTGTCGATGTTTTATTACCATGATTAGAACCCGCATAATGTAAATTGTTATATAAATAAATAAAATTGGGAAATACCAGCAAGCAATATGGGACAATGTAATCACAATCTCGTTACACATATAATTCACACATATCATTTGTACACAAGTTTGTTACAAAAGAAGAAAAATGAACAACTCTATATTTGGCTCTAAAGGGAGGATTTCTTTAGCTATAAACTCTATTAACCTTTAGAAAAACCTCCAAAAAAAACAAAATTTCTTTAGCTATATCTAATTCATTTTTCTTTTGGCAATTTAAAACACAACAAAAGCATTTACAAAAAGACCAAAATACCCCCTTTAGACATGGTAGATCATACCGACTTCTAAAGTAGAAGCATTTGGCGAGGTAAGCATGTTTCTAGGACCTCTAGTGTTCCTCCTAAGAAACTCGTAGCCAATGTTAATGGCGAGTCTCTTTACTAATCCTGATCCTTGCTTTGCTTTCATATACGCGTTTCCCATTATATAAGCCACGCCTCCCTCACGCGCCTCCGTTAGCTCCATCAACTCCTGTCTAGTTTCCTTCTCTATCTTTGGAGTCTCCGGGACAACAAACCTTACTCTCTTTTTGATCTTACTCTTACTCTTCTTCTTTGGTTTTGGTGATCGGATCTCTGACGTCCCGGGCTTATTAGGGTCGTCAAGATCGCTTTCGTAATGATCCTCGATTCCTTGCATGTATGTAGAACAAGTTCCGACTACCGACATTCTATCTTCATCCTCTCCGTTGGTCTCTGCAGCGGTGGCGGTTGCAGCTTCAGTACGGATAAACTCGGCAATGCTACATACAAGATCGCCTTCAAACTCAAAATCGTCTTTGTGGACATCACGGTACCCGAACCGGACAATGCAACGGTAGATCCGGAACTCTTTTGGGCCGATACGTCCGACTAGAAACCGTTCCTCGGGTCGGACGTGTGGAACCGGAACGGATTTGACACAGAGGAAGACGAGAACCTGGTGGAAGGCAGGGAGGTTGGTGACAAAATGAGAGAATATTGCGGGGACACCAGAGACAAGCTCCGTGTGGATGAGTCCGAGGCCACGGACACGTGCGATTCCTAGGGTTTGACTGAGGCTAAGAAGCCAGTTGACTGAGACTTTGTTTTGGACGTCATATTCGTAGCGCTTGAGGGTTCCGTAGTGCCAAGTGCACATTGCAAGAAGGAAACAAAAAGCGAGGGCAATTGGGACCCATGCTCCTTCGAGGAATTTGATTAGGGAAGCTGAGAAGTAGAGAGCTTCGATTGTGCCAAAGAATACGACAAATGCGATTGCGAAGAGGACGCTCTTGTGCCAGCAGAGTACGATCACTAGTGACATTAGGCACGTCGTCACAAGCATAACGGTTATAACCGCCAAACCTAAAGAAACAACATTATCACCAGTTATTTAGTGATGGTAGCTAGAGCAATGGGGTTCAATCATGATTTAGGTTCGGGTTTTTCGCTTATTCGAATTCTTTTCATTTTAACAAAATAGTAACCAAACTAAAATAAAATGATTTGAGTTACATACCTGAAGCATTACCCAACCGCTTGGTGTCTCTGAAGCCGATGGTTACAGCTAAACAGAGGATCATCAAGATCCAATTGATCTCAGGGATGTAAATCTGACCGTGAATTTTGGATGACGTATGAACTATCTTCACTTTGGGGAAGCATCCCAATGCAGAGCATTGTTTGATGATCGAGAATGTTCCAGTGATAATGGCTTGGCTTCCAACTACAGCAGCTAGTATGGCGATCACAAGAACTGGCCATCTTAGTTTTTCTGGTACAGATACATAAAACCCGATATTGTATTCGCTTTCGATAACATGATGCTGAGAGAGATAAGCTGCTTGTCCCATGTAGGCGAGTATCAAGGACGGGTAAACAAGTGACGTAAAAGCAATCTGCAGCAAGAGTTTGATCATCATATATAAACTTCCAAGACGAAAAACTGAAGGAAGTTAGAGAAAAGAAGAATTCTAAAAAGTAAAAACCTTGATTGAGAGTTGAGAAAAATGTCCCAGATCCGCAAACATTGCTTCGGAACCTGCATAAGAGTAAGAAAGTGAGTAAAGTTTTCTTCTTCTTCTTCAGCTCGTAAAGCAAACATGATTTTGTTTTTATGTTTTGAACCTGTAATGCAGAGCAAGATCCCACCAAGAGACATCCAACCTTTACTTTGAGTTTTCTTGAGGAACTTGTACATATAATAGGGAGAAAGTGCTTCATAGACATGCGGGTTCCAATGGAAAATGTTGTAAACACCGATGGCGCTGATGCACATTAGCCACAATAGAATCACCGGTGCGAACAAGAACCCGACTCTATGAGTACCGTAGTGCTGGAGTGCAAACAACCCTATCAGAATTATACAAGCAGCAGGGAGTTCTATGTCTGCATAAACAAAACAAAAAACACCAAAGAAAAAGTTTCAGACACAATGACAATAACCTTGGCAAAAGGTCAAAACTTTAACAACTGCGAGACTCGTTGAACATGACAGTTGCTGATGTGAAACTCAATAATAAAGTAGAATGTTATACAAAGATCCAAAATTTTGGGTAGATGAGGGAAGAAGATCAACTAATTAGTTTATCCACTTGATGTCCAGAGAAGAATCCAAACGCCTATTCAATAACGTGGGCCATCAAATTAATGAACCGAAAGCGATATAGATAATCCCGAAATCTTGATGGCGCCACGATATTCAATTCGTGTTACGTGCAAAACTCTATCAAGCAATCAAATAAACAGATGGTGGGAACAACGGGCTCCACAGTTAAGAAAAGAAACCGACGACTTCAGTATGATTCTAGGACCCAAGCTTTTGAATAAACTAGACTCAATGTGTGACCAAATCATCCAAGAACTAAACCAAAGTATCCACCACAATCACAATGAAATAGGCCTAGGCTTTAGATTAAGACAGCCTACGAAACTAATCAAGAATAGTGAAAAAAAAACTCACACTTGTGATGCTCCTTAGACATTGAAAGCTCAACACCAGATACTGCAGAAAAAACTGTAATAGACAAAACAGTAAAATGAACAAATCAATGATCTTGTCATTGACATGAAACAAAGAACAAGTCAAAGAATCGATATTTGTTTGACTTCTTAACCTGAAATCGCAGGCGTAAGAACACCATCACCAATCACCATACAAGTCCCAATCAAAGCAAGAACAAGCAAAATCTTCTGCAACACTCCATGTTTCTCAAGGGTAGATTTCAAACTCGCTGCAAAACCCGTTTGAGGCATCGACGACGACGACCCAATCGAGTCAGTCTTATACTCTATAAGCTGCTCATCAGCCAATTGACAACTCGGTAACGAGTTGACTCGTGCGTGTCGACATAGAAGAGAGTAAAGAGCAAAAGTGCCTCCTTCACCATTATCATCTGCTCTAAGAACTATGAAAACGTATTTGAGAAGAGGGACAAGAGTGATTGTCCAAAAGATGAAAGACAAAACACCAAAGATCTCTTCATTGGACTCAGAGTGATGAATGTCTTCAGCGAATGTGCTTTTGTATACATATAAAGGAGAAATACTCAAATCTCCATATACAACACCTAAGCTTTGATACGCTAATGTCAACACTGTTCTCCATGATTCCTTCTGTGATCAAAAATCAGAAATCGATGATTACGAGGAAAGAGAAGAGAATTTTTCGTAAAGGTAAGAACTTTATGATCGAATCTGATGATGACTCACCTTGGCAATGTTTTGATAACTTCCTGATTCGATTTCCATGGTGGGTTTTTGTGAAAACTCAGGAATTTGAGAAACCCATGATTCAAATCTGTGTTTATTTTATTTACCACTTGAAAGTGAAGAGTTGAGAAACAGAGAATGGTTTGAGAAAGAAGAAAAAGTTTGAAACTTTAGAATCTGTTTGATGGGTAAATGCTAGAAAATTCGAGAAACTCGTGAAAGGAGCAACACGTAGAGGATATTTGCGTATGGGTTTCTGGATTTGGACGACAAAGGTGAGATTTTTAAGAAGAAAGAGAGCGACTTTTTTTTTTTCTTTTTTTTAGTTAACCAGATTTTGAAGTTGCTTACTTGTGTGAAAGAGAGATTTTGTTTCGGCTTTTTAGGAGATACAATTATACAAAGAGACGTTTTTTGTGTTTTTAATTTATAATAATAATTCAGACTTCAGAGATATAATTTAATTTACATATAAGTTTACTGAAACATATTGATTAGTCAAACTTCTTATGTTAAGATTTTTATTTTATTTTAGTAATTACTATTTAATACCAAATTTTTTTGTAATTATGAGGAGAGTTAAAATGTGAAAGTGAGAGTGAAAAAGGAAATGAAAAAGTGTGGCGCTTGATAAGTGGGATGTCGATTCATATAATTCAAGCTTTCTATAAAGTGATTATCAAATTACTTTTAAATTATGTTCATATTTGAACACAAATTCTAAAGCTAGAGAAAAGATAAAGGAAAGTAATTATTATTGGCTCTATTTAGTCAAACCCAACTTTACCATCTCTTTTTTCTTACATCCCATTTTTATTCATTTACTTGGCATAATATTGTTAAAAAAAAAGTTGGGTTCTAGCTATTAGAATTCGACAAATGTTTTATAATATCCTTAATTACTTTTCAACATCCATGATTCAAAACTTGTTTTCGTTGTTAATTGGTTCATTTTTTTTTTCAATGGTTCAAAATTATTGGCGACTTGTTTTAACAATTACACTTATTTTCTTCTGTCTCATTGCTCCATTCAAAACAAAAGCAATCGAGCGAATGAGGGAGCATGAAGCCTTGAGTTAACACTCAAGCTACTTAATCTCAACAACTACAATTTTTGTTTAGTTTTATCTTATGATATTTCTATAAATGAGAAATGTAAAACCCTTAACCAAATTTTTAAACAAAAAATAAAAAATTGATGTAAGACCCACTCAACCCTTGTAATAATTTAATATACCAAGTTACTAATATTTATGCTCCACGGCATTTATATTTTCGTTTCGTAGCACGAGTTGGTTATAAATAAATCATAATACAATAAGTTATTGAATAATGTTATATTATATTTACCAAACATATTGTATAGGACTATCCAAAACACCCATGCGTTTCTAATTCTAGCAGCCATCTATATTTTATCAATAAATGTTATATCTATTTACTTTTAGCTTCGGTGGTGGAATGTATAACAAAATAATTCCCTTTAGTAACTACTTTTTGGGTAATGGGTATTACTCCATTTAAGAAATAAATGAAAATATATTGCCATTTGAGGTTTTATGTGGAGAGGGTGATCAAAAGGCAGACACATATATGATGTTATGGGTCCTCTCTTATTTAATCTTTTACATTTGTTCCATTTTGGTGTAACGAAAAATGCCAAAATTAAGCTGACGGCATTTTACATTTTGCACAATTATGCGTCTACATAGAGTTCCACATATTGGTGGATAATTTAAAGTTTTAGAGAGTTTCTTCAAAAGTAAAGAAAACAAAAAAAAAAATACTACAAAATACTATCATCGAAAATTAAATAGAGAGAATCCACACGGCCGTGGTCTAGTCATAGTAAGAATTTGGGGACAGGTTGAAAATGAATTAACTCAAGTCCCATCGATTTTAGAAACAGTTAACATGGAAGTCTAGTAACAAATGATATAACTACCTCCGAATATTAATCGGAAAGCATTTCAAACTTAGAATTAGACAGTGTAATAGTCTAACACTTTGGTGTTGGCGACGAATCCACATGGTAGTATCTTGGTATATTTTTTCAGAACTAACCGGATTCGCCAATCGGATATATTAAAAAAGAAGTGTAATTAGAGAGTAAGAGAGATAATTGATCCACACGCGTGCATGATTATTAAGATCATGACAGCAACCGAGAAGCGTTTACGACGATTCCGGTTTTCCACAAACCGGTTTCCACGTGGTTCATCTCTGGACACATTCTGAAGCAATTGGAACCCCGGTTAATATGGCGTGCGATATTGGACATACACGTGTGCAAAGAACGTGAAGTGTTCTCCAATTTCTGCAGAATCACAAACAATAATTGTCAATGATTCGATTCTTTCTTATCTCCTCATAGGTCGTATCTGAAGACACCAAAATTGTCCATTTGTATGAATTTGTAAGTAAACTATATATTAATATATATGGTTGAAAAATAGTTAAAATAGAGTTTTTCATATTTGAAGTCCCCAAAATTCGATTATTTCTTATCTCCTCATAGGTAATAATATCTTTTTTTTTTTTTTTTTCCGTCAAACACCATTTTATTAAGTTATCGGACAGAGGCTTTTCCTCTAGAGAGAGCAATCCGAAACCGATGTGCTTAGATGGAAGAATAAAAAACCTCGTGCTCTTGCCTTTTTTGCAAGATAGTCGACACATACATTGTTACAACGCGGAATAAATCGAATATAAAACGATTTATTATGTCATAATATCTGAAGACACTAAATTGTCCATTACATGAATTTCTAAATAACCTATATGGTCATAATACTGCATGTAATTCATTATGTTGAGACCCGGTCCATGGTATTGATAAGATAAACTATTTATGAGTTTCGATTCTTGATTAAAATATTACAAAAAAACAAATATAATGGGATAAAACTATTTGAAGATTGTTCAAATTATAAGAGAGTTTCCTACTTTTGTTAGGTAATGGTTCTTTTGTCGCTGCATCCCCGAGTTTGCGTCATTACAGCATATTACGACTATGATTAATACGTTAACATCTACTATTATTTTGCTCTTTAATTAGTTAGATATTGACTTTACTTAGCCACCGATGGCGTCATTGTTTGGTGGAACTCTAAATTTTTTAAGTTGTTTTTTTTATATAATAATTATTTTGTATTATTTTGGTCGTTTTACCAGTTTAGAGTAAAAACAATGAAGAACTCAAAACAAAATTAACGAGAAGAAGAAAAATATAAATTTTCGGTGTAAACATTTTTTTTATTTGTTGTTTGAAGGGTTACTTTGCTACGATAATCAGAATTATTTCTCTTCTACTTTCTTTGGTTTTTTCCTGCTAGCACGAGTCAGACCCTAAAGCATTTTATCAACACTCCCTTTGAATTTTCAGTTTAGAAGACGTGGGAAGCATTTAATTAGAGCCACGAAAATGATCCCACATCTAATAATAAGGCTTTAAATAATAATATTGCAATCCTCGAAGCCGACAAATCTTATGAGGAAAATTACATCCGACAACAATATTTCGGATCAATATACTCATTAGCATCATGTCAACCAGAAATCTTCTCTATTTTATTTGAAAGGTAAATAGAACAAAAATATTAAACAAAATTTGTTTCGCAATTAAATTGTATATTAAAATATTCTATACAATTTGTATATATACTTTTTAAATATATACAACTTGATTTAAAAAGTGTACATAAAGTTGGTTTAACTATTTTAATTCTCAATTTAAACATAGACCGGATTAACTATTTTTCAAGATATACTAATTTAGTTCTTAATATAATAGAGTACTGTAATTTTTCCTAATTTATATTGTAAATATACCACGATTTTAAATTTAATAAAATCTTAATAATTGTTTATATCCGCGCATGGACTGAATCAACCATCTTGTGTACACAAACACTATTAAATGCTCACCTAATAAACCATATACTATAATTAGTTTTTCTTCGCCTTAATTAAGAACTCTACTTATAATATGCTGCTTAAAGGTTTTGGTTTTGTTTGTTAAACTTAAAAATATGCTGCTTAAAGGTTCAAGTGGCAATCCAACTATTTCACGAAGGACCCATTCATTGGTATTATTAGGAATGGAGAGCGACAGAAAATCAAATATAATTGATGATTAATTGGTATTGTGATGTCATGATCGATGTGAAGTTGTGAACACACGTGTATAACGATGGTCAACGTCTTGTTATAACCCCTACGTCGACAATACCAGTGGACACGTGTCCGAGTTCTGTTGGATAACCTACTGTTTTGGACGGTTGATGATGTAAGCCCAACACGTTTTTTTTCTTAGGCCCATGAAAACAGTTTTTTTTTTTTTCAAAATTCAAACATACATATATATATGTATTAAAGATTTATATGAAAATTGTTTAAGGCTAATAAACAGAGATGGATAGTAATTACTAGTTGCATCTCAGTGCAGTCACAGACCATTGTTGAGCAACGAAGAAACATTACATTCTAAAAACTGAAACTTTTTATTCATCAACATCATCATGATTCATCTCTACGCGAAATTTTTCATAAGTAAACGATTTCTCTTCTCTTTCTAGTTGGCTTTCGAATCAATCACCTTCTTAGCAAAAGAGGGTAAGCAGAAAGCGGCTGAGTGAATCTGCAATGAAAAAGATCGAATCGATTTAACGATGATTCACATACCTTTCGAAAAACAAGCGTAAAATGGTTACTATTTTGTACCTCAGCGTTGTAAAACTTCAAGGGTCCATGTGATTTGATAGAGCTTTCATCAGCATCTATTGGATTCAATGGCTTCTTGAAATCGACATGTGGTCCTTCAGTCGAACAAAGCATGAATCCAATGACTCCGCTGCAAATGAATCGCATACGAATTCAAATTCTTGAAATCAACGCAAAAAGAAAAAGCATAAATGTTTTCAAGATCCATTTCAAAGACCTCGGGTAAGTTGGAACGCTAGTCCAAGCGTAGTTAACAGATCCTTTAAAGATCTCACGGCAATTCGAAACAATGTCTTCGATGATGTCCATGTGAAGCCACAAGCTTTCTGCTTGTGTGCACACAACACCACCAGGACGAAGAGCTCTATTCACTGACTCAAAGAAAGGTTTCTCAAATAGCTCTTTTGCTGGACCAATCGGGTCCGAAGAATCAACAATAACTGCATCATAAGTTCCTTCAGCAGCATTCTTCAAGAAAGCAACACCTGCAAAATGGCAACAACATTGTTTATAAAAACTGTTCTCAAAAGAGAGAGATTCAAGCAGAGCATTGTGTACCATCGCCAATGACGAGGTTGACACGAGGATCCTCGTATCCAACTGCTACATTAGGGAAATACTGCTTAGCCACCTGAAGAAAGATCCCATAAAGTGGTAGGAAACATATTAAACTTTAAGTAAAGTTCATCTCAATGTACTTGCAAAATGCAGAACAGATAAAAGGAATGTGACAACTCACATCAACCACCATTTTATCAATCTCACAAATGTCAATCTGCTCAACAGAACTATGACGTGCCACTTCCCGCAAGACTCCTCCATCTCCTCCTCCAATAACCAGGACCTGAAGTAGAATAAGAAGAAACAATTCCATAACAAAACCCACTTGGTTAAAGTTATATATTCCAATAGCATTTTAAGCTCCTCAACCACAAATCAAAAGCAAGGGAAAGTTTCAAACACTTCAATTATTGACCTTTCTTAAACACACACCCAAGAATACCTTAAAGTATCATCATTTTGATGTATCCCAGCTCAAAACAAGTTCTATGGACATAACTAACAGACAAACTCTAGTTACTCACCCTAAAAGCAAGAGACTTTGATTATCTAAGCTATCTTAACAATACACTCCATCACAAAGGGTGTACACACATACACAAATATAGAGTTTGGTTGATAAAGAGATTAAGATTGTTCTAAAAGGATTTACCTTTTTGGGGTTGGAGATAGAGCACAAAGGAAGGTGAGTGATCATTTCTTGATACGCACATTCATCTCTCTCAGTGAGTTGTATCACTCCATCCAAAACCAAAACCTTTCCATATGTTGCAGACTAAGAGAAATACACAAAGTTGAAAACTTTATACAAAGTACACCAAACTTAGAGAATATGAGACTATGAACTAAACTAACCAACAAGAAACTGTCTTTGTTACCTGGAAAACAATAACATCTTGATAATCAGATTTTCCTTGGAATAGAATCTTCTCTACTTTCAGAGAATGTGCTTCTCCTACAATAACCTAAATTTAGACCTCAATTGGGAAAAACAGAGGAATAGAGTGTAAACGTCAAAACAATGGAGAATCAAACCTGGCCACATAGGACTGATCTCAGAGAACCATCCAGGAATAACAGAGGACATACAAGCAGGCTCCTTTATCTCTCCTCCACCGTTCTCTGTTTCCATGGCGGCGCCGTTATTGTCTTCCTCTGCTTCTCTAGGTCTCTTCACGGGTAAATCAGTAACGGAAGCTTCTTGTGTTGAAGACATGGATGCTAAGAGAGACAGTGAGTGAGAGATTAGGGTTTTAGTGTGTGTCTCTATCTTTGTGGCTTTGTTGTCTTGTGAGAGTTGTTGATGATGATATAAGAGGAGGGGCCAGCAAATATCTGCCGTACGATTTCGACTGTTATAAAATATTATATTCAATTTTTGTTATTTAATTCACTGCGTGAATAAGGAAATTTTCATTATTTTGTGATGATGATATCTCTGAATAATTGAAATCAATCATGACAGCTTTTTTATTTTATTTTATTTGCTTTTTAAGCAAACAATGCATTGTTTCAATTTGATAAACGGTCCAATTCTTAATAAAACTTTTGGATTCTGTTTAGTGTATTTTTATAGTGTACCGCTTATTTTATACAAACCGCACTTGTCCCGCAAATATATTTCTCCCGCACGTCCCGCAGTTGAACCGTACCGCACTGTAATACCGCACTTCTCCCGTACCGCAAAACGCAGTTACCATTCGGAGCCTATATCATCAAAACCAGTGTTATAACAAGCGGTTTACGCAGTCGTCTAGATTCCACTAAAATCGTTTATGTTTGTTTTATATTATGTTTTCAATTTCAAGTTGCACAAATTTAAATTATAAATTTTAGTTTTAATGAAAATTTTAGTTACACACTGCTCGCTTAGCACTTTGCACTTTTTTGAATGAAAAATATTCAAATATTTTTGAAAGTTGTTGTTATTTGTTAAAATAAATTGCAAACGCCAAATAAGATTCTTTAAACGCGTTATGAGGAAGCGCTCTCACACGTGTGGAATGTGTGTCAGTGTGTACCAAAAAGGTGTGTCAACTTGTGAAAGCACCTATTTCGAGAAATGTAAAGTCACGTTTTGGTTGATGGAGGAGAAATGTTGTGCTGTAAATAGAAAATCTTTCTGGCGGAAAAAAAAAATAGAAAATTTTTCCATCAGTATTGCATTAGAGAATTTGAATTGTATTGCATGTAGAAAATTTTAGAAAATTGTCAAAGATAAAGATCTTTGCATTAAAGATTTTGTATCAATAACCAGCTATGTACGATGAGCTTATCCCGGATCGATTTGTCGATAGTATTAGTGGTGATTATGCGACCGTAAAAGCCTACAAAATATGAATCGGACGTCGTCATATCCAAATTCTTTTACATAAAACTTTTATCGCTTTATGGTCACAATTATTCTCGAAGATTATTGTGGACAAGTAAAAACTAAAAGAGCATAATAAAGTATTTTTGTATTTGTGCTAAAGAGCATCTTTTCTTTTGAAGAGATTCTACGAAAAAGCATAGGCTGAGTAAAAAGATAGTGTTCTGACATTAAGTAATGTCTTGAAATTTGTCTTTAGAATTTTTGAAACGTTAATGTATATTTCAAGTTAAGGAAACAACTTCAAAGATTTCACAAAATAAAATAAAAATACAGTGTTTTAGTGAATTGAAGTTAAAGCTCTTCAAAACCGAAATAAAAGGCTTAATTACTTCACTAATTAATCATTTGAAGTGTTAATGATTGGAGTGAATCTCTAAAACTCTAAAGATTTCGAGATAAATTGTTGAAAGATGACTTCCAACTTAATATCACAAGTTCTACGTGGGTACCAACTCATGTGGCAGAAGTTTGAACTATATATTAATAAGCAAATGAATTTAATTGTCCCTTTTTAAAAGTACATTTAATTTACATAAATGGAAGGCCTGCACAAAATATCTCAATGCGAAGAACCAAGCCGAACCCGACCCGAAAAACCCGAACCTAAAATTTTTAAATATCCGAACGGATTCTAAACTTCAAAACTCAAAAATTCGAACCCGATCCGAACATGAACCGAACAGGTACTCGGACTTACTTGAAATATAAGTATATATTAATAATATTTAGTAATATTTATACTTGTAATAAGCCAAGTACATACAATATTCGAATTTTTTGGGTATTTTTGTTATATTTTTCTGTATTGTTGATTATTTTTTTGATAAATTCAAGTAAAAATAGTTGTATTTTGTTTGTGAAATTTTGAAATTTTCAAGTAATTTGATAGATTTGAATAAGATTTATATACCATCACTACTAGCGAACCCAAACCGAACCCGATCCAAATTTTTGAAATACCCGAACAGGTCCTAGATTTCTTGACACGAAATATCTGAATCCGAAAAACCCGATCCGAACTCGACCTGAATACCCGAATGCCTAGGTCTAATAAAATGACTCTAATAATTTTTATTAAAATCTGCTTACACTCATATAATCCCCATAAACATATTCTAATATTATGAATGTACTAATTTTAAGTACATTTTTGGTTAAAATCTTATTATATTATTTTATCGATAATATATTATATGTCATGGTATTATATATTTCTATTACTAATGTTCAAAAGTAGCTAAACGCTAATTAAACACTCGGCGACAGACTAAAATTGATGCATAGGCCAATTGATCAAATGTCTAAGCCAAAATAGTCGTTGAACCAAAATGGAGAGTATGGGTGGTTCGGTCGAGACATTTTGATAACAAATACTATACCATTACATTATCTAAATTATGACTTTTGTCCAACAATTTTTTTGTTAAATTCATCTTTGTTTTTATCACCTAACTTTTTCTTGTTATTCATTTAAGGAAATCTGTTTTACTGTTTTGTATTAATTATATTAATATGAAAGTAATAACAATAAATATATAGACTGCATAAATATTATAAATTAACTTTACTGTAATTTTTTTCCTTTTCAGAGGACAGTCTAAATAAAAAGATAACTCATATTATTGTCTTATTTGCCTCTTGTCTTAGTGTCCTTTAATTTCCTCAATTTCTGGTCTTTATATCTTTTAAAGGTATAATATATAGATTACAATACAACTTATCTCTAAAATGAAAAGATTATCGTTTTATACTCAATCACATGCGTACACGTAGGAATGGAACAGATTCGCTATCCGAAATTCAACAAAAACCCTAATGAGTCAAAGCACCTTTCCTTTACTATATAAACAATCCTCACGCCAACAAAACAAACACACATACCAAAGATAATTAATATGAAGAAGAAACTTTCCCTCATCGAAAATGGAACATCGAGAAAAAAATCATTCAATAAGAGGAAGCCAGAGGAGTTGATGAAGAAACTCACCGAGCCGGTGAATCTCTGCGATTTCAAAGCATGTGCGGTCATCTACAGTCCGTACAACTCAAATCATGAAGCTGTGCCGTCAAGAGAAGGTGTTGAAGAAGTAGTGTCGGAGGAGTTTATGGAGGTTTCAAGGAATGACCGGAACAAAAATCTGATGGATCAAGAGGCTTTTTTGCGTGAGAGGATCGAAAAAGAACAAATGGAATTGAAAAAATTGCGTGATGAGAACCGAGATTTGAGGGCTCGGGAAATTATGTGGGGATGTCTCGGTGGAAATATTGATGTGCATCAACTCGGTGAAAAAGATCTTCAAGATTTGAATTCTGTTATTGATAACTATCTCGATAGCGTTACTAGCAGGATGGAGATCCTTAAAAAGAATGGTGAGTCTTCTTCTTCTTTACCTCCTCTTGTTGTTCCAGATCTTAATGTTGAAGAGGATGGAACAATTCTTTCCATGGATGGCAGCCACCACCAATCCGAAACTACTCGTCTCGCTACCATCACTACCACCGCTGCTGATGCTTGTGCTCCTAACATCACCAATAATCCTTAGTCATAAGGGGATTTTTATCCGATCGAAGAATTTAATCAATTGCATTTCTGTTGTCTTTCATTTTAAAAGTTAAAATTTCAAAGTGATGTTTCTTTTGTTTTCTGGTTTTTGTAATAATTAAAGGTTTTTCCTTTAAATCTGTTGTTATGTTATTTTTCAATACTAGGTAATGAATTTGCTTGGAAATTTTTTAGTTTTGTTTACAGAAAATATAATCGCCATTCACATCAAGTTCAAAAATCTAGAGTTAATAGTTAATACCCAATACAACACCCAAGTAATTAAGAGGATTATGATGAGTGTTGGGTTATTTCACTCTCCACCTTATTTGCCTCCGCAAGAACCATTCAGTAACTTTGAATCGAAAATTTTTTAACTACAGTTCCGAGAATATTATGATCAAATATAATGGAACAAAGATTATTCTTAATCAAAACATATGAAACGGAGGAAATAATATATATGTCATGGTCATATAATTTTATTACTAATGTTCAAAAGTCGCTATGCACTAACTAAACATTTGGCGTTGACTAAATCGTCTAGACAATTAGCTAGTCATAAAAAAAATATATACGTATTATTGTTATTATTAATCTATTAAATTAATGTTATTATTAAAAGATGATATTTTTTCTTTGAATCATCTTTATAAACTAATTTAATAGTCTCGGGCTCGAACTCCTTGTGGGTGTCCTGGGTCCGTCACTATTTGATCCGTCAAGGTACTTTCTGGGATGTGAAGGAGACTACCTTAAGCTCTTGGCAATGGCGTAAACTTTTAAAGCTTCGGCCTATAGCTGCAGATGTTCATACTGAATGAAATTCGGAATGGCCAAAAAACTTTTTTTTGGCTTGATAAATGGCTTCCTATGGGGCGTTTAATGGACATTGTAGGGGAAGGTGGTATATGTTCTCTTGGTGTGCAGCGATTTGCCACAGTCTCGGATGCAATTGCAGAGTCCTCGTGGAACTTTAGAAGGTGTCGGGACAGAAAGTGTGAGGAGATCAAGCAGCACATTTATGGCTTACCAACTCCGATCTCGGGATCCGGAGACGATGTGGTTCTTTGGCGCCATTTGCATAATGAATACCGTTCAACGTTCTCAGCACCACATACATGGGAACAGATTCGCACCGTAGTGATACCAAGGCATGGAGCAAAGTAGTCTGGTTTTCACAACGAGATCCCCGGTTTGCATTCATCACATGGCTGACCATAAAAGATAGGCTATCAACAGGAGCTCGGACAGGACAATGGGGACACGTTCAGCACTTCAGCCTTGTCTATTCTGCGCGGAGCCTGTTGAGTCGCGCGACCATCTGTTCTTTGCTTGTCCCTACTCATTCATGGTATGGATAAAGGTTACCGGCAGCTTGATTGAACCGGCGCCTGACCCGGATTGGACTGAAACGCTGCACTACCTTACGACGCACTCATCGGAAGGTAATACGCATATCCTTCTAAGGCTAGCTTTCCAGGCAACAATATATTATCTCGGGAGGGAACGTAATGAAAGGAAGCACAATCTACGCTATCGCTCTCATGACCAACTTGCTCGACTCATTGAGAAAACAATCAAAGCTCGTATAGTGTCTCTACGTTATTTTGAATCTACGAAGTTACAAGGCCTGCTGCAAGCTTGGTTCAGAACAAGGAGCAGCCTTTAAGTGTCATGCCCTGTTTTTGATCGTTTTGGCTCTGTTTTGGACTGTTGTAGGTCCTCTGTATTTGCTCTACTTTTGGTCGATTCTTAGGCAAATAGTCTTTGATCAAACTCCTTTGTATATAGTTTATATTTCTTAATCAATTTCACATTTCATCAAAAAAAAAAATTGAGCGTCTAAGCCAATTAATGTATAGCCGTATAGGCCGATTGATCAAATGTCTAAGCCAAAACATGTAGATGGTTTGGTCGTGACGATTTTGATAACATGCATATACTACCAATTTTGATAAAAATACATTACATTATCTAAATTATGAAGTCCAACCAATTTTTTTCTTTTAAAATCTTTTTTTGTCATTTAACTTTTCTTGTTAGTCATTTAAGGAAATATATTTTACTGTTTTTTTATTAATTAAACTAGGACTCCGGACCCCCGCGATGTCGCGGGGGAAAATATTTCAAAAATCATTTAAAAAAATATCAAACAAAAATTAATAATAACGATAGTAAATGATTAAATGTTATAACAATTTATAAAATAAACTTAAAGTTGCAATTTTTCGTGAAATAAAACAAATGTTGCAATGGTTCAACTAAACGGTTGCAACCATTTTATTAAAGGTTACGATAAAAAGATGCAACAGTAAAAGATATTTACTCAGATTGCAACTTTCTCAAAACACATAACATAAAATATATTTTTAGATTAAAAATAAATAAATAAAATGTTGCGATATATCAAAAGTTACAACGGTTCGTCAAATAAACTAAAGATTACAACGGTTTGTAAAACAAAACCAAAAATTGCAATGATTGGTCTTATAAACCAAATATTTCAACGGTTCAATTAAACGATTACAAAATTATTTAAATACATTTTAGTAATTAAAAATTAAAAATATTAATTTATAAAAAGTTATACCGAGAGACGCGACGGTAGTTAATTAGATGTTATAGCAATCTTATTATTGTTTATTTTCTCGACCGGCATACACATATTGTGAATTTCTCTACCTAAGTGTTTGGTTAGAGTGAGTTGAAGCTCGATTGTCAAACAAACCATCAACTTATAATGCATTTATATTTATATTGATGAATTAATTGAGTAAAAAAAAATTTCCTTTAATATTCATGTGATGAACTAGAATTATTGCTTTTTTCCTAATAACGGAGATTTTTTCTGGTTTATTATACCATTTGAAACGGTTTATTTGACGTTTTCCACATTTAAAGCGACCAACACATATGAAAAATACAGTAGATAGCCATATTGCTTGAGGATGTCTTCTCATATTTGGACTTTGTAATAATGTTAACGCAACATCAATATTTTGTTGTATACAACCCATATATATTGTCTTAAGGTAGAAAGCATCATTGTTATCATATATAACTAGGATATGACCCGCGGTATACCGCGGGTTAAATATTTTTTTGTTTGTGTTTTTTTATTTTTATAATTTGCTTATTTGTGATATATATATTAGACTAAAAATTTTTTTGTTTATAATCTTATGATTGTTTGTATTTGGTTTGTAATAAAATTAGATTTTACCCGTGGTATACCGCGGATTGATTTTTTTGTAACTAAAAATTTTTAATTTTAAATTGTAATTGTTTTGTTAATATTGTTTGTTTTGTTTAGTGTTTATGATTGTATATTTTATTTTATTTGTTAATTCTAGTATTTCACCTGTGGTACACCGTCCCGTATTAATATCGATCATAACCCGTTCTACCATATAACTTCGTCCGGTGAAATTAAACATCATTTTGTTATTTTTTTTTAGAAAAATATTTTGTTTATAAAGACATAATTCGAGTCAATTTAAAGTTTTCTTATAAATGGTTCCTTTAATATTTAATTTTTAATTTTTATACAGCTCAAATACTATTAATATTATAAATGTTTTATAGAATTTAAATATTATAAACACTTTAAATGTTTTATAAAGTTTAAATATTTATAATGTTGTTAATATATGATGTATGTGGGATCTATTTAAAATAGAAGAACACTGTATATTAGAATGCTAATAACAGAAAAAAGTTTATGTTAATTAGATAATTGGCTAGAATTAAATACTAAATAAATAAAAATGAAAGTAAATATGGAATTAGTTACATGAAAATATTATATCGTCAAAATTCTAATATACACGTCCAAGAATTATTTTCTTAATATTAAATCGGATTTATATTGATTGTGTCATTAATTGTTTTGTAATCCGACCGGAGGATATGATGAATTGAACTGAACCGATGCGATAACCAAACTCGATTTAGAAAGCTTCCGATCGGCCCAATGAGTGGGGGAAGAGTAAAGACAAAACCAAAAACAAAATTGTTCACGTGTGTTTTTTTTTTCTCAGCATTTTGTCACCTCTCTCCCTTTCTCGACCTTTGCCGACAAAAACTAAGTGAAGCAAAATCTTCAATTCTTGTTGATTTCCGTTACTCTGAGAAGAGAGATGAGTCGAAAATCCGTTGTTATCATTTGGTTTCTTAGAATTGGGATTATTGTAATGCAAAATTAGGGTTCTTAGAATTGGGATTAGGGTAATGCAAAATTAGGGTTCTATGATCCGTTTGATATATAGAACAGTAAGAAGTGATGTGGTCAGATTGAGAATTGGTAATTGATCTGTTTGAGAATTGGTAATTGATCTCTCAGACTTCTTCTTCTTCCTCTCAAGTAAGCTTCTTTCTTTGATCTTCCTCGTTTAGTTTCGTTTCTAATCGTAAACTTTCTTTGATTCATTATATTTTGCTTGTTATGATGTTTGTGCGATCGATAAATCCAATTGTTCCAGTTCTATTGTAGATAGTTCATTTTTGATTATAGCTATGGTATCATTGCGTTGAGTTACCGATCTTCTCTTATTTCTCCTTTTCATATTGTTGTTTGGTTTTAAACATTGTCATAATCTGTTCAATTTCTCCAAGATGTTCCTACGTTGCTTGAGTCTCTATGATTAAAAATCTGTTCAATTTCTCAAAGGTTTTTTTTTTTATTTGTTTGTTTTGATTAATATAGCTTATTTTTGCTTTTTTGTGTGGAATGGTATGTATGTAAGAGAAATGGCTGAATCTAAGGTAGTAGTTCCAAGAGTCTGTGCTAAGAATGATCAAGAGGCAAGTGGAATGGACATTGGTCAAGAAAGATGAAGCTGTAGCTGCTAAGAAGAAGAGTGTTGAGACCCGCAAGCTCATCTTCAAGAGAGCTGACCAGTATGCTGAGAAGGTAAAAGGAACACACTTGTGTTGGCTTTGCTAACTAAGATGACTGTTGTGTTGTTCATGGATGTTCTAATATTATATGCTTGGTTTTTTCATTGTCTAGATAATGAGTTGATCCGATTGAAGAGGGAGGCTAAGTTGAAAGGAGGATTCTATTCTTAAAGAACATTTTCCTACAATGGAGTACAAACAGATAAGTATCTTAAAGAACATTTTCTTATTCATTTCTTTATCTCTCTATTGGGTTAGAGTATACATGTAGGCTAGGGGAAGATAGTATCTTGTCATATTAATTCTTCATTGCCTACACACATAAAATTTCTTGTTGAAAACAATTTATAAACATAGATTATCTCAAATCCAAATCCAACTAATACTTAAACAAAGCTTTCCAGAAGAAACACAATTATATATATATATATATATATTTTATGAAGAGGAATGTATACAATAGTGTAATTTAGTACCAAAACGCAGCTAAAGGCTTTAGCTAGAAGGATTGAAACAAAACCATTTATGTGTTTCCTTTTGATTGCCACTCTTTCATCCAAGAGATCGGAGCTAGACTCTATCGTTGCCAAGCATGTTTTTTGTTATCTACAAATCTGCAGAAAAAAAAATGAATTTGGAAACTAACAATAATATTTGAGTTTAGAATCTCACCAGTTTTGGCTGTGTATTGCCATGATGCAGGATCTTAACTTGGACTCGTCATGCAATTTTGTAAAGCCGTCTCCAACCATGGAGATATTGAAAAACTTTCATACTCGATGTAAAAGGTAAAATGTTTCTGATGCGATGGTTTTTTTTTCCATGTGTTGACATGATCAAGTTCAAAATCTTGAAAATCTTGCAAATTAAAATTAATGCTAACTACATATTAGGCATATTCTCTAGATAATGCATTCGTTTTTGTCATATTTTTTTTTTATAGAAGTTTACCAAAAGAGAGATATATAAAAATCGTCGAAATTAAGGTATATTGTTAGGATATTCCATGTTTAGTTGTTATAATCGTATAATTAATGATGTAATTATTGTTGTTTCTTTTTGTAGAAAAAATCTTACCAAAAGAGATTATACATAATAATAGCCAAAATTTGTGGAAGAGATTCCATTGTTAGGATTTGGTAGATTAGGAAAGTATCTTAGCGAATATTTAGTCGAATTACTTGATTTTTTTTTTGGAAAGTATCATTTAAAAAAATCCGAGAGTTTTGATTGGCCATTGAGTCGGGTCAAAAAAAAAAATCCGGGTCAAAATCTCACTAATTACCCGACCCGATTGGCTTTGAGCAAATTTGTACTTCAAAAATGTTAAGTAGATTGTTAAATAAAAAAATTCACTGTATAATCCCCCCAATTCTGAGAAAAAAATTGTTGGCATCTTCATTAAATTTTTATATTTAAAATTGATTAAAACTTTTTCATTTTCAAAATCATTCCAAAAATCTTTGGTTAAATGAAGATTAGAAGTTTTTCTTCAATATTAAAAAAGTGTATGTTTAGAAATAATTTAGACAGTAAAGAATTTGATTCCATTTGACATATAATTTCTTTTGAATTCATCGTAGAACAAATAATCGTTGTAGCAGGACAAAAAATTGGAATTTTGAAAAGAAAGATAATATATAGAGTTGAAAAGGCACGATTTTATAACTATTCGATAAGTCCATTACGTAGACGAACGTGTCCGTTACAGCTTTAATGTGTGGGGCTCATTTCACTCACGTATGTCCAAATTATTTAAACCTCTATATTATTGTTTTCCCATGATATCACGTAAATGTTAAATGAATGATATAATTGAGGAGGTTATACTACAAAATATATCCATATGTAAACTATGAAATAAAACCAATTTTATATGAAGTTTACTGGTTTACGTAAAAAGAAATTCAATAAAACTACATGACCGTACAAAAATAACTGTAAGAAAAACAACCATAAATATTTAAACGAAAGGTTGCAATAAAAAGACGCAACCGTTCAGATGTGCAAATGGTATTTATTGGAAGCGACATAACTGTAAGAAAATAACCGATTAAAACGAAAATTACGATAAAAAGACGCAACCAAAATAACCGATTTAAACGAAAGGTTGCGATAAAAAGACGCAACCGTTCAGATGTGCAAATGGTATTTATTAGATTGCTATTATATATAGATTTTTATGAAAGTAATAACAATAGATATAAAGACTGCATAAATATTATAAATTAACTTTAGTGTACTAATTTTTTTTCCTTTTTAGGGACATCCTAAATAAAAAAGATAACTCATATTTTTGTCTCAAGTGCTTTAATTTCTGGTCTTGGGTCCTCTAATTCCCTAAATTTCTGGTCTTCATATCTTCTAAAGGTATTAAATTACAAGTTATCTTTAAAATGAAATACTATCGTTTTATACTCAATCACATGCGTACACGTAGCAGTGGAGCGGATACGCTATCCGAAAGTCAACAAAATTTGAAAGTAATGAGTCCAACAAGGAAATAAAAACCCTAATGGATCAAAGCACCTTTCTTTTACTATATAAACAATCTTCATGCCAACAAAATAAACACACATAACAAAGATAATTAACATGAAGAAGAAACTTTCACTCATCGAAAATGGAACATCAAGGAAAATAACATTCAATAAGAGGAAGCTAGGGTTGATGAAGAAACTCACCGAGTTGGTGACTCTCTACGATTTCAAAGCATGTGCGGTTATCTACAGTCCGTACAACGAAAACCCTGAGGCTTGGCCATCAAGAGAAGGTGTTGAAGAAGAGTGTCGGAGTTTATGGAAGTTTCGAGGAATGACCAGATAAAAAATATGATGGATCAAGAGGCTTTTTTGCGTCAGAGGATCGAAAAAGAACAAGCGCAAGTGCAAAAGTTAAGTGATGAGAACCAAGATTTGAAGACTCGGGAAATTATGTGGGGTTATCTTAAAGGGGAGATTGATGAGCATCGACTCGGCGAAAAGGATCTTCAAGATTTGAGTTCGGTTATTGAAAACTATCTCAATAGCGTTGTTAGCAGGATTAAGAACCTTAAGAAGAATGGTGAGTCTTCTTCTTCTTTACCTCCTCTTGTTGTCCCAAATGAGGGTGTGGTTGCTGTCCCAATCAGATTTTATAATCCTAATTCCTAAGTATCATTCTCAAATTCAGGATATGAATCAACAAAATTTGGTTCAATTCAAGAATCAACAGAGGATGGTTGAACTCCAGAATCATGCTCTTGTTGAATTTTGTCGACAGATTCTTCAAAAAATTCATGATTTTAATATGAATCTGATTTCAAACCAAAATATGAGCTTTGATTTGAAGCAAGATCTTAAAGTTGAAGAGGATGTGGACACTTTTTCCATGGATGGCAGCCACTCTCAATCCGAAACTAATCACCTCACTACTATCACTACCACCGCCGCTGATGTTTGTGCTCCTAACATCACCAATAATCTTAAGTCTTAAGGGGATATTTTTCCGAGTGAAAAATTTAATCGTTTGCATTTCATTGTCTTTCATTTTAAAAGTTAAATTTCCTATGTGATGTTTTTTTTTCCTAGTTTTTGTAATAATTAAAGGTTTTTGCCTTTAAATCCGTTGTTATGTTATTTTTGATTACTAAGTAATGTATTTGCGTGGAAAACTTTTAGGGGGTGTTATTCAATTTGAAAGTGAAGCAAGGAGATGGAATTCTTGATTTACATTTAAATAAGAAAACAGAGAATGAACAAAAAAAACTCACTATCTTTTTTGAAAAATTCCCATGCCTTCCATTCCTACCATCCTACACTTAAATATACAATCAAACAAGAACCCAAACTTACCCCAATGATTTGGTAATTAAAAAAAAAAAAACATTTTTAAAATTTTCAATCAAAACATGAATAAGAAATGAATATCACCAAAAAATATCAGACCACCTAATGTAGATTCAAGGAAAAGAAAGAGAACTCATACGATAATTTCTTCCCTTCAAACATTTCTTCCCCACCTAATGTAGATTCGCTTGTGCATTCATTTTTTTGCTATTGTTTACTTAAAAATCACAGAAGAACTTTGGTAACAAGATAGAATCATCCAAAATTATGAGAAAGCCTGTTATTACAACTAGAAGGATAAACTCTCACACAAAATAAACTGACACACAAAACAAAGATATAAATGTAATCATAAAGTTCCATAAAATTAAGTGTTACTCTAAGGGAGGAAAAAAAACATTAATCAATAGATTGTTACAGAGACGTGAGACTCTCGACGTGATTAGGAAAAGTATAGAGCGCACGCAGACGTTTGTTTCCAAGTCCATTACTAAACCTAAATTCCTCATTCGCGATTCCTTTAAACTCGACTCGTCTCAAGCTATATCTCCCCGGATCAAAATATAAAACAACAAACGATTTAAGAAACGTGCATGGTACATAAATAAACTCACCAGCATCAGTGACACCATAGATTTTGTAAATATTTTTCAAATTTCGAGCAAAAGGTGTAAGAAAGTGTTTATACGACCATTGATTTTGCTCTGCATCCTCCAAAATCCACAATGTAATACCATCATCGTTGCCCATGAAATTATAACTATCAAGACAAGCTAACCTTCCCTTGTAAGTTATCAGCTTACCCCAAAAATCATCGAATGGTAATCTTATCATATCGAACTTTTCAGTTCTGACATCAAAACTCATTAGTATGTAAATATCCAAATCATCATCATCAAGATAGGTGGCTCCATAATAAAGAACACCATTGATGCATCTCCCAGAACTCTTATTCAAAGCACGATGCTTGTAGTTGGTTTTAACCGTTCTCCATGATTTTTGAGCTGATCCCAATGTTAAAACCCGACACTCGTCAGAAGATTGACCACACGGCATACACATAACTTTGTGTTTACCCTCGATTGGATCGTATCCTAGAAAGACTATTACATTATACACGGACTTCTCTATGGGTTTGGTTAAGGTTAAGAACTGCTCGTGCTAGGGTTCCAAACTACGGGGTATGTTGCTTTGCGAAAGCAGACCAAGCCGTGGACTGACTCGGTAATGGAGAAGATGCAGTCTGTCGGGTATTTCATATGGTAACTATCCACATGATGAGAAAACGAATGAGGCTTGTTCGAATTCTTGTTGTGCTGCGGAAACGAGAAAACATACACTTTGTCCTTTTGTTTAAAGAACATTAGAAGACTTGGCTGTTTTGAGGAGCGAGTTTCATACGTGTCGGTGAAGTAAGTGTCGTTAATGATGGATGACCAGAGCTTCGAGACGTAACGAGATCTCACAATAGATTCCGCCGGTAGATTTAAGAGTATCTTTGTGGTTAGCTCCAGGGGTAATGACCATGATGTTGATTTTGACATCGATGAAAGTTGTATTTGTCTCTTTTTTTTTTGTTGGTCTATCTTGGGTAAAACCCTATTTTTATACTTCTGTGTTACTTCCTCTCCATGAATTCGTTTATATATATATGGGGTCTCTGTATTTAAGTTAATAGGTAGTAATTATTAGAGAAAAATCACATAAAAATCTTTAAAACAGGAGCAAATGTGCAAGACCCAAACTTTTTTGGGTAAATTTAATGGCCCAATTTTTTTTTGGTAAATTTAATGGCCCAATTTTCTAATCATGTTCAGAGGACAATGTTGTTTACTAACAAGTACATGTTTTTTGTTCGCTGAATATTATGAAATGTATATGATTTTGTAAAAAAAAAAAATTCATATAAAAAAAGGCCAATTTTTTAAAATCGTACAAGGACTCCAAATCCATTGAACCGGCCCTTAGTATATTGGTCCATATTCCTTGTCTATACACTAAAAAAATCTTTTCTCATTTCCGATGTGTGATAATTTTCACAACAACAACACTCAAATACTGCATGTATCATCATCATCATCGCGATGTTCTTGATTTTCCGGGTATGTCTTAGGCTCTTAGCTTGGTTCTATGCCAACTGATTCCACCATAGCTTGCATCTATTTTAGATGACACAATCGTCATTACTCATTATCATCTAAAACAGATATACAAATGCAATATAATACAGTATATAACAAATGCACGTTTTAGGGCCATTGCCAAAAACAAAAAACTAGTAAAATAAAATACTCCAACTAATACGTCTACGCTACTTTAGCAAAAAAAAAAAAAAAAAATACGTCTACGCTAATACATTCCCAACCAATTATTTGCTTGGCTAATGAAACGACACCGTTTACGTAATTCCACAAAGAGAGAATACGTACCGTTTTATCCACTAAGTCCCATTAGTCAACGAATTTCCCAAAAATCCCCAAAACTGGAAAAAGCTAACCAAATTCAAATGACCACCGCCGATAAATCCGCCGGAATCGTAACTGACTCGGAACCAGGATCGGAGACTTCTCTTCTCCTCAATCCTCACGAAGGATCCACCAGAAAAGATCCTCATGATTCCTACCACTTCGCTTACATCATCTACTTCACCCTCGGTGTTGGCTTTCTTCTTCCATGGAACTCTTTCATCACCGCCGTCGATTACTTCTCTTACCTCTATCCTTCCACTGCCGTTGATCGGATCTTCGCCGTTATCTACATGCTCGTCGGTCTTGTTTGTCTATCCATTATCGTTGTCTTCTATGCACATAAGAGTCTCGCTAGCTTTAGAATCAATCTCGGTCTATTACTCTTCGTAATCGCCTTGCTTGTGGTTCCTGTTTTGGATCTGGTTTATGTTAAAGGACAGGTCGGTTTATACGCCGGATTCGATGTTACTTCCGCCGCCGTTGCGTTATCCGGTCTCGGTGATGCACTTATGCAGGGAGGTCTTATCGGTGTTGCCGGTGAAATGCCTGCGAGGTATATGCAAGCTGTTGTCGCCGGAACTGCTGGCTCCGGTAAAAAATTCACCTCTCTGAATTTGAAAAAAACACAAATGTAGAGTGATTTGGTTTAGATTAACTTAGAAGGTTTTTTGGGAATTTTGGATTTGTAGGTGTTCTTGTTTCACTATTGAGAATCTTGACTAAAGCTGTGTATCCTCAAGATCCTGATGGTTTGAGAAAAAGTGCGAATCTATACTTTGCTGTGGGGATTGTTGTTATGGTGATCTGTGCTGTGCTCTACAACGTGGCGCATAAACTTCCGGTGATCAAGTTCCACGAAGCGCGTAAGAATGAAGAGCTAATCAGAGAGAAGAGTGATGGGAAAGGTTCTTTAACCGGACTAGCGTGGAGGAATACACTCTGGGATATCGTGATGAAAGTTAAATCTCATGGTTTCGGGATCATTCTTATTTACATGGTGACATTGTCGATATTTCCTGGATACATTACCGAAGATGTTCATTCCGAGCTTCTTAAAGATTGGTACCCTGTGCTACTCATTGCAGCGTACAACGTGTTTGACTTGGTTGGCAAGTGTCTGACTGCTGTTTTCATGCTGGAGGATGAGAAAATCGCTGTTGGTGGTTGCATTGCTAGGCTTTTGTTTTACCCTCTCTTCTGGGGTTGCTTGCACGGTCCGATGTTTCTCAGGACTGAGATTCCTGTAACTATACTGACATGCTTATTGGGACTTACCAACGGGTACTTGACAAGCGTCTTGATGATTCTGGCTCCGAAATCGGTTCCATTGAAACAATCAGAGACTGCAGGTATCGTCACTGTGATGTTCTTGGTTGTCGGTTTGGCCTTTGGGTCTGTCATTACTTGGTTCTGGGTCATTTGATTCTACCAAAGCTTGTTATCTGTATTTGTTGTATTCTTTTTTAAGCTTTCGACAAACTCAGCTTCATTAATCTGTGAATTGTCTTGTGTGAATCGTTCGTTTTTACTTCAGTAATATGTGAAAATTCTTTTTGTTTTACACCATAAACACAAAAGACTTATATAAGCTGTAAAAGGCTACAACGTGGATTCAGTGTTTCTCACTAAGGTATGGTTCAAGGATTCTTCAATTTAATTCTGAGCTTTCGAGTGATCTTTGATGTTTTTGGATGGACTGTACGTCTCTTGTTGTTGCTATTAGACTGTTCGACTTCAATCCAGTTCAAAACCCCGAGAATCAGAGATTGCGGAACTTTCTTAACGTCTGCATCATCAGGGCCTCTAGATTTCTTCATACCTTTCTCCAGAGCCATTTCGACGAACTCCATGAACCAGTTTGCAGCTTCATCCTCGATCTCCTTTGCCAATCTAATCGTGTTGCTTATACCGCCACAAGCTGGGTTCTTGCTCTCATCATTTGATCTCAATGTCTTCCCTTCTTGCTGCTTCAGGACATTCCGCCTCTTTGATCTCCTTTTCTCCTGATCAATAGAATTATAAGCGATTTCATGCAGGATCGAAGAAGACTCTTCTTCTCTTGGTTTCTGATTTTCGGTTCTTGTGTTTATGTTCTGTGACTTGTTCTCAGCATCTGGAGCAGCTGCTTCAATTGAAGCGAGTTCGCCAATGGTTTGTGCCATGTGCTGGTGAAACTCCATGAACTTCTCAAAGCACACCCCAGGGCAATCAGCTTTTGCTGATTTATTCAGATTGGTGAACGTCCTGTCCCAACAAAACCACATCATCACATCACATTCCAACTCAAATCCGACTAATAAAAAGGCGTACGAAAGAAGGATTTCGGTTTATATACTTGAGATGACGAACAACAGTTTCCGTAATTGTAGCTTCTCGCAACGCCTGAAGGGCAACCTTCTGCGCTGCCTCCCGAAGCTGAGTTGCTTCCTGTCACCAAAGTAACACAAAACAAGATTAAGTAACTATTTTAACTTTCAAGAAAGATGTAATATTCCAAGCATTCAAACTTCAATCAAGAACACAAATCGAGTTAGAATCACCTTGCTTAGTGTGTTGAGCCTTCCTGGTAAATTGGTATCTTTCTCGGGTTTTAACGTCTTCGTCTTCGAGGTAGACAAGGGAACAACATCTTCTTGAACTTCTGCAATCAAGAAACAAAGGTTTGTCCTGAATAAATCATTGTATACACTAAATGATCAACAGAATGTTAAAAGCAAAATATATACCTAGAGAGAATTTGAAGGGACTAAAAAGAGAAGCATTGTTCTTTTTAGCCTCTCTGTCACAAACACTTCTACTTCTCGGAAACTTCGAAGCCGACGAAACAAAACAACTCTTCCTCAGCATCGCCGTCGCCGGACTCTCTCCTTCCATTTTCCCCAAAACCCCTCCACCAAAAGAGCATCTCACTCCACCTCTTCTGATCGGAGACGCTGCGAATCTAGCTGAAACAGACCTATTCACCGGCGTGGAATGATCAAAATCCAACGGCATTGGTTTCACAACAAACGGAGACGAAGAAACGTCGACGTTTTGTCCCCAAGATCCTCTTCTCGGCTTCGATCCAATCTCTTGATCAGATCTTCCTTTCGGACCCATCAATGTCTCCGGCGTCCCAAGCAGTGGGTGCCGACCAGGGATTGGTTTTGCGCCTTTAATGACAGGAACAGGGGATCCAGGTTCGAGCCGATCGACGTAGATAAACTGACCAAGCTGCATCTTGTTGCTGAGAACGACGTCGTCTTGGTCTGAAGGAAGTGAGACATAGATTGAGTGAGAGGAATCAGAGACTTTGATGAGAAACCCTTGTTTCGGCTCCAGAGACTTCTCGTCGAGACCTATGGGGACGATATCTGTGACCTGTAACATAGAGCTCCGGTGCTCTCTAGTTGGTTTGATTCCTGTTTTCATACCTTGGATTAGCTTTTGAAGAATTCCAGGTGCTAAAGCTGCCATTTTTATCGAGCTTTCAGATCAAGAACGAGTAATTCAGAAATTTCAAGAACTGGGTATTGGTTGATGAAGAGACTGATCAATTTTCGCCAACGGTTAGTAGTAGAAGAAGAAGAAGGGAAAGATAAAAAAGCAAACTTTTTGAATCATGACTTTGTTTTAGGGACGTTGCAACGGTCGAAATTGCTGGTAGATCTGTGTCATAATTATTCTAATTTATATCCGTGATCATTTGGTTTTAACACTTTTGCTATGCTCTTCTAAATTCTTATGCTTATATCTCTAATATGTTGTATTTGGTGGTTGACAAACAATGCATAGTTGGTGTAACCGATAAACATAAGTTGATTCAGACTACAAAATTACAAGAAAGTGGAGCTGTTTCAGTCACTTTTTTGGTCGATTTAACAATATCTTAATTGATTTTGGTAAGGGAGCACGAACAACTTTAGCAAAATGAGTAGTTTTATTTCCAGGCAGAAGTGTGAAGGTAATGGAATCATTGATGGAAGATGACAAATGTATAGATAAACAGAACAAACTAGCCCTTAGAAGAAAGCAAGGGTTTGTGTTTCTTTCGGTAATTTTGATATCTTCAATCTCTCAGGAAAAACTGCAAAATACCGACGAAATGAAACAAGTTTCTTGGAATCTAACAAAATTTGCAGGCCATGTTATAGTGTTGAAGCAAATCCTGCAAATATCAAAATGCAAACTTAGATTAGTCACTCTGCAAATAGACCAACACAACACCCTACAACTCTGAACTATCTAATCCACTGGTTCAACGTTTAGTACATGTCAAATCAACACATCATTTTACTATTGTTGGATAAGGTTCTACTCTCTTTAAGGTGATAGTCTGGAAAGACAGATAGACAGTGATAGGTCCCCACAATGGAACAATAGTAAGATATAGAACAATTCATTCCAACTCGATGCCCTTCTGCTACGTTTTCGTGATAAAACATGCAAAGGAAAAGAACGCTTGCCATAAAGCCGATCACTCGATATACTATACAAAACTGATTACTAGTATTAGCATGTCAAGCAGATCATTAAAGGAATCCTATTTACCAATTGAGACTACATTTACTCCTAGTCTAGAAACAGAAATGCAGAATCGGCTTCAATTCTAAACATAAATCAGCGGGGTGATTCGAACGTTCCCACAATCATCAATCAACGATCGAGATTAACAATTTTTAACTCAAATTCATTGGCATTGAAAGATTATGAACACAAGTAAATAAATTTACCTTCTGATAAGCAACTCCAGTTTTGATTGCTGAGAGATAGCAATGAAGTGAGCAAAGCTGAAGCAGTAACACTATGTAATGGTATTAGTGAAACCCCTGCACTCATTTCCACAGGTACCCTGAACACAAAACCCTAATTTTTACATTTCAGAGATAAACCCTAATTCTTCAGCGTAATGGCAGATTCAGATCTATCACCAATAGACTAAATCACCTAACGCATTAGGTTTTATACATTCAGTTCTAGGATTCAGTAGCTAACCTGGAGAATGTGAGTCTGCGAAGTGAAGGACGAGATGAAGAAGATGATCCATTCGTAAAAGCAATTCCGGCTGATTTTCCGATCTTCGAAGCAGAAGTTGCAGCTGATGAACGACCGAAGAGTATCTTCCCGGAGGATGACGATGACTGAAGAGCCCTTCTCACGCCGTTGGCCGCCATGTTTACTCTTTTCCTCTTAACTCGAGAAAAACTTCGGCGACATTTTTGTGATTTAGGAAGGTGGGATTTTAATTTCGGGTCGGGTCGGATATTAAGGATTCGATCCATTACAAGCCTAATTCGGCCCATAGATATTAAGAACTGGGCCGCTTCCTCCTTAGACCAGTTAAGAATATGGGTCTCTATATGTGCACATTGTTGATTTGCTTATGGAAACTTTAAAATCTGACAAAGAAATTACTTTGAGCATCCACCGTGAGGTACTGGTGTGGTGGAGTTGATGAGTAGTAGTAGATAGTGAATTGATGAGTTGCTGAAACAGAGTGAAGTTCACATGGAATTGGCATTTAGTCTTTGATTATCTCAACCAACCAGAAACATATTTAGTAGAGAGAGATCCAAATTGAATGAAGTGAAAACTCTGCAAAGGACAACACACAGAAACTCTATTGCAGTTGATTTGATCTCACAACATTTAATGCTCTTTATAGATACTTCACAATTTATTATTGTCATAAGACAACATTTCCTCTATCCAATAATGGATTTGGATCAAGTTAGTTGAAATAGCCAGATAGGTAAAGCTTCAATGGGGGGAGAGAGAGAATGAGATGGGTGGGTCTTTCTGATCACACACAGAGGTCAAAACTCCATTACTCTCTCTGTTACATTGTCATAGCATCTTTGGACAAAACCGTGAACTTATAAACACGTTATCACAGTAACCAAACAGGACTTATTGTGTTCCTTGTGATTCCATAGCAAAACTTCGTTTCTTGTTTCTGATCCGTACGATGAAAGATTATATTCACTTATTGTTGGTCATGAAAACCACGTGATAGATGTAAATAAATTCAATATAATCTTTCTATAGTTTTACCAACAAGAAAATATAGAATCCTTCTTTTTTTTTTTTTGATATAGAAAATATAGAATCCTTCTATCGTCCTAATTTTAAGGGAAAAAAGCAACAAACATAACATGCCAAATAGTTCAGTCGGTAATTGAAAGTGATGGATTGTTTCATTTTCATGCACTATATGAACCCACAAATGTTTTATAATTTTATGTTTCATATACCAAATAGTTCAGTCGGTAATTGAAAGTGATGGATTGTTCCATTTTCATGCACTAGATGAACCCACCAATATATAATTTATACGCTTGTAGATCCCAAAACAAAGAATGATATGATATGTTAAAATATGAGTTATGTAACATTTGTCTTCATAAAAGAAAGCCGAAACAAAAGAGATCATAAAAGAAAGCTAACAAAGTAAGTCAAAAAAGAAAAGAAAAAAGAGAGCAAATCAACATACTGTATTGAAGTTAATTATGAGCAGTTTGTTTTTAAAAATGATTAAGAAAACCATTATTTGAGCGATAATAAGGGAGGAAATTGAGTTGACCCACATGCTGATTTGTCTTCGTTCGGTAGATAAATTACGTCCAATGATTCTGATTCATACTACCTCAAATTGATGACACATATGTTTATTTTTAGAGACAATAGTGTCATAGTGAATAGTCTCTACAATATATACTAACAAGATTTTTGGTGTGTTTTGTTTTTGCGGGGTTTCATGTTATTAAAGGCAAGCTGTTCTATATTTGGAAATTGTAGACTTTTGGCAAATAGTTTACACAAATTTGAAATAACCAGCTATTGACAATAAGCAAGATGGCAACCCACACACGTACTTATTTTACTTTTTGTTAACGCGTATACTATTATTCACTTCTAATAGAATATCTAACATTACCAATATTTTGTCATTTCAAATGCCAAAATGTGTAAAAAATAAACAAATATAATATATTTCAGACTTTATAACTTCCCTTTTTTATTTGGTTGGAGCGTTTAGAAGAAAAAGATTGGAAATTGGAGGTTGATAAAGGGCTTCTTCAAATAGAGGAGCTATTATCATCGCTCAAAGTGTAACGATGGATTCAAGGTTACATTCCTATGTATAGCATCAAGTCATCCATCTTGGCTTCATAGGTTTTTTGAGAATGAGAGAAATTCCTCTCCCTTGTAAGAGTTGTCTTAACTTTCAAATGTCCAAAAGCAAATAATTTGAAAATCAATCAGTAGTTGCATTTTGCATTTTACACCCAGAAAAGCAAACTAAATTGTAAGGATACACAACTACTTTGCTTATCAGAAGTTGCCAAAGAGAGAAGACTCACAATTGACTAATCCAAAGTACTCAAACAAATTAGTCTCACAAGACAAAGAAATGAAAAGTTTATACGTTAATGTCGGCTCACGAAAACTCCCAAACAAAATAAAAACAAACACAGAAAATTTTTCATATAAAAAATGTTTCGCAACAGCCACAACGCCAAGTGTGTTAACCTCATTTCGCATTTGTCCCATTGATATAGCCACAACTCGTGACTCCAATATATCTCTTATTTTTTTCCCATAAAATGTTTATAAAAAATTGAGTGGCACATAAAATCCACCTCATCTTTCTAACACTCCTACAACATCTTGTGGTCTGTGGACATAACTTAGCACATGTAATTGAAAACACCATCACTATATATCCACATCTTCTTTTATATATTTTTTTCACCTTATTTTATGTAGACAAATATATCCATTTCAATTTCATAATCCTCTTCATTTATAGATAAAATTTAAATATCTACCAATACAACCAGAAATCATAAATTGCGTCAACGCTCAACAGACATTCACTAAAATCTTCATTTTTTTGTGATAAAAATTATTCGTACCGCCACAAATCAGTAACAAGTTTTTTTACATGTTACTGAAAAAACTTCAAATATATAATAGTAGAAAATTAACATTCCTCTATGTAATAAAAACTCGGCGATAAGATAATAATAATCATATTTTGATAAATCCATAACCACCGGTCTGGTCTAATCAGCAATAGCCCAGTTCATGTCGTTCTCAAATATCCAGTGACAAACTTCGATCCGACCCGGTTTTGACCCGAGAGCTAAGAAAGCTCCATGACTCGGACCCCATGATGACGTGTCCATGTGACAGATGGCAATCCCGTGGTTAATCTTCTTCTTACTATTCAACTCTAGAAGATCAGCTTCGTATACCCGAACCTTAGGTACGGAGTGGCAGTAATACAATAGATACGGGTACAAACTCTGATGACACGAAACTGCTTTCGTTAATTTCCCACCGTTGATTCCGTTGACTTTTCCGATCACTACCTTTTGCTTTGACCCGGCTACGTTCTCTGTTGTTCTAAGCACCACGCTACGACCTAACACCGACGTCGCGAAATCGATCATGTCCTCCGCCGATCCTACGCACCGTTTCGTCTCTCCGACGCTCGGTGGTCTCTCGCACTCCGTCACGGCGTCGGTGATTATACCATCCATCGTCGAGTTCTCACCGGCGTGGAAGATTCTCTTAATCTCTCCGAGTTTTGAAGTGGAGAAGGGTAGTTTCGTAATTATACTCCGGGGTAAAAACGACCTTTTAGGCATTTTATCTTTAATATCAGGCATAGGAATCACTGTACCTTCTTTAAGCGACGATTCTCTAAAGAATTTACCCGGTTCGATCCATTTATTTACGGTTTTGCCATCGCCGACGGTGTTCGCGGTGGTGGTTGAAGCGTTGTATTTAGCAAAAGCGACGCCGTTTTTGGTGTAGTCTTTGAAAGTTGAGTTCGGAGTATAGGTTTTGAAACTGATTTTGTTTCCTTCAGCTCCTTTGCCATAACCGGTGAAAGTTTCTGAACCGGGATTGAAAGATTGACCGTAATTTACGAAATTGACCTTCTCCGAATTCGAATCTTTGGCATAGGAAGAGAACGAATCGTCGCCGACGTTGGCTTTGTCTCTGTAATTCGCGAAGGTGTCCACGGCGGCGTTACCGGAGGCACCGTAGTTTTTGAAATTGTTCTGCGGTACATTTCCGTCGCTTCCGTAGCTTGTGAAGGTATCGTTGGCGGCGTTTCCACTCTCGCCGTAATTAGAGAAACCGGAGCCGATTACGTTGGAGGAGACGCCGTAAGAAGCGAATTCGTTCGGAGCTCCGTTTCCGTTTTTGCCGTAGCTGGAGAACGATTGGCCGTTACCGGCGTTAGCGTCGTGTGTATAGGTTTTGAATGTTTGAGATCTTCCGTTACCTCCGTCTGAATACGCCGTGAATCGACTCGTCGGATTGTTGACGTTGTTTTGGTAGTTAGTGAAGTCTCCGGCGCCGCCGGTTCCAAATGTTCCGTATGAATTGAATCCTTCCTCCACGACGTTACTGTTATCGCCGTAGACGGTGAATTTATCGTCGTGACCCGCCGCGTTACGACTGTATCTCCGGAACGAATCGGTTACAACATTACCGTCTCTTGAGTAGTTTTTAAACGAATCTGCTCCTCCGGCACGAGCATTGCCGTAGTTAGTGAAGTTCTTCTGGTCATAGACAGAGAATTTAACGTCATCGTCGTGTTTCTCGAGACTCGCTCCTAAATCAGGAAAACAGAAGAGATTCGCGGCGGAGCAGAAATCAGGAAACCGAGTAGGGAGCGAGTTCGCGGCGGCGAGTTTTGAGAAAGTTGCTGAGTCTACGGCGTTGAGTGGTGAAGCTTTAGAGATTAAAAACTCCGATCTGGGAGATTCTCCACGGATCTCTTTGTTCCAGTAACGAACCAAAGATGCTTTTGGAGTAAATGGATTCTCCTCCGCTGAGAAACCGCCGCCGATTAACTTTCCTCCGACGATAACAACCTACATTGCCAACAACATCAAAATTGATTCAACAACAACAACATCAAAAACGAAATCTAGTAACCGCAAATTCAAAACTCAAATTCAAATTCAAATTCGATAAAGAGTAATAGAGAGATTGAAGAAGTTGCTTACATTGAAGAGGAAGAAGGAGAAGGATTGGAGAAGAAGAAACTGTTTGAGCATTTTTGTTCTTTCTTCTTCAAGTGAGAGAAAAGAGAAGAAGAGATTGGTGGGCTTGGTTGGGTTTGAGAGGGGATTGTGTATTATATATATGTGGTAATATATATAGAAGCCAAAAAGCTTTTACACAATTATGTTTTTTTTCCATAACTAAACCCTACACAATTAAATTTAAATCTAATTATAGACTTTTTAATTTTAATTTTTAAAAAAGTTATGTATAGTTGGTATACTTTTGTGAATAAATAAATAGATGGTGACATTTAGATTTGATATTTAAAATTGTGAAGAAATTAGAAAGGAATCAAGGATAATGAATGAGGGAGAAATAAAAAGTAGGAATAAAAATGAAAAAGAGTGGAGTGGAAAAAGGGACAGCAGAAAGAGAGTGACAAGAGTAGAGTTTTTTGTTTAGAAGAAGCAGGAAAAAAACAAATTGAAGTGGGACTTTTTTAGCAATATCCGGTTTGGTAACGCGTTTTCGAAACCGGTTTTGTGTTTTCTGACCAATATCTAATTTAACGGTTATTAATAAGTTTTTTTCTTCTTTTAACCGTCCAAAAAACAAAAGAGCAATGAAAGCTGTACCTATTTTGAGAGATTTTTCTTTAGTGTGTGTGTATACAAGAAAACAAAAATTAATGGTAAATGTTCAAGAAGAGACTGTATTTTTTTTTTGTCTTTTAGTCTAATTGTTTCAACTTTCAACACCATTTGTTAAAACAGCTTATACTATAGGGAACTGAAATCACATTAGAAGATGTCAAATGTTTATCAACTCTTTTATGCGATTCTGGATTTCAAAGTTAATTACTATTGTTGATGGTATATTATATCATCCGACTTTAATATTGAATATATATATATTCTACGAGATAGATTCATAAAATATCCACATTTACGTGGTTTTTTTTTTTCTAGCATATCCCAAGTTATTTTTATTTATAAATGACTATTTAGATAAAGGTTTTAGAAAATAATTATATAGACAATATATATAAGTCTCAAAAATAGTATTAGTAACTATTTAAAATCGAAACAATTGTAATTAAAAAATATGTTTTAACTTATATTATTGTAACAATATGAATAAAAACATTTACAAACTAGTATGTATTCCACACAGTCTCAAACCAATACCATCACATAGCCATCTTGTGACATGCTTGGCTTTTTACTTATAGACTATTTAAATTGCATGGTTTGGTCGTTATAAACTTATAATACCAAATAATTTCAATGCTTCTAGCTGGTTTATATATAGCTGTTTTTTTAACGATCCTGTATCCTAGATTTCAAAAGTGAAAAGCTATCAAATCTAAGTAACATATAAGTACATATTAACAATTTGGTCACGCTTTTGGACATTTTCATTAAGTGAGAATGAAAATCAATGGCAACAACAGATTTAATACAACATTTTAACATCTGTCGTCTAGAATTTATACTAATTTATGAAATCTCATGAACGGACGACGATATGAATGCATGCAAAATGCATTAATGTTGTAAAATTGAGTGCACTTGTGTCAATAGTCAAAAGCTATAATTACATTTACAGTCTTTTCTCATTTTAACTTTGACCAAAAAAAGGCTACAACAATTGATGGCCAACAACTACTACGAGTAGAGTGAATCTATGTATAGTAACTGATGACCAACAACCATTAAAGTACTGCAGTAAAATCCATTTATAGTAATTTGTGTAGAAGAAGTTGTTGGTTGTCTGATGACGAATCTTTGATCGTTATTTTAAAACATTCAAATTTTGGTAACTAGAAAGTTAGAAGACTCTTATCCACATAAATTTTAGGAGTAACTTTAACATGTAGACTCTATCTAAAATTGTTAGTTTCATACTAGTTTTTACATGACTCTATAATAAAGCGTAGCTTGCATTATTTTAAGTTATATCCTCTGAAAATAAAATGCATTTTTTTTACGTTTATTTCATCCACTATACACTGTCAAGCATGTTCTTGATCGATAGCCGGAAACACGGTTCGGTCTGACCAGTTCGATTTTGAAAAGCCAAAAATTTTTTTGTCTGACATCACACTACGTGTCATGGACTAAATGGTTGCAACGAGACGCGTTTTTAGCCCCCAGCCAAAAGATAAATGGTACCTGTAGATGTAATAAGTGGAAGGGAAAACTGAGTAAGATTCGTTAATAGTGAATCCCAAAAATCGCATTATTTAACAAATGATTAAGATTAGAATAGAGGTTCGTCTTTTTTAGCATTATCTTGATCTCTGTCCGATTGCGGCAGGAAATTGACAAAGCTCATGAGAGTGGCAAATCAGTAGTACTGTGGAAGATGATTGGGGTCGTTTTGGTATTCGACATCATGAGTTCACGTTCGTGACTAATTTTTTTTTGTTGTAAAGCTTTATTCAATTGTTGTTGTGTTGTGGTAATTCGTACTTTTATTCAATAGTAAAAGCTTCCACAAGCTTAATAGATAACTTTTGTTATATAAAAAACAATAATAGAATTAACCCGTCGTAGTGATGGGGTGGTTAAAGATCTGATGAGTTTTATGAATTACTCGCATAAGTTTCAGAATTAATTCAATTTTGAACAAAATTGTTGCGTGTGTGGCCATTTAGACTATTGGATTTTGGCTTATAAATTTGCGGAAAACTCATGTCGATACCGATTCTAATAAATTTTTAAAAACCAATAATATCTATTAGAGTTTAAACTATAAAAGTAAAATCAGTCACATGAAATATGAGTAATGGTCCCCGTGTTATTGTGTATAATGTCTCCCAAAGTACGTGAGTTTAACTTTAATTATTCTTATTATTTTTGAATGCAATTAAGCTACGAATTCTAGAGTTTTCCCCAAAGACTTTTCTTTTTCTGAGTGTCAAACAGGCGTCACGCCACTTATATACACAATGCAACTAAATACCCATAAGTGGACTGATATATGCAATTCCACATTCGTATATGTAGATGTGTATATATGTAATGACAATGTGTATGCATGACGTGATGATGACATGTACATATAAGCTTTTGGAAGTGCAAGTTTGCAGCAGCAGTTACATGGATGTAAGTTTTGTCACCTTGTCCGATGAATATGGCCATGGATATTTATGGTTTACAGCAATAATATCTTATTAATTACAAGCAATGTCAATAAATTAATAACATATAGCATGCATTCATATCTTATTAAATTTTAGTATTCAATTAAAGCAATAATAATAAGAAAAATTACCAACTAGACCAACATTTGTAGTAATCTAGTAATGGAATTGATCGTACATTTTCTTTGTAAACTGCAAGTCAAGTACGATGGACAATGTCACAATCATAACAACATTACCATACTTTTTTTCTTTCTTTTTTACCATACTTGTTTAGTAAGTATCATGAGAATCTAAAATACAAAACCGCGTGGCTTTGTTGTGGTCACTCGTACACTGTCTTGATGTCTACTTTTATTTATGCTCCTTTTGCTTTATTTCCGAGCTTTCTCTTCTTTTCGTGCATGGGAGATGCGGGCCGATGGAATTCAATTGCTCCACAATGTGTAAATGACAACAACAAAATAAAAGCACTTAAAGATCAAACTCTTTAAAATCCACATTTTAACTTTTGAGAGTTGATGAATTCGTGTAAATAATTTATTAATCATAATACATTGGTCGTTAGAAATTCTTTTATCGAACCAATATAAGACCATGAGTCAAACTAATAAATGATGATAAGAAAAGAATCTAACTATCATAACATGTTTTATTTCCACTCGTTCTAAGTCGTGGTGGTTATATATGAACCAAATGAGTTATTTTACAGCCTTTCGCACTCATAAATCATTCTTGTGGCCCTTGTCGGCACTGCCTCATGTAATCTTTATGCTCCCCTGCGCATGTTTCTTGGTAAATTTACTGACACGAATATTATGTATATATGTACGTTAAAAAGTAAAGTATAAGATTTTGTTTTTTATTGACCAAGAAAACAAAAAGTAGCTGTTCTAATTGAAAAAAAAAACTTCAATAAATCTATGAAATAAAAATTATCATATTTTAAAATATGCCATAGACCCATTTTCTTCTCAAATATACAACTTCTTAATAGTATGTTAAAAATTCAATTTGAAGAAATGATTGAGTGTAAATTTTGTGAACTCGACATGTTTTTGTGGTTTATTTGATATTATCTCTTGATTCAATCCTCATTCTCAGATTTTACAGTTCCATTTGAAATATATGATTATTTTTTTTTTAACTCGAAATATATGATATATGTAAAATTATAGTTACATATCAGAATGCATATCATTTAGTGTGTATAGACGATGGATAGAAAAAGTCGGACATTAATAATAGAAATTTAATTTAATTTTGGACCACAACTCTTTCCTGATTTCCTCTCTCTATAAAAAAAACTTGATGTAGATAAGATCCCATATAAATACAAAATGTCAATATATAATAAGACAGAACTTGAACTCGTTGAAAATATAGATTCTATGCTATACGACAGACATACTCTGTCGTGATTCATACATACATACATTACATGCACATGCAAGATGATATCAAGATGCATGTTCGCAAATTATATACATATATTCCACGGTTGATGCGGAAACTATAGTTACCGAATCTTATTAATGATGATGAATAACCAATTAAAAATCCTCACGAATACTTAACATGTTACCAAAAAAAAAATCCTGACGAGTCACGACGACGATTGACCCAATATAAGTATATAATATTAATTTAGTCAAGTGCAATATTTATGTTAGGACCTGAAAAATTGGTACGTCTCTGTTTTTCTTCGAGTTGTGACTTGTGAGTATCAATGAGCATCCAATTTATTATATTCACCAAACAGTCAAACATGAGATGTTTTAGATCAAAGAGAATGTTTCTGTTCCATCATTAATTGTTGTGTAGATTTTTTGATCACTCATTTAATTCCAAAGCATATAATTCGGGCATACTTTTGAAAGGATAAGCTTATAGCTAGGCATCGAGATCCACACAAACACTCACATATTCATTGTGTCATATGTACAATTCGAATTACTCATCTACTGAAATTAGATGTCTTTCTACATGTAAAAAAATCTATAAACGAAATTTAATTTTATATGGTGAAATTAGTTAGTTACAATGATTTAATTAAAAAGACATAATGCACCATCCGACCAATATTGATTGCCTTTTCTTACTACCTATAGAAAGTTTATGAAACAAGATGCATACTCGTTAATTATCCATTAATCAACATCCTAATCAAATCAACAAGCCGCATACACTAGAGAAACCATGTGTTGAATCATCCATCATGTGACGACTGTATATCCTTATAATTATAGACCAAAATATGCATTATGTGATGTCAGTATTTATTTTTTAAGGTTTAAATAAACAACTTGTCCACCAATAGTTATATTCTTCTTATACAAAAGATTCCTGTTAGTAATGACATAATCTTATAAACAAATAAAACAGAGGAAAATGTCACGACATCTAGGGTATTATGTCCCCGTTCACATGTTCCATATTTTGGGATTTTCCATCCCAATTTTACGAAAAAGGCACCGTTGATGTAAAAGTAATATATATTTACGTAATCATATTACTCATGTGATTTCTTCTCTTTTAGAAATCTTTAGTGATGAAAGTGTATGAGATATTCTGTTATTTTTTGGAATATATAGAAAACTCAAAAAAGTTTTCGGATCTGTTGAATTCGGTAGAATATTGAAAAGAAAACAAGAGAATGTGATATTTATTTTGTTTCTAATATTAAATCGAGGTTTTCTTTATGATCGTTGAATCGTCGTCAAACGTGTACTAAATTTTTTTAGTATCAATGTCACTAAAATAAGCAGGAAAAAATTATTTCAGCTTAGTTTTGCTGAACAATACAATTAATGAGATTTCTTTTTATAATTATTATTATTAAAAGACTTAGTAGTTCAAATTATTATTATTAAAAGACTTAGTACACACCATTCAGAGACAATGCATTACCAAGATTTCAAATTAAAATTCTAGTAGCTCAATACAGTTAGAACACCAAATAAAATATATAATTAAATTTGAAAGCCTAATGAACTCGAATGCTCCTGTCTATAAAAAATGATCGTCTCTTACATTATTGCCTGCGTAATATAATCATACCGTCCCTTATTACATTAGAATTTGTATGAAATTGTACATGAAATGATGAAGGTCTCCATCGCAAACGTGGTCTGTCCCAAAGTATTATAATGAGTTTTGACCCAAAGGCTTTCTTTATCTCACAACATGATAGCTTCTTCTTTTCTTTTTCTGCATCTCTAGTTTTACAAATCAATGTTCCTAATTACATACCAGTAGTTTAATATATTTTTAAAAAAGAACCATGAATAATGCCTTTATTTTTTCATTGTTCGGTAATATATCATGAAAGAGTTCATGTCGTAATTGATATGTTGTACAGTAACGTGTTGCTTCCAAAAATGTTAAGAAACAAAAAATGCCAATTATATGTATGTAATATCGTACGTATATGAAAATGAAATGTAAATAAGGTGATGTCACGTCGATGCATCATTATCAAATAGTACACCATTATTAATGTGGTTTGTTATGTTTCTTAGTTTGTGATCTTGTGTTTATAGGTTTGGGCTTAATTAACTAATTAACTTGATCTCTAGACTCTAGCTATTCTTCCAAATGGCTTATACTCGCCTTATACGCTCTTGTTTTCGTTGTAGAATTGGCTTGCCACTTTATATTTTAGAACTTTATCTCATTATCATGTTTTCTTCTTCTAATATATTTTATTATAAAAAATGTTTAACTCATGTAAAAGACTTTTTAGTAGTGGGCGATAATGGTGTAAGTCTTTAATTTTGGGCCGTCTTTTCATAATTGCGAATATATGTGATTGATGCAATGCCACTTTATATTAATCTTTTTTAACCAAAAAAATCCGTACAGAAAAGTGAAAACATTTTAACTTTTTATCACAGATGATTTATTAGAAAACTGAGAGTCATAAAATGTTTTTATCAATGGTCAGGAATGTTTCAGAAGGTCAAAAAATAATAATACAAAAAAAAAAAAAAACTTGGTTTGTGTACAATACAAAACTATTAAGTTTTTAGCAATCAAGGGACCAAAATAAATGCTTCACAAGCCTGAATTAAGGCCAGGTCTAGCTAAAATTTATGTGGCCCGAGTTCAAACCTCAAAATATGGGCCCTTATGAACACAGTTACCTTTAAGTTGTTTCAGTCTATTTATTTAGCTTACAAATGAATATTTTGCTAGTGTCAGAGTGCTTTGTTATAGTGTTGTTGTTATGTCTCAATTTCATAAAATAATTGATAAATTTTATTCATTTTTATTCTAATTTTGATTCAGTTGAAATTATAGCAAATGTTAATGATAATAGGATAAAATATTTTCAGAAAACCTAATATAAAAGACATGGTTATTATAATCGTAACCCTCTAAAAATAACTATATTTCATATAAAAATGAATTTGGCTCCCTTTTTTTGGTGGAACGAATGAATTTGGCTCCTTTGTCGAACTTTTCGTTGTACTAATATATACATTATTATTTATGCATAAATAAAGATTACCAATAACAGAAATCACCACGAACAATCCCAATAAGATAGTATTAGACTATTAGTCCAGAGACAACATTATTATTTAGCATAAATAAAGATTAACGACAATAGAAATGAAAACTAACAATCCCAATAAGACTTGAGAGACTGAACAACCAACGAGAGTTTCTGATAATCAGTGGACCAACTTGTATTCTTCACATTAGCCAAGTACTATCAACATGATCCAAGAAGGTTCGAACAGAATGATATTGACCAACCATTCCTTTGATCTCAAAGCTTTTGAAGTTCGTTGTGGCTTCATCGTAATACAACACAAAGAGTGGTCCCCCGAACCAAGTACCTGTGTCTGGTGCGAAAGCAAGTTCTCCTCTTCCAATGGTACCTTTAAAATAAAACTTCTTATTATCAACCGTTTTTGTCCAATGAGGAATCTCAATGGTCTCTCTCTTCCAATTTCCAGCAACGTCCTTCCTAACCAAAATTATAAAAACTCCATTGCGATTCAATTCATAGTCAATGTTGTTCACTAAAGCAATATCCCCTTTGTAATTCACCAATGTCCAATGATGATCAATTTTGACTTCGCTAGGCAATTCAATGACACTAAACTCTTCAGAACTCACGTTGAAGCTCATGACCACAGATTTGTCACTACTGGACATAGCTCCATAGTACAAAACTCCTCCTTTAAATAGTCCTTCAGTAACTGGTGCATGGTCATGCTCACATCTGATCGGTCTCCAAGAAGAAGATTCTTCATCCGATCTCACCGTACACACCTGATATTCCTTAGTTGCTTTTGTTATACATAACACCTTGAATACATCCTTATCTTTATCGTATCCGAAAAAACTTGTCATGGATGCTCCTTTAGGCACTTTGATCTGCGGTAAAGTCCGACACTTTTTCGAACCCGGATTGCATATAACAATCTTAGTATTTCCTTGTTGACAGATCAAACCACGGATGGGTTGAGAAACTTTAAGAAGTGGTACTTCGTCGCTACGCATCTGTTGTTTACCAGACAACCACAATGGTTCCTCTTCTTGATAAACAGAGTAAAAGAACGCTTCGGATGTGAATTTGTGGAATTCTCTATGATTGGCGACGAACAACACTCGAGGCCTTGTCATCGACCGGCTCAGGTAATGATCTCTGAATGCTTTCGAACGGATGAAAGCTGCCCATTTCTTTGAGACGCACATGCATCCCATTAAGGATTTCAGAGGCAATCGTGACAGAATCTCCATTTGCATATCTAAAGGAAGTGTTTCGAAACTTGTTTTCACCATTTTTTTCTTCTTCTCTAATGATATTTTTTTGTGTCGTTGGAGACAAAAGCACAAATGTGATATATTTATAGCAAATCTCAAGAGTTTGTTGTGAGTTGGTGACTTTAGTTTAACTTGTTGAGTTGTGTAACGCGTTAATAATCTTCACTTTAATTTTTATTTTATTTAGTTTCATGCTTACATCTAAAAAACAAAAGGAGAAACTTTGGTTCCACACGTTAAAGACTTACTAAAATTACTGGCCAATTAGCATAGAGATTATTGGATACCAAGCATAATATTACTGGCCAATTAGCATAGAGATTATTTTTTTTGTCACACGTCAAAACTTACTAATTTTTATGACTAAATTAGAAGAGAGATTTTGGTGTCAAACGTGACTTGAAAGGTTTTCTTTCATCATACACTCAACCCACAAAATCAATTTCAAATATCTAAACACGTTTTAACTTTTTAATGGTTTTCAGTTTTCACTTTAATTTTTTGTACACAATTGTTACAGGGAGATTTCACGTATAATACGCATAAAAACTTAGTTACCAATTTTTAAACTTTTTATCTATTTTTATCCTATTACTCCTTGAGAATTGTTTGGTTTATGTCGGGATGTAAATTTGAAATAAAATAATGTAACCCATATTATTATTATTAAGTGTACTATTCAGAATGGTACTATTAGTTTACGTACTTGCAAAGTTACAAAATTTCAGCCTAACAGTAACAGAACAATAAATGAAAGCAGAGGATTATGATTGATCGCAATAGAAAGTGATATAGCCAACCACAGATTTCAAACCGCCACCTATCCGTTTAGTTGCCGCTCTTTCGAGAGCCAATCTTCTGTTTTATTTCAACCGCCATAAGATTTACTCTTTTGCAAATCCAAATCTTCTATTACACCATTACCTTTTACCATTTTAGTTTCTTCAAAACCATGTTTACAAGAAACTCTTGTGACCGCCCGGGCTTAGGTCGCTGGCTACTTTAGATGGCTCGGTCTGCAACTATATAGAGAAAGCAAGTTTAGAGTATTAAGTTGATGGCTGCTACTTTCTTGGGTGTTTAGAAGATATAATTATAATACTTATGACCAATTGGGAAACCATTAGATTGTTGAGAAGTCGATTAATACCTCAAAAAAACACTAGAGTGGTCTTAGTATAACTTTTTGTAACAATAGGAGTTGGAGTCTCGTTTGGGTATAACAGAACTAATAGGTCGTCGTAACTCGTAAGTTAAAGACAAAGATAAACAGAGTTACATCATTTGTGTTTGTTTCTAAACAAGAACAAAACAGAGAGTGAAACAAAGAGAGAGACGTGAAGAAAGAGGTGAAAACAGAGAATTACAAAACCCTTTGTAGAAACTTAAGTCATATGCAAATCATGAGGAATGATAGGCTTTATGTTTTCCACAAGACTTCGATCCAGATGCAGAGGAGGACGGTGTTTCCGAAGCATGAGATGGCTATGAATAGAAGCACATTAAGTTTAGATGTATGTCAGTATGTGTCACACACAATGACACAATCAACAAAGTCAAGGACCTTCTTCCTTGCGGAATCAAGATCTAGAGCCCGATCACAAGCATCTATCGTTTTTAGCAGAACATCCTTAGGCAGTTGGTTACCTTTCGTGGTTGAAGCAGTAACTGAAACAACCATGATCATAGCTGATGGAAGAAGGCCTTCAAGATCAACAAGGGTTAAGTCCATCTCATTGCCAATTCTTTTCACAACACGAACATAATCGATTGGGTGATGAACCAACGACTCAAGCTCTTGAAACTTAAGTCTATACTTGTCACGGATAAAGTTGTGAACGATGACTATTTCATTCTCAATATCAACTAAGAGCTGACTGCAATCCAAGATTAGCTTCTTGTACTCTAATACAATTCTTTTCTCAAGAGCCTCTTCCACTTTCTGCATTATATCAGCATATCTCTGACTTTTTTGTAGCTTTGAAACACTATCGATATCATCGTAGTTAAGGGTCTTTAAGTCTGCCATGTCCATGTCAATATCTACAAGATTTGCCTATAACAAACAGATCCAACATATTTAGTTAGCAAATTCAAGAGCATTACCAACGTTTCAGAAACAAACACAGACCAATAGCAGAAAAAATTCAAACAAAGGAAACAAAAACAAAAAGAAGCAATATTTAACAACTCGAAAATCCTAACATCAAATTAAAAATTAACAAAACATCGGTCGATTATATTGAAACTTAAGTGTCAAGAAATCCAGTGACGAATCAAAACTGCTGTTGAAAAACTAGTGAGAAGAACACGATTAATGATTGAAGATAAACAATTTCAGAGAGATGTGGTTAATGAAACGCTTACCATATATATTCTCCTACTTGGATCGCAAAAGTCTAGTGATTTTTTCTGCAGAGTATACGAAAAGAGAAGTCTCCGAAACTTGGGAAAGCCCTAAATATAGAGAAATCACTAAGTCGGCAATCAAAATTGGGCCACTTTAGGTGGGCCTTGGCTTCTGCAAATTCCCATTATGATTCCGCTTTAAACATCTTATTACTACTATTTTTTTTTTCTGTCTAAAAACTTTCATTAGATAATTGGTATTACAAAACATCTTACTACTATTTTTGTAGAAAATTTTATATTTAAAATAAAGTTACTCTTTTGAGTTTCTTTCTTCAGTTCTATTTTTATTTTATTTTTGATAAATAAATTTATAGAAATAAAATTCTAAATCAACTACTTTAAAATGCAAAAGGTAATCATTTCTTTGCAACAACAAAAAATTAATGTAAAACGAAAAGTCACTACAATTTCGTTCTAGCTAATAGACCGGACAATAATACCTTATAGAAGTTTTTATGTAATAAAATTGTGATGATCAATGGCTTCAATGCTAATAAGTTTTAACAATTAACATACACATAGTAGATATATAATCTGGAAAAAGAGAAAAAGAACCGAAAGTTCAAATCTTCGTTCAAACATCATCAATTAGACAAATATAGAAGTTTCAAACGTTGGTTACATGCTTTATTGTTTGAGCTTTTGAAATAGAAGCAGCAAAGTTGAAGTTTTGAATTAACAAAAGAAAAAAGAAACCAAAGAAGTTGGAGAGTAATCATCAACATGAGAGAAAGATGAGTCAAAGTGTCTTTGTATCTCAAAAGAGTTATATATTCCCTTAGCTTTCTTTTTTTAAGAGAAGGCAAAAGCAGGAGTGGTCTTGAAATCGAGCTCCCAGAGATCAAATGTTCCTTTGACGAAATTGTAGTGACCTCCTCTTATCGCAAGTGTATTCTTCACCACCGCAGCTCTCACGAATGGGTACGAAAGCAAGTTTCCAAGCGACACATTCACAGCTTCCTGCACAAGAAAACACATATTTGTCAATAAGTCATCTCTCTTTCTCTTCTCAAGGACATAAGTAACAGAGCAAAGATTGTTATTATTACCTTCTCACACTTGTTGCATTGATCATCGTAGCTCAGGTCTTTATGTTCCTCCTTGATCTTGTTCCTCGCTGATGCGCCAATCTTCACCCAGTTTTCTATGAAGTCACTGCCATTTTTAAGAGGATTTCCATCGTGTTAGAGATCGAATAATCTTATCATTACTCAGGCCAAATCAAGATTAATTAGTTTTTGATTACCTCTGAGTTGGAGCAGCATCATCTTCAATGTTCATGAGTCCCTTAATGCCACCACAACAGCTATGGCCTATCACCAAAATGTTCTCCACCTACAAATTAATTGACACTATTAAAAAAAAAAACTGTTGACTCTGAATAAAAAGTAGTTGCAAGTTGATGCATTAAGACCCATTTCTAATATCGAACATTATCCAAAAATGATTCAACTTTATTTCATAAAAAGATAATCCTAGTGGCTAAAAGGAAAAGGAGAACAGGGGTTTGGTGGATGAAATGGGTCCAAATAACACAGTGACTAGACATCAACTTTTAGTAAGAACCATGTGCAAGCAAAAATGCATAACAACGACTTAAAATAATAAGCACTATCAAAATAGCCAAACTTTAGATGATTACTGATTAGAAAAGAAACAAAGTTTGCTTATCCTTAAAAATAGGGATATTTTTTCTATGTACCTTGAGATGTACAACTGCGTATTCGACGGCGGCTCCAACTCCAGAGTGTCTCTTCTGAAAAAGATTATCAAAGCCAACTTTTGTGTTAGTTATTTGATCTCAGACAACAACAACAACTCTTGTGAATTGTAATGGTTTGGCAATGAACCTGGTCAAAAGGTGGAACCATATTGGCAATGTTTCTGACAACAAAAGCCTCACCGGGTCCGAAATTCAAGATGTGAGATGGACAAACTCGAGAATCAGAACAAGCAAACACCAGAAACTGCCATAATCATAAAGAATTCAACATCATTTTCAATTCATTACCTCTATGGCTCTATAATAAGAAAGTGGTCCATCTTTCGTTTCAATAATTGTTTTTGCTTATTCATAAAGTCAAACATCATCGTTGGATTATTAAAGCTTTCACACTCTTTTGTTCGTATTAACCTAATTTCTTAGTTTTTTTAGGTATTAGTCAAACAAATAAAAAAAAGTAAATGAAGAGAGAAAAAGTTAAAACCTTTGGGCTCTGACCCTTGGCAAGATCATTGAACAAAGCACTATTTTTCCTGAAAATAAAATATGAACAGAGAGATTTCATCAAAATTCATGAATCAACCTTAAAAAATTTCAGAATTTCATTAAAAGCCACCTTTTTATATATTTCTGTTACTGCATACACTAATTTGATCTAAGCACGATCCAACTAATTTAATTAGCTTTTTAGAACCTTTTAATAACTTTTTATAGCATTATCCCATGAAAAAAACCGTAATACTAATAGAATATGAAAAAATAAAGGTAGATATATATCATTAATGAGTTACTTTATTCAAAGACAAACAAAAAAAAGGACCATTCCACCGTCATGAAAAATTCTTTACAGAACAAAAAACGAATTTAATTATATTCCATTTCCTTAAATAACGTTAAAAAGTTTTTAAGTAATTTAAATACTCACAAATATTTCTCAGTTTTGAATTGAGTAAAACCAGTCTTGATTCGTTGAATAGCGTCTGAATTGTCGGAGTCAAGCTCTTTTAGCTCCGCCGTCAACGCTTTGATCTTCGCGGCGGCGACGTTTCCGAGATCTGCTTTCGTACTGCCAGAAAATCAAGAATTAAAAAAAGGAAAAAACGCGGAAATGTGAAAAGCTTTTTCCCCAAGGTAAGTTGATCAACGGTCAGGATCAGTCGTACGTGTACGAATTCCAAAATGTTTGGTCATGAAGAAAACAAAAACGCGGAAATCAAAAAGTAAAAACTCTGATTTTTTTCCGATTCAACGCTAATTTTTTTTTGCTTTGATTTTGGCGTTGATTTTGGAGAAATTGATCGCGAAATTGTGGGAGAAAAAAAAAACTGACAAATATGCCGACACTTTTTGAGGTCAGAGAGAGAGAGAGAGTGTGTGTACCTGAGAAGATCATTGAGTCCTTTAATGGCGGCTTCGTACGATTCCGTTGCCATTTCGTCTTTTTCCTAATGAATACAACAACAATAAGTAATATAATCGGTGAAATTTGAAGAATTTGATGATGTTGAAACATGAAATTGGATCTGATGAGAGAAACCTTAAAGGATCACAAAAGCAGAGGAGGTTTTTTTTTTTGCTGGAGAGTAAAAATCCTTATCGAAGAATGTGAAATCAGTTAATGCAGTGGAAATGCTTTTGTGATGGATATTGGTATTTATAGGCATAGATCTCTATTATGCCATTTGGTTCAACTCTTACATTTCTTTTTTTCTCAAGGGAAAAAAAAAAGAAACTCCACAAAAATGGGAAAGATTATTTTTAAAAAAATATACTTTTTTTTGTGGATAGTGATTGATAAAACTATTTTTAAATTTTGGAGGTGAAATGGTTGATTGAGGAGGAATAATTAAGCATGTGCCTCAGTGCCTCTATGACTCTGTGAAACATATGCTGAATATATGATTCTATATTCTTTATCATTTACATATAACTTGTATTCTCCGTGGTACTGATAAATTGTAATTAGAACCCATTTGATTTTCAAGCAAAAATAATACTAATAAGTTAAAATTTTGCAATTTCTTTTTTGTAAAGGCAAATTTCATTCCAATTTCTACCTTATTTGACTACAATAGTTTTTTTCTACCTCATTTGACCATAAAAATGGTAAACGCGGGGCAAAAAAGCATATGGTCAGTATTTGTTTTCATAAAGAAATTTGGTCTGCGTCTTTTCCGATGGGCCGGTGGCCAATGGCAAAGCAGGATAAGTCAACCAAGGCAAAGCCTACAAGCTGTGACACGGTCAATGTTTTTAACGGACTCGCCAGTTGGCATTTACGCGTCACCATTACTTTTTCTATATCGATTTCGTCACTTTATATAATTGGGTGCAAAATACTACTATAATCTATATCTTGAAAGACGTTAAAAAAAAAATCTATATCTTGAAAAATGCTTCAAAAGTTGCACGACCCTTGTAAATTAAAAATGTATTACCAAAGTATATAATCACTAGAGGCTAATTATAAATTAGTTTGTCTCATAATCACATTTTGAATTGAAATATGTATTGATCGGACTTACCGGGGAGGTCTTAGCGCAGCAGAACGTGAAACATTTGCCGAATGCAGGAGCCATTATAAATGATCGCTTCCTCTGCTTCTCCTAGCGACGACCTGTCCAGTCCAAACCCGTAATCTTATTTTTTTAATTCATCTAAAGATAAACTATAGAAATTTTCTCATTGTAACTTACAATTGACTGCATTATTAACTACTCACGTCGGCATTCAATTTTTTTAAATTCATAACAGATATATAGTTTTATTATATTTGGAAGACTAATAATGCGATGGCTGAATCACGAAAAATTAAAATAGATGGATGATCTAAATCCGGAATGGTTCTCTGACTCTTTAGTTCCACATATAAAATATGTAATACATATTTTCAAACTCTTTTTTGGCTTAAAATGCTCAAGAAACGCAAGCTGGCTTTTCATTGGACCGAAGGTTCATTTCCCTAAACCATTATTGTATATGACTATACTCATTGCCATGAATAATTCAAGTTTTATTCTATTATATTAAGTTCTAACCTATTTTAGGATAACAAATGGCTCCATTGTCAACGAACCATAATTCCAACAAACATCATACATATACTCGTTCTTGGTTTTTCAAACATGAACTTGAAATGAAGTTCTTGTGTTTTTTTTTTTGTGCGGAAAAAATGGTTTCAGTTTTATGTAGAAAAGGGTTTTAGTACTCGACAATAATTAAATTAAATTAAATTAGATAAATTAAGAAATGAATTACCTAAATGTTAGGGAAGAAGAAGAAGCTCTTGATAATGCTCTTTCTAGCTCCTCGACAACCCTATGGACGTGGGAACAGTTCGAAGATGATGAGGCAAAGGATTTTGGGAATTGAAATAAATAAAAAATACTCCCCAAAAAATCTTAATTTATATGTTTATTTGGGAAGAAGATTGGATATGGGTTTTTGGATTTTCGAGGTTACAAGGAATTATGACGACCGTTCGAGCAATGTGAGGGTTCTGTTATGGGATAGAGAAAGCGAAAGGTGAGTCAAGCAGGACTTCTTCTTCTTCTTCTTCCATGTTTTGTTTTTCATTTTTTATTTTTATTTTTTTCTGTTATTTATTTAGTAAAAATCATAATAAGATCTATATATACTTAATTGACATTTTGAGAAATACTAAAACAATGCTAGAAGTTAATCTCATTAGATTTTCTTCTAATCACAGTCTTTCACATTTATTGTAATTCTTCCTACTATTTATTTTAAATAAAGTAAATTTGAAATTATTCTGAAAATTTAACAAAACTAGAATCAAATATCTATATACCATTTATTAATTCTATTCATTATGATTTGTTTTTTTTATCTGTCAACAGCTCCATTAAGTATAAATTTATAACATCTTTTAGTTTTAGATCCAAACTAATGTATGATTACAGTAGTCGTGAAGTTATTATCCGGAATCCGAGATCTAGTTTGCTTCCGAAAATTTCCGGATATCAAGAATTGTGGTAATTTTTAATTTCATGAACAGCCATCAGGAGGGCTTGCACCACTCATTCATGTAATAGAGACAATTAGATCTAAAACAACCAAAACCAAGGAAAAAATTAGAGACATTGCAAATTTTCACAACCAGTAATTGTTTGGGGCTTTGATGAGTCCATCTATAAGAATGGTGTTTGTCAGGCTGGACCCGGATTCTAGGCCCATGATGCTGATGCTTGTTTTCGGCCGAATACTTCTATGGGCCTCTTACATATAATATAAGCACTTTTAAAGTTGTAATATTGTATTAGGAGGAGACATATTGAGTTTGGTGAGATGTGTAATGTGTTGTCACTTGTCACTACCAATACTGGTTTGTACTTCTACTATGTCTAAATAGTTTGATACCTACTTAATAGTGTCGGTAAACAGAAGTTGTAAAACTAAGCTATCAAAAATAAATGCGACTGGAAATAATTTGTAGCCATCTCTCTAAAAATGTGTTTTACATGTTGTCTGCCGCCATCGTTAATCAATTGGATAGAGATATACTTTTAAGTTAATTGTACTTAATCTAGCCTCTTTTAAAACATTTCTTGTGGATCTAACATTTTGTCAAAGTAGGTTTTTATATTTGTTCATAGTATGTTTTGGATCGGTGAATCTTTTGTCTACTTTCAAAATCAAAAAATACTTTACATCAAAAAAAAATTAATCAAATGAGGCAAAACGGAAAATTAACAAGTAAAGTTTCACTTTTACTTACAAAAAGGTTATAATAATACACAGGTACCAAAAAAAAAGTTAGATTATTATATACAAAGGCAAAGATTTGTCGGTAGAGATTTTGAAACAAGACCGGTTTAATCAAAAAGGATGAATATTTCTGGTTAAACCATTAACATTAGTGAAGAATCCAACATGTTGATACGGTAGATACGATCTTCGTTTTCCTTCTTCTCTCATTGCTCTGTTTCTCATATACAATTTCTCATGTGCCGATTTCGTTCTCATCTTCTTCTTCTTCTCCGTCTTCGTTTTCTCTTTCCCTTTCTCCGACGACTTCACGGCACCGCTCAATTTCGCCGACGTAGACGACGTCGACGACGAAGATGAAGAGCCGTTGCTTAAAAACACAAACGCATCTTTTCCATCACTGTTACTTCTCAAAACAAGATCTCTAAATCTCCATAGTTTTGAAAACCCTGTTGAGTTACTTTTCCGACAAGTCTCCGGTGATGCTTCTTCCACCGTACGATTTGACCATGAACAAAACGGACCCATCGGTTCTTCTTCTTCTTCTTCTTCTTCGGTGGTTGTGGCTTCAACGAAGAGTTTCTTGAGAGGTGAACGTAAAGTTTCCTCCTTTGGATCATCGAAGAAAATATTCCGGTTAAACAGAGGATAAACCGGTCGGATCTGACCGTCTTCAAACGCTTCCTCTGCGGTTATCGGTGAATTCTCTGCGTTTACACTTGCGAATGAGAACTCTTCTTCTTCATCTTTATCTCTGTTTTCTTCCTCTGTAGAACTAATCTTCAGTTTTGAGCCAAAATCGTCGTTTAGTTCACCGTATACTTCTGAAAATCTCTCTTTTCCGGTGAATTTTGGCGCCGGAGATGAAGGAGCAATAACTTGCATCTTTTTATCAATCAGATCTTAAACACATAAACATAAAAAGTTTCTCTCTGTTTTTGTCTGAAAGAATCTGAAATAAGAGAGTATTTGTTGAGGTTTGATAAAAATAGGAGAAGCTTTGCTCTCTTTTATATATTGGTTGGATATTTTAGCTTCTCAATCTCTCAACACCTCTCCTTCTCTTTTTCTTTTTACTATTTTTTAATAAATTAATTTCTTTATAATATTATGAGAACTGAAAATAATTGTCAATATCCGTTCATTTTTGGTCAAAGTTAACTTGATAATGAATTACTGAAATGAATTTTATCCATATCTATAAAAAATAAATCTAAATACGTAATTTTTTTTTTTGCGTTGAATAAATTTAGATTCTAGAAAAACAAAACTAATTGAAGGCTGTCTTGTGTTATATTAATCAACATTCAAACTCTAATGCAACAACGTTTACCTTTAGAAATATTACGAACTAAAAAAGTCTAAAATTGTTTGCATATAAACTTTTGACCAAAAGAATTATATACAAAAGGACTAAAGTTTAGAAAAAGCAAAAGAGAAACACAAATACACAAATATGATTGGACTGTAAACTTTGGTTCTAGCTGAAAAATCTTAATAATTAAAAGTTAAAACAGCTTTCACACAAATATGAATACAAAAGACACACACACACAAATTAGATTATTTTCTCAAATTAAAATAATAAGTATTCACCAATAGACCAAGAGAGCAAACAAAACTAAGAGAATAAAACAAGACTTTTCTAATGCATTATCGGTTGAAGTAAAAGCGCGTGATGCCGTGATGGGCAATGAACATGAAAAGAAGCTGTGACGATAGAATCGTAGTTATCTTAGTTATACAGTTCGAGAAGCAAAAACCGGACTTGTTCATTGCCCTGACATGTGTAATGACGTGGAAGGTAGCTTCAGATCCACGTGTTGACCTTGGAGATTATGAAGTCTTCGAGAAGCTCACTTGGGTTTCTTTTCTTGTGTTGTGTGAAGTTGACCTAAAACAATATTATGCCTTTGGTGAATCTTGACCAATGTGGCTTTGGTCAACGGGATTAGCAGACTTTCCCTTGCCCTTTGCATGGTCATGGATATTTATTGGACTGATTCATGGTTTATATGTTTTTTTAAAATTTGTTTACGGTTCTCAAATTAGTTTAGATATTTTGTGTAGATACTTTTTTTGTAACTTTCGATTGTAGATAGTTTTTTAGTTTTCAATTATGCTTTTTGTAAATATCTTTTGGATATTTCGTAGGCTTTGGATTTTCGGTCCACACTGGTTTTGTCGGGTTCAAAGATAGTTAATGTATGTGGTAGACAGTGATCTACTAAATACGTACATTACTTTTAAAAATCGAACGTTGTGTAGTAGGAGTATTAGATTAGAGAGCAACCACATGAAGTGATAAGTAGTTGGTTTTAATTTTATATTTTTATGATATTTAAAATGATTTGCGCTTAGTTTGATAGAAAACGGATCTTTGATAGATTCTTTGTGATCTGAATTCAAGAGCATCTTTATTAAAATGATTTCTTTATAAAACAAAATTACATGATATTTATTTTATAATTAAAAGAAAATACAATAGCCTTTGGGAAAAAACCCAAGATCATTCAATGAAACTTCAAAATAATACAGAACTCAGGAAAAAAGTCAAAATAGATGAACAGTTGTTGGCGGAAACAGAATTTATTTATGATCTTATGGTTTTGGGATGCGAGCAAATTTCATAATATTATCGTCACATCAAATTAGCCACATGTTCGGTCATTAAGTATCCACGTAAATACGAACAGACCGACCAAAGAGTTATGAGAAGGAAGTGGCAAATAGTGTTAGGCAGTGTATTGTTCCATTTATGGTGGTGTGGCATAAATGGAATTTGGTCGCTGTTGGTTCGTTGGTGACTCACTCTCAATCGTGCACTGTATTAGTATTAAAAATATACACAAAGGAAAAATAGTAGTATCATATTGTTTTACTACTATTCGTAGAAAATGGAACGCATTGTTGCATGAAAAGTGTTTCGTAATTGGTTAAAAGGTACTTATAACTTTACCATAGGTAACAATATTAGTATCCTATGCCAAAACATAAAAGAGACAAATATCTTTTGATCCTCATCAGTCATTACTAATTGGAGTAAACTAAATTAACTAATTATGTACACATTAGTTTCTCCTATTCTGTACTCCGTGTGAATTACTTATGGATGACATGAGAATTTAACGTAGATAATATTAACAATGATGACTAGATTATTTATTTCATAGAACAAAATACGGTAGTTTACAAGTAATGTAAGTACTTGAAATAATATATACAAGTACTTAAATCTCCTATACATAGAGAATAATGCTTGTGTCTAAATTTAAAAATGATTACTTAATGATCAAGAAGATAGATAGAACTTGGACATCAAGGATTTTTTTTTTTTTTCACTGAAAGGATTATGTATTGATAATTCAACTCAAGAAGAGCAATTACAAAAGAGACCCATAATGGTTACATGACAGCTGCAACAGGTAAGTACCAAACACCAAAAAAAGATGACAAAAGATTGGACAAGGAAAAAGAGCGACAGTTAGAGAAAGGTTCTCTCAACCTCAAAGAACTGACTAAGCCAAAAAGGAGGACCAGAAGCAACATAAGATTGTAGTCTGTCCTCTTTGACCACACTTTGAGCAATTAGAGAAGCTCCCCTGTTCGCGACGACCTTTTCCTCCATAACTTTCCGTTCTCCAATCTTCTCCAAAAAATGAGTTAACTCTGAAACTTGATAAGCAAAGGAAGGCCAAGCAGAAGGCCTTGCAAACGCAGACAATAAGTCTCCTGGCTCAAAAACGAAGAGAACTCTGGTCATCTTGTGACTGTGCATACTTTCAATTGCCCACCTGACACAATTCAACATCACATCTTTTTTTCACATAGATGACTAAAAGCCTTCCTGCTATGTAACAAAACCTCTCCAAGATCATTCCTTAACACCCAAGCACCCCCGCATAATCTTTTTTTCCCAGACCAAGAAGCACCTATATTACATTTGACCCAGCCAGAAGGAGGAGGATCCCATCTATGCATACCTGGATCAATCAGCCTGTCTAAAACAGGAGCAACATTCTGAATTTGAGATTGAGCCAGAAACCATTCATGTGTGTCTTCTTGAATCTTTTCTATTGACTTTAATGGGTAGAAAGTGAGACCATCGAAAAACAACTTATTTCTGTTCTTCCACAACCTCCAAAGAACCCATGGCCATGATCTTTTTACCTGTTCTGGTATCATCAAGTTCTGTTTAAGCTCAAAGAGAAACTGGATATTGGCAAAGATTGTGCCATTTTGAAATCCATTCTCAGGAGTAGGAATACCAGACAAAGCCCAAACTTGACGAGCTAAGGAACAAGTAAAAAGGACATGGTTTATTGACTCACCATCAGCACCACAAACCTGACAACGCGGGTCAATATCCATCCCTCTTCGAATAATCTGATCCGCAACAGGCAGGGCAGAGCAGAGAATTCTCCAGATGAAAAGCTTTATTTTTGGACATCAAGGATATAATGTCAAAATCGTTCGAATTAAAAAAATCAAGAAAATTATTCACGCGTTTATCATATTTTGGTGGTCCCAAATGATGATGGTGAATTACAAGCAAATCTAAATGGTTAATATGATACCAAGATATGAAGCCAATAAGATTTTTTAAAAAAGAGTTTAGACTCCCATTTTTATGAAAATAGATTAACCATAGTTTTTTTTTTGTAGGTTCTACTGTTTGGAACATAAGATACCTTACTAAATGGTTAATATGATACCAAGATATGAAGCCATTAAGACATTTTATTTTCTCGAATAGACCTTATATCTTAATTAAATGATATAATACTACATCATATCACGAAATTGATAACTAATCTTATCCGAAATTATAGTGACATATCGAGAAAAGCTGTCCCCACACATGGTGGCTTAAATAAAAGTCCATAGTCCGACAGATCTTATACAATGATTTGTTTTGTTTGTTTGTATTTGGTTGAATTCAAGCGAGAGATAATTTGATACTCAAAAGGCCAAAGCCGCCGCAAATGCTAACATGTCTTCGAACAATGTTAGACGTTTTCGGCTCTTTTTTTTTCTTCTTTCGGTGTCGTTTAGGCATTTGGTCTGTGCATATTTTCTGATTAGAGATCAAAAGATTCACAACTATTTAAAACGAATAAATTTTCTTTGTTTCCTTTTTAGAATTTGACCAATTAATTTTACTTCTTAGATAGTTCTCAGAGTCGGTCAATAGGATCTAGGAAATCATTGACTTTTTCTGTCAACGATAATCATTGACTTTTTATGCGTGAGAATCAAGCATTGCATCATGCAATTTTATTTGAGTCAGAATCTACCAATGCAATTTTCTCTGTGCAGTTGGACATTTTCCCACACTATTTGGTCTAGAGTGTTAACAAAGGCTTGTATATCGTCGTCAAAACTTAAAATTTATAAACAAAGATTTCATTCAAAAATCGCCATTCCTTTACTAAACTTTCAAAGCTGAATAATAGTGAATCGATTTGAGAAGTTTACTTTCATCGACTTTTTTCCATATATTATTGATCGTTATTAGACTCACTGTTATGTCACTATGCATATTAGATTATTAGCTAATTAAACATTCTTTATGGCTGATCAGATGCTTATAGCGTAGAGTTTGAAAAAGTTACTAGGCAAAACAAATGAATTATGAATGTTAGAACCAGGACCGACCCAAAGTGGTGAGATGCTTAAACCATTGTATATTGCTCGAACTCAAGACATGATACCTACAGAGAATTAAGCTCTGCTGCCACTACGCTACAGCCATGTATTTTTGATAATCGTTCCGGCAAGCCTTAGAGACAAAAAAAGAAACGCAGCGGCAGTTTTAGAACCATAACTAATCGCTTAAAATTCCAGCGATAGTTGCAACTCATTTTAGCGACTCTTTTTAACTGTTGCGGCGATACTGGTTTATATAAAAGCTATTGACAGAGTTTTACGATTGAAAAGATAAAATCTAACCTAAAAATCTAATTTTTAATTTGGGGATTTGTAAAATTTACATTTATACCCTTTAAATTACTCATAATTACAATATACAGTTGCTTTTTAAATGAGTCGCATATAGATTATAGTCGTGCGATTATCAAAAGAACATGGCCGTAGTTTTCTAATAAATGATGCTCTAAAAATGATTACATACTTTTGGCGCCTAAAGCATCACTTTTATTCGTTTTAGTTCAGGACCGGACCTAGGTAGAACCAACTGTTATCTCCTGCTCTCTAGCTGAATCAGACACAAATTCTGTTTATCATTTTTGAACATTAAAAAGCACGTAATAGAGACTAGAGAGTGCGCCTTCCAAAGAGAGGCTTTGTCTAGTTTTCTTCCTAAGATGTGACAGAAAGTTTGTCATAATTCATAAAACTCATACTAATTAATAGTGGACTTAAATCTGTTTGCATGCAATAAGTATTTGAAAATGCAACATGTTTGTGCAAAACATCAAAGGAAAAAGTTTCTGAGCTTCCTATCAAAGATTTATGCCAATGCCTAGAGGATTAAAACAGTCATGAGGAGAGTCTCAAATGGGCCTTAGGAAGTAGCTGATAGATCACATCAGCAAGGCTTAAAAGAAGATACGAACACATCAAAAACCATTTGTTAATTTCCTCATCTTCAAAATCTCGATAGATTTGGGCGTTAGCCTATTCCTCAAAATGACTTTTCTTAATTATCTATATAAACTTCAACCACATCAATGAAGAAGTCCATATAGGCTTGTCCCTTGGATCATATGGAAGAACACAAATACTTTTCATCAGTTTAACAAAAGCAAATCCCCAATTAAATATAATTCTTACATGTTTATGTTTAGGTTTTCTGTATTTAAATACAATAAAAGCAATTCAAAATAAAAATTGTAAAAAAAAAAATCACTATATTTTTAATAGTACGTATCATTTTAACACTGCAAAGTGCAAACCAACAAGTCTATTATCAAAATAAACTTCTATAGATTTGATAGTTTACACAGAGAAAAAAAAATCAAAGTGTTATAAATAAAAATCGCTATTCGTATTTTTATATAAATAATTATTTCCTCAAAAAAGAAAAAAAATAAAAAAATCAGAAGAAGACGAAAAGAGAGGATCCAATTGAAAATCGGATTAGATTTTTACTAAATCAAGACATTGTCTGGTCAAAATCACCAAAAAGAAAGAGAGTTGTTGGATTCTTCACCAAAATCATCGTCATTTACATTGTCCTAGATCCTCCTCCTATCAATCTTCTATGGACCATAGATTCGAATCTTACTTTCTCTCCTTCTTCACAAGATCCTCGTCTTCTTCTTCTCCTTCTTCTACCTCTTTCTCGTAGCCTCCTTCCTCCTCCTTCTCCTTCTACGCCAACAACAAGAACCCACACAGGCTACGAATTAGAGAATGGCTGGTTCATCAACGAAGAGATTTCCTCTCTATGCTAAAGATTATGAACTCTTTGAAGAGGTAGGTGAAGGTGTTAGTGCTACTGTTTACAAAGCTCGTTGCATTGCTCTTAACGAAATTGTCGCCGTTAAAATCTTGGACCTCGAAAAATGCAGAAACGATTTGGTTCGTGTTCTCAATCTTTGATTTGTTGTTGTACCATAAGAAAGATACTATACATTTGTATGAAGCTATACATTTTGCTTGTAATTCACGCAGGAAACTATACGCAAGGAAGTTCATATTATGAGTTTAATAGATCATCCGAATTTATTGAAAGCGCATTGTTCGTTTATCGATCGTAGTAGCTTGTGGATTGTAATGCCTTATATGTCTGGTGGTTCTTGTTTTCATTTAATGAAATCTGTATATCCGGAAGGTCTTGAGCAACCGATAATCGCTACTTTGTTGCGGGAAGTGCTTAAAGCACTTGTTTATCTTCATCGACAAGGTCATATCCATAGAGATGTTAAGGTACTTTACTAAAAGATAGAAAAAGTCTCTGTTTTTGTCTCTGTTTAGTTTGTTTGTTTACATGCTTTGTTTCTAGGCTGGGAATATATTGATTCACTCAAAAGGCGTAGTTAAACTTGGAGACTTTGGAGTTTCAGCATGTATGTTTGATAGCGGAGAAAGGATGCGTACAAGGAATACATTCGTTGGGACTCCTTGTTGGTACGTGGTTAATTTCTCTATATGTTTTGGTGTTTGGTTGGTTTGTTTTAGCGAAACGGGATTTTTTTTTTGGCTTCTACAGGATGGCACCTGAGGTTATGCAGCAAGTAGATGGATATGATTTCAAGTATGTATGCGCTATTCTAGTCTATCTGAATTAGCAATCATAAGCGAGTAAGTTATTGATTCTTACACTTTTCTGTTTCGCATAATAGAGCCGATATATGGTCGTTTGGTATAACTGCACTGGAGCTTGCTCATGGTCATGCCCCATTTTCCAAATATCCACCTATGAAGGTGCTATTAATGACATTACAAAATGCTCCTCCTCGTCTTGACTATGACAGAGATAAGAAATTCTCAAAGGTAAGTGGGATTTAGTGATAACACATACATATAAAAGTAGATTCCATATCTTTCACTTAGACTGTAACCTGTTCGCAGTCGTTTAGAGAGTTGATCGCAGCCTGCTTAGTTAAAGATCCAAAAAAGCGTCCAACTGCAGCAAAACTTCTGAAACACCCTTTCTTCAAACATGCTCGGTCTACGGATTATTTGTCCCGTAAAATTCTTCATGGTCTTTCTCCACTTGGTGAACGTTTTAAAAAGCTCAAAGTGAGTTGAAGAATTTCCTTATCTGTTGGCACTTAGAATCTTCATTACTTACCTTTTATATATTAGTAGTTGTGATTTTCTCTTATGTTGGCTCTACAGGAGGCAGAGGCTGAGTTGTTTAAAGGCATAAATGGTGACAAAGAACAGTTATCTCAGGTATACCTCAATCCTTATGGTAACATCTATTCAATTATCGTTGCGGTCTACATAATTTGGAATCCTATATTGCTCTCTTGCAGCATGAGTATATGCGAGGAATTAGTGCTTGGAATTTTGATCTCGAAGACTTGAGGAGGCAGGCAGCAATTGTAAGTAAGGTCATGTCTTAGTGAAAACGTAAAATTAGTTTTTTCCCGCACCCTCTCAATGCTTCAATGTTCTGCTATCAGATTCCAAATGATGAAATGTGCAATTCAGAGATTCAGGAACTGAACACAAAAAGAGATGTTGGGCTTGATGTACCAAAAGGAAAGCCAGTGATGCAAAGGTCACAGACTATGCCTTTGGAATTTTTTTCAGAAAAGGTAAGTGTTTTCCGTCCTGTGAAGGCATATCTCTGCGTGCCTGTTTTGCATTCCAGCTAACATTTCGTCATATCCGGTCCAACTTACAGGATATGATGAGTGAGAGTTACAGTCAATTAACCGGTTCATTACTTCCTTCATTCCATCGCAAATTCCTCCCGACTATTGGGTACTTTATAACATTTCACTTCAAGCCTCCCCTTATGATGTTTTGCTGTGTGTGTTTGCTTATACAACTTTGAAATAAATATATTGGAGCAGGTATCAAGTTGGCATCCTTTCTGATAAAAGCAATGCATGTTGCTCGAGCGATGGAGTTGCAGAGAAGCTCGCTCTTGAAAAGCCACATCAACTAGAACCATTAGCGGATACAGAGAAAATTGGAAAAGCAGGAAGTGAGCAGGTAATTTTGGATTGGTTTGAATATAATGTCATGCGGTTCTTAGATTGTGATTCCTTACCGTAATGGTACTCACATGTGAAAACAATGTTCCTTATCAGGAGAAACCAAAAAATGGTTACGCAGTTAGTCCTGTGAACCGTGAATCTTCCACATCAAAGGAACCATTAGCGGATACAAAGCAAATTAGAAAAGCAGCAAATGAGCAGGTATTGCTTTGAATATAATGTCATGGGGTTCTTTGATTGTGATTACTTACTCACATTTGAAAACAATGTTCCTTATCAGGAGAAACCAAAAAACGGCGATATAGTTAGTCCTGTGAACGGTGAATCTTCCCCATCAAAGGAAATCCTCCCACTGTTACAGAGTCTCCTGGTTCAGAATGACATTCAGAGGGTGTGTGTGTTGTCTGTTTCAACCGCTTCTTGTGGATACACTCTCCTAAATGGTTTATTTTGATTTGGCTTCTGAGCATTTTTACATTGTATTTGTTTTCTTGGCAGGCGAAAGTAATCAGATTAATTAGATTTTTTGATCGAACTGCGGGAAATGAAAATCCGATCGCAAAAACCGAAGGAGTGCAGGTAACCTCTTTTTCTCATTTGGCTTAAATACTTAGAAAGCACATAACTAATAGCATGAAAAATCACAGATATATCCATCAAAGGAGAAAGATCTACAATCTCAGGTTCAGTTTTTAGAGCAAAGGTAAATGGCATGACTTCTTCATTTTTTGTTTGATTAAGATTGTTTTGAAAGTTGAGGTAAAGGTCTTTAATGAATTTTCAGTGTTGAGAAGCTTGTAGAGGAAGTTCAGAGAAGAAAAGAAATAAATAGTCAGGTAAAAACCAAAATGTAGAAGTAAAGTCATACTAAAATAAGATTGAATTTTAGAGATCCAACTAAAATGTTTTTATATGTTTGCAGCTAGAACAACAGATCAGCTCTCTGATTAGCAGCAGCAACAACATTCCTTAAGCTTAATGGAGAAAGATAAATTCTTGATGTATTCAATATTTATTTATATATGCGCAGATTCACTCTTCTTTTTTTTTTTTAACATAAATTCATTAGTAACAAAAGCAAGAAAATGGGCATTGGGTTTTTACCAAGTGTCTATTTGTATTACTAACGTAAATCTTGGTTTATACAACTAACACATAAAAACAAACAAAAACGTAAAAAGAAAGTCTACATTTTTTTGTGATTTTTAGATTTCCATTGCAGAAGTCTATATTTCTATATATACTATGTGTGTAAATGCGTTTCTTCTTGTTTCAAACCTAACTCCATTATGCATCATCAGCTTCTGTTAAACTTTGGCTACTTCAGGTAAAATCTGTAACGTCCTCTGCCAAGAAAAACAAAAGTGTGATCAATACTCATCTGACTTATTCTACAAGTATAAAAGAAAATAAGATTCTTTTCACAAACCTATTTAGGTATATATTTCATCTTCACAAGTAAAGTATTAGACCTTGCTCCATAAGAAAAACAATATTAATAATTATTACTGATTATGAAAAAATCTTGTTAAAGTAGACTTACCCTAACACACTTTTTAACGCCTCTGATTCTTGAGTATCTTGAAAAGAAGATGATCTCCAACCACTTCCCTAATCTTCCTAACTAGCTGCTCTCTTCTCAGCTTCCGTTTCTACACAAATACAAGAAATAAAATCAGAGAGAGACCATCACACACACTAATGTATTTGAATTGAAACTTACCCTAAAATCATCATAAGTTGTCAAAATCAAGTTCATTCTTGTAACATCAAGTGATTTCGAAAGAATTGACATAAGAACAGAGAAGCTAACACATGGTGACCTTGCTCTTCCAATTAGACCTGAAACAAAAAAAAAAACATTAATTTCACTCTCTAACCACAAAAAGAAGTTGTGTATTGTTGTTACCTCTGAGAAGAGGAGATTTGAAACTGATGATATAAGTAGGAAGAATGTAAGAATTCATGTTAGAACTCCAAATCACATATTTTCTTGGATTCTCAAGATTATCAACACCAGAATCAAATCGGTTCGAACTCGGGTACGATTGTTTAGAACCAGCTTCGATTTGTTCCGGTTTACCAAGAATCACACGGCATAACAGAATATTCTTTATTCCTTCTTCATCACCTTCACCAACTAAAGCCCTGAATCATCATCATCATCAATTTCACTGTTTCATCAAAAACTAATTTAGAATCTTCAAAAAAAAAAACACTTACGCAGCGAGAGAGTATCGATGATGAACAAGATGAATTCCAACACCGTGAGATCCGACGTCGTTTTCGAATTTCTTGATCTCACGATTACTAAATCCATACGTAATAACACGATCGATCTCTTCTTTGGAACCAGAGTACCATCCGTATTTGACATTGGCGTCTCCGTTGTTCTTCCTCGTCATAGCTTCTGTGAAAATCTTGAACACAGCGAATTTAGCTTTCGTTGTGATTCTTCTCTCCGTTGAGTTTTTTCGTACGGTGACGATTGTTGTTTCGTTGGCGAATGATTCCATTCCGGAGAGGAAACAGTTTTTGATTAGGTCGTGTTCGAAGGTGGATTCACGGAGAAGAATCGTTGTATCGCCGGAGAAGACGGGGTTGATGATTTCGCCGTTGTCTAAAGTGGTGACGGATTCTTGATCTTCGATTTCGACTTGTGCCGCCATTAGAAAGGAAGAGAGAGAGAGAAGGGTTTCTTGAGAAAAAGGAGAAAAGGTTTGTTTCAATGGCGGTTGTTAGGGATTTACAGTTATAAAGGTGAGAGAGAGTGTGGCGGTGTGGTGATTTGTTCGTACGTTTAAAGCGAAAACTTGGACGACAAGTTTTCTAATTTCTACTTATATTTTTATTTAATTACCATTTTACCCTTTTAGACTATATTTAGAAATGAGAAAAACCAACGTTATTTCGTATTTATATCATTCAGTGTGTAATGATAAAATTTGAATTTGAATTTGAATCTGATGTGATTATGGTTTGTGTCTTTGTGACTAACCTATTACTTTATTTATTGTTTTTTTTTAATATGGGCAAGGGTACTACAAATTTTTGGGGGGTAAAATGGGTACTAAAACTTATATCAACATTACTTAGGTGGAATGCATGAGAATACTAGAAAAATGAAGGGAATCTAAACCAAATATATGCGTGTACCTACGACAAAATGGAAGAAAAAAATATGCGTGGTTACATATTCCAATGTCGGTTACATGTATTATTATAATATAGTGTACGAATTCTCTTCTACGTATTTGTTTTTGTTCCTAGAGGTTAACTTGTAAAATTGAGTGTTGAGAGAAAATTCTTCCATTAGGTTCCTTCCACATCACATAATTCTGAATTTTTATATATTTATTCATGTATAATAATACAAGAATATCAAAGAAGAAATATTCACTAAATTATTTTTGAAATAATATTATTTCAATGCAAGTAAATATATATTTTTTCAAATTGAAATCTTGTCCGAATGCACCATTCTTAAAGACGGATATATATATATATATATATATGTATATGTTAATTACAGACGATACAAAAAATGAAATGATGTTAATGACCAAAAGAAAGAAATAAAGAAAACATATTCCATGTGATAAAAAAAAAATTCCTAAATTTCTATCATTTTGAAAACCAGGAGAAATCAAAAGGCCCAACAAAGTATTGGGCTTTTAAAAGCCTGGTTCATGGGTATCTTAATTCATTCCTACTAATCCGACGTGGCAGATTTCAAACGGGTCGGGTCAGAGAATAGAGTTCCAAATAATTCAAAAAAAGGTCCATCAATTTTGCGCGGTAACCCGGATATTCCAAAAGTGAAGGGAGCAAAAACGGTCCATCAATTTTGGATCAAACGCCCACATGAAGACGTGCCTCCAATAAACTCTATCATCAAATCACTAAATTCAAAAAAAAAACATGGCGACCTGTTACAAATTATTCCTTCCAAATTTTTTATTAATTTTCCCGGAAAAATACACACAAGAGGCAAATACAGAAAGAGTACCTCCATTAATTTTAACCTTGACATCGTCAATTTTAATATTTGTTGATTGGTCAAATTTTTCTCAGATAAGGCAAGTTGCAGAACGGAAAATAATGTTTGTTGATTAGTCAATTGTTTTCTACGAGTTGTTCTAATTCAATAGATGAATTAAGGTATAGTTTCATTAGAGGGTTTTGGTCAGAGACGATAACTCTGCTTCTATGAAGTGATTTTGGATTTCAGAAACAGAGTAATTCGCTAAAACAGAGAGATTTTCTAGGTTTTAGGGATTTGAGTGTTATTTCTGGATAACAAAAACAATTCAAAGAAGGTGAAGAATCATAAGAAGAAGAAGAAGAAGAAGGAAATGTCAGACTCGCCGAGTTCTTCTCCACCAGCACCGTCCGCCGATTTCGCTCCATCCGGGAAGACACATTTCACCTATGAAGAACTGACGGACATAACAGAAGGATTTTCTAAGCAAAACATACTTGGAGAAGGAGGGTTTGGTTATGTCTACAAAGGTAAACTAAATGACGGACAACTTGTTGCGGTTAAGCAGCTTAAGGTTGATAGCAGACAAGGTGACCGTGAGTTTAAGGCGGAGGTTGAGATTATTAGTCGTGTTCACCATCGCCATTTGGTTTCTCTTGTTGGCTACTGCATTTCGGATTCAGAGAGATTACTTATCTATGAGTATGCTCCTAACCAAACCTTAGCGCATCATTTGCATGGTGAGGTTCTTTTACCACTTTCCTCATCAGACAAGATTTTCTTTGATATGTTTTTTTGACTTACATGGGTTATGTTTCTTGACAGGGAAGGGAAGGCCTGTCCTTGAATGGGCTAGGAGAGTCAGAATCGCTATAGGTTCTGCCAAAGGTTTGGCTTATTTGCATGAAGACTGTAAGTACTTTTTGCGATGGTAAAGTCCAAAGAGAAACTGAATCAAAGCGACTTTATTTATGTATGTTTTGTTTTGCAGGTCACCCAAAAATCATTCACAGGGACATAAAGTCCGCAAACATCTTGCTGGACGATGAGTTTGAAGCTCAGGCAATCTTTTTTTTTTTGAACACTTGCTCTTTTTGGAGCTTTGGCTCTGAAGTTTTACTTGTTCTTACTTTTCTGTTTCTTGGTGTTTAGGTTGCTGACTTCGGACTTGCCAAACTCAATGATTCAACACAAACTCATGTATCAACTCGCGTTATGGGAACCTTCGGGTAAGATTGATCACATACTCTCCATCGGGATATAAATTGTTGAAAAGTACATAAGCCTCTAATGTTATTGGCTTTTGTTATCAGGTACTTGGCACCAGAATATGCACAAAGTGGAAATCTGACTGATAAATCAGATGTTTTCTCGTTTGGGGTTGTTCTCTTAGAGCTTATTACCGGACGCAAACCTGTTGACCAGTACCAGCCTCCGGGAGAAGAGAGTTTGGTTGAATGGGTAAATACTTAATCTGTCTTGACATCGCAATATACTTTGCTCTAGTTATTTAAATGACATAGTCCATGAACTCACACAGGCTCGTCCACTGCTTGACAAAGCCATTGAGACCGGCGATTTCAGCGAACTAGTTGATAGACGGCTTGAAAAGCATTACGTGGAGAATGAAGTTTTCAGAATGATTGAAACGGCTGCTGCTTGTGTTAGGCATTCTGGTCCAAAACGTCCACGCATGGTTCAGGTATCTTTCTAGTAACATTATTTGTAGCAGCACTACGACTAATCAAGTCTCACATATATAGCAACAAATAACAATTATATACACATGTCATGTTCTAGTTTATAAAAAAAATTGAAAACTTACACAAAACTTGTTTGAAATAAGGTTGTGAGAGCACTGGATAGTGAAGGGGACATGGGAGATATCAGCAATGGAATCAAAGTGGGACAAAGCAGTGGTTATGAATCTGGTCAGACTAAAGTTGCGATAAAGGACATCGGGTATACTTTAGGAAAAGGAGTGGTATCAGGGACGATGTTGCTCACACGTGTGATGTATGATGCTTATCAGAATCGGCACGAGAGAAGGAAACACGAGAGTAAGAAGGAGTCTGATATAAATAAGAGAAGAGGTGCATCTTGAATTAAGTGGGAGGTTAATCGCTATGAGACTGCGGTGGGGAGAGAAGAATTTGAAGGGATGCTGAAGATTCTGATCTCACTTTTCATAACAACTTTACTTACTTGAAATTGAAATAAATTAAGTAATTAACCAAGTAGAGTTGCATCCTAAACCAGATGCATGTATATACGAGCAAAAGGAAAAAATAAATGCGTGTTTACTTCACATCTTAACAGTGTACGAATTCTCTTCTATTTTTTTTTTCTTTCCTAAAGGTGAATAAACAAATAAATTGAACATTAATAATCTTGCTTCCACATCACATAACTCTGATTTTTTCTTGCACTGAAATCATGTCCGACACTCCGAATGCACCATGCTAAAATATGGTTACATTACAAACAAATGTTTTCTCAGAATGATATTATGACCAAAAGAAAAGATTTCTATCATTAGGAGACCAGCAGAAATCAAGAGGCCCAAGTATATTCTGGGCTTTAAAAGCCTGGTTTCAGGACTATTCATAGTGGCACAGCACTGACAGATTTCAAACGGGTTGGGTCGGGTCGTGTCGGGTCAGAAAAGTATCCATCAATTTTGCGCGGTAACCCGGATATTCCAAAAGTGAAGGGAGCAAAAAAAAACTCAAAACATATAATATAATTAGAGAGAGACGCATTTTTGGATCAAACGCCCACACGACGTGCCTCCAATAAACTCTTATCATCAATCACTAAATTCAAAAAGGTCATGGCGAGCTGTTACAAATTATTCCTTGCAAGAAAGAGGACCTCCATTAGTTTCTTTTAACCTTGACATCGTCAATTTTATAATTCCGTAATGGCACGCATTCTTCTCTTTGTATACCCTAATTTATATTTTTTGTTATTAGAAAACTCTTTGTTCAGATTTAAATTAGTTGTTTCCAGTTGCAGAGCAGAGTAAAATAATTTTTCTTTTGCTTCTTGTTGTGTTTTTTTTTGTTTGATTATTCAATTGTTTTCTGTGAGTTGTCTTAATCAATTGATGAATAAGGAGGTTTAGTTTCATTAGTGGTTTTGGTGTTAGAGAGACGATAACTCTGCTTCTGTGAAGTCATTTCAGAAGCAGAGTAATTCGCGAAAACAGAGAGATTTCTGATTTGAGTGTAACAGAAACAATAAAAAGAAGAAGAAGGAATGTCAGATTCGCCGAGTTCTTCTCCACCAGCACCGTCTGCGGATTCCGCTCCACCCCCGGATAGCACGACCGGCGGATCCGCCCCTCCACCTACGGATTCAGCACCACCTCCTAGCCCGCCGGCTGATTCATCGCCGCCTCCAGCTGATTCATCTCCTCCGCCAGTTGTCTCATCCCCTCCTCCGCCGCCTGATTCATCTCCTCCTCCGCTTGTTGATTTAACCCCGCCGCCAAGTTCTTCACCTCCACCCCCTCCGGCAGATGCTCCGCCGCCGGTTCCCATCGTGTTAACTCCACCTCCACCTCCACCGGTAGACTCACCGCCGCCGGAGTCCACCAACTCTCCTCCTCCTCCGGAGGTGTTTGAACCACCACCACCTCCGCCCAATGACGACGAAAGCCCTCCTGCTCCTCCGCCTCCGGAACAATTGCCTCCTCCAGCGTCTTCACCGCAAGCTGGACCCAAAAAACACCCTCCGGGACCTACAAAATCTCCTACAGCACCCGCCATATCTCCTCCGGCTCCTCCAAACGCGCCGCCTCGTAACACTTCTCACGCACTACCACCTAAGTCTACCGCTGCAGGTGGACCGCTCAACTCGCCATCTCGCGGAGTCCCGCCACCTTCAAATGGCTATCAAGGGAAGACTATGGTCGGTTTTGCAGTAGCCGGTTTCGCAGTCATTGCCTTGATGGCTGTTGTGTTCTTAGTCAGAAGAAAGAAAAAGAGAAACATTGATGCATACAGTGACTCACAATACTTGCCTCCTTCAAACTTCTCCATCAAATCAGGTGAAATCTTGCTCTATATCTCTCAGCTTCGTGTTCGTCTTCAAGAAGATACACAAAATGTTTAAACCATTTTCTTTCCCTTTACGTAGATGGATTCTTATACGGTCAAAATCCTACAAAGGGATACTCTGGTCCTGGTGGTTACAATTCACAGCAACATTCGAATTCCGGAAACAGCTTCGGCAGCCAAAGAGGAGGAGGTTATACACGGTCAGGGAGTGCGCCTGATTCAGCGGTGATGGGAAGTGGTCAGACACATTTTACCTATGAAGAGCTAACCGATATAACAGAAGGATTTTCTAAGCAAAACATACTTGGAGAAGGAGGGTTTGGTTGTGTCTACAAAGGTAAACTAAATGATGGAAAACTTGTTGCCGTTAAGCAGCTTAAGGTTGGTAGCGGACAAGGTGACCGTGAGTTTAAGGCAGAGGTTGAGATCATTAGCCGTGTTCATCATCGCCATTTGGTTTCTCTTGTTGGCTACTGCATTTCGGATTCAGAGAGATTGCTTATCTATGAGTATGTTCCTAACCAAACCTTGGAGCATCATTTGCATGGTGAGGTTCTTTTACCTCTTTCCTCATCAGACAAGATTTTCTTGACATGATTTTTTCCTTACATGGGTTATGTTCTTGGCAGGGAAGGGAAGGCCAGTCCTTGAATGGGCTAGGAGAGTCAGGATTGCTATAGGTTCTGCCAAAGGTTTGGCGTATTTGCACGAAGACTGTAAGTACTTTTTGCAATGTTTATGCTTTTTAAAGTCCAAAGAGAAGCTGAATCAAAGAGACTCTATTTATGTATGTTTTTGTTTTGTTTTGCAGGTCACCCAAAAATCATTCACAGGGACATCAAATCCGCAAACATCTTGCTGGACGATGAGTTTGAAGCTCAGGCAATCATTTTTAGAATACTTTCTCTTTTGGAGCTTTGGCACTGAAGTTTTATTTGTTCTTAGTTTTCTGTTTCTTGGTGTTTAGGTTGCTGACTTCGGACTTGCCAAACTCAATGATTCAACCCAAACTCATGTATCAACTCGCGTTATGGGAACCTTTGGGTAAGATTGATCACAAACTCTACTCATAGCAAACCTATCATTTGACAAGAAAAGTCTTTAGTATTATCAGGTGCTTAAACTTCTAGTTATGATAATGATGAACTAGTTTGCTTGTATAGAGAGGTTAGAAGGTATACTAATATCAATAACATATAAATCGTTGCGAAGTACATAAGCCTCTGTTTTGTTGGCTTTTGTTATCAGGTACTTGGCACCAGAATATGCACAAAGTGGAAAGCTGACTGATAGATCAGATGTTTTCTCGTTTGGGGTTGTTCTCTTAGAGCTTATAACCGGACGCAAACCTGTTGACCAGTACCAGCCTCTAGGAGAAGAGAGTTTGGTTGAATGGGTAAATACTTTAATTTATCTGTCTTGACATCTCAATATATGGTCGGACTTGGCTATAGTTATTTAAATGACATAAATCTATGAACTCACAGGCTCGTCCACTGCTTCACAAAGCCATTGAGACTGGCGATTTCAGCGAACTAGTTGATAGACGGCTTGAAAAGCATTACGTGGAGAATGAAGTTTTCAGAATGATTGAAACGGCCGCTGCTTGTGTTAGGCATTCTGGTCCAAAACGTCCACGCATGGTTCAGGTACCTTTCTAATAGCAGCACTATATATGACTAATCAAATCTCACATATATATAGCAACAAATAAAAATTTTATACATGTCATGTTCTAGTTTATAAAATTTGAAAACTTACACAAAACTTGTTTGAAATAAGGTTGTGAGAGCACTGGATAGTGAAGGGGACATGGGAGATATCAGCAACGGAAACAAAGTGGGACAAAGCAGTGCTTATGACTCTGGCCAGTATAACAATGACACCATGAAGTTCAGGAAAATGGCGTTTGGTTTTGACGATAGCTCGGATTCCGGGATGTACAGTGGAGAGTACTTTGCCCAAGGCTCCCGGAAAGGATCCAATGGAGCTTCCTCTGAGTTCACAAGGAATGAATCCGAGAACCGAAACTTCAATAACCGGCGCTTCTGATCCAAAAATAGGTCAACTTATACCTTATTATCCCTCATGCTTGAGCTCTTTGTACAGCATTAATGCTCTCTTTGTACCTTTTTTTTTGTGTGAGATACTTTTCTTGCTAGCTACCTTTAGTTTTGCTCCAGAATGGCCATTTGCCTCAAAAGACTTATTATAGGTGAGAACAGAAAAAAGCAACAAAAAAGAAAAGAAAAAGAACTCATAATAGTTCTTAAAGAGTGATTTGAATCTTGTTTGCTTTTGTTTGTTTCTCTTTGTTGAGTTTCGGATTTTTGTTGAGTGTGATAACATAAATGAAGAACTCCATCTTCTGATTTTTTTACATATTGAGCTTGTAATTGTTAATTGTTATCTCATTCTTTTTCTTGATTTTCATATATAATTTGATATTTAAGTTCCATACCAATATGAAACAAAACCAAACGACCCAAAACAAGACCAAAAACAAACAAACAAGAATAAGATAAAGTGAACAAGCACGATCATATCTCTTGTCTTTTTAAGACAGTGTTATGACCGGAGCTTGAAGCCGGAACCTCCGTGTCTGAGGTCGCCTTACACATGGTTAATATATAACCGGAGGTGGTCTTTTCCCTCCTTTTCCTCCTCCTCCTCCTCCTACACCTCCTCCTCTCTTGTTATCAAACCCAAATTCTATGTCCCCTCCGTTTCGACCAGAGGGTTTGTTTATGGGACCAGGCCGCTTCATATCGAAACCAAACTCTACATCACCTCTCTCTCTTGGCTCACGCTCCACAGGTCTGATCTCACGGCTCTTCTTTGACGACGGTTTCTCATGCTTCGAAGTTTTATTGTTTTTGTCTTTGTGTTGCTTTCCACCGCGGTTGCATAGCCTTCCAAACACACAAGCTAGTGCTGCCAAGACAAGGATTGCGGCTAGAACGATGAATGCTGTACCAAACGAGCCACTTGAACCGGAGGATGAAGGCGAGGAAGAAGATGAAGAAGAAGAAGAAGAAGTAGATGGATACACTAGAAGAGGTTGCTGAATCTCTTGTGGTTGGTCTCCCATTTTTTTTTTCTTGGTGAGTTTGGTTTTGATAGTGATTTTGGTGAGATATGCTTTAGGAGCTGTGTGATGTTGAAGACTACTTATGTATTAATAGTACTAGTACTCCTTTCCATGATCATTCTCTGTAATAAAGTGTATGTGAGACATGGTTTTTTTTTTTGAAATAAAGTTATCTATAGCTTACTTTTGTGGAAATTATCAGTTTGTTTTTTGTTTTCTTTAATAAAGAAATATATTGGTTTTTTTCTTTTCTTTTCTTTTCTTTTGTTATCAAACAATGTGGGTTTGTTTACTAGATACACTTTAGAGCATTTTCTGATTGCTTTGTATGAAGAGAAAGTGGGATTTTGGTTAAGTAATTTGAGAAGAGACACAATTTCATTGTTTCCAAGAAAGATGAATTAAAGATTTGTTGAGTGGGAAGATGCTTTACCAATCATTGACTCTACTCTTCAATCTCCAATTTTCCATTAATTTATACTCTTTTTTCTCTACTCTTCAATCTCCAATTTTCAATTCCGTAGTGCTTGAATGAATCTTGTGTATTCTATATATATATTTGTTATAAAGTTGGGCTAAATATCAGGAGAACAAAATGATGATTTTGCATTTTCAAATAAAAGTTGGATTATGGATCCACTAGTTTTGCGAATAATACTCATTCAACACCAAATCTTCTTTAATAATAAGTGTTAACCCTTCTTGTTAGTTTCTAAGAGCATCTCCAATGGTGAGAGTCCCTCATGGGCTCTCACCAATTGTTTAAACATATTTTTTTTTGAAATTTTTAGATGAGAACTTGGAGTTTTTTTTTTTTAATTTTCATAGTCCAATGGTAGTTTCTCTTGTGGGGTTCTTAGAATATTTTTTTTTGAAAATATTTTGATTTTGATGTAATATGATGTTTGGTTTTGATGTAATTTGATGAATTAAGACAAAGTAAATGGTGTAATTGGTGTTTGGTGTTTCAAGAATTCATAATCACATCAAAAACTTGTCAAATGCAAAACAGAGATTCATGATCTACACATATTAAACTTGTCAAATGCAAAACAGAGATTCATGATCTACACATATACAAGCTTTGCAATATATAACCATCCATTGTGCAATTCTTTCACTATCTTCTTCGTTCTCAGTTCCTCCTGCATCATCATCAAAATACAAGCTTTGTTATTATGAAACTGTTTTGGTTGTCAGAGAAAAGGTTTTGTCTTTGAAAACTGTTTTGAGGTGGTTCTTTGAAAGCTTGCATAATGACTACATAAACAGCATATACAACTCAATAACCCAAAGCATTGACTGAATTGAAAATGAGAGGTAAGAAACCACATCACGGAATTTCACCACATACAAATCCAGCAGGAGGAAATAGTTTGAAAATTCCTCAAAACAACAGGCACTACATTGGCATCACATCAACTCATCTTACAGGAGAACAGACTCAAATTCACCCTATCCGCTGTTAAGGCCAAAGATTCCACAATTTTGTTCCATTACAGTAATCGATGGAACAATAGCAAGAACTTACCGAAATTTTCGATGTCGTCGAAAGAGAGAGAGAGATGTGTTCTTCCCAATCAATAGAATTTTTGCAGAATCACAGTGAGAGAATCACAAATTGAAGTATAACACATAAGAGATTCGTGTATAAAGCTTCATACTTGGAATTGCAGACAGAGATTAAGGCACACCCTTCACCCAACTGAGATTTCGCAATTGGAGAAATCAGGAAGAGAGAGAGACACGCAAAAAAAAAAAAAAGCGTGTTTTTTTCTTCTGTTTTGTTAAAAATGACAACCAATAATACTATGACACGTAATCGTCTCTCTTCACCTCCCAAACCTCTCTCAAAAGAAACGCCTCTCTCCATATTTAAGGTTTCTGATTTATTTTTTGCCACTTTATTTCAGAGAAACCCTTAAGAGAGCTCTAATTTTCCACCATTGGAGATGCTCTAACCGAATCTATTTACTTTAGTTCTGTAGGTAGTCCTTTTAGAGTGGGGTTCCACAAGAGAGAATGTAATCGGAATGTATTTAACATAGGGATTAGTGTAAAACACATTTTATGTTCATTCTTTCACGCAAATATTATTTTCCTCTTTTCTTTTTCATATTTCTTTCAAACTTTTTGTCTCCTTGAATGTCTTTTTCTTCCTCAGAAAATGTTGAAGTGTTCACAATGTTGTCTTCTTTTCAATATGGTGGCCTTGATCACCTTTAGATTTTGAATTTTGATTATATATTTTCTTTTTCTTTTACACGAGGAAATAAAAATATTCCTTGCATAAGGCTGCATCACTCCTTCAAGTCTTTTTTTGCGCAAAACAAAAAAAAATCCTTCTATCTTGGTGAATTGAAAAATCACAAAACGTATGTTAATTTTCTTTGCAAGAAACGTTGTAGCAGATTGAACCTCTTGTTGTTTGATAAGTTTGCACCATTTTTCATATATATTTTTTTTGTTAAAAATGAAATCATTTTAGGTTTACAATAAGAGTTTATAGACCTAGTTAATGTTCCCATGATAAAAAAAAAAAAAATAGAGACATAATTCATAACGAAAACTTCAGTCCATCCACTCAATTCAAACATCGAAACTAATGGTATTAATGAAGTGATTACGATTTTGCGATTATTCGCTTTGAAGAAAACTAAAGACGAGTGCGAATTGTAGAAGCCTAAAATTTTGACACTTCACTAGAAGCCTAAAAAGTTTAAAACCCATAATTTGATGGGGTCAAAATGTAGAACATAGTAGTGAAATTTTTGCACGCCACTGATACTCGTGAATTTTGTATACTCATTCCATTTCTACCACATTTGCACTCAATACAATCTTTTAGAATCATAAATTCATAATAACTTCTTGAGAAAAGAACTTGGTCCAAGCTAGTGAAACCAAAAAAGGTACGTTAGAAAACAAATGCGAGAAAAATATGCTACAAACGGCACACAGTTTTCATAGCAGCTAAAAAAAACTGCACGCAGTTTTCCAAAAAGTGGCGAGGATTTCAACGTTAGCTTCTTTTTTCCGCGCTAAGACCAGCTAAAACCCGACACGTGGCAATCGTGTTCCTCAATGGTCTCTTTCGTTTAGACACAAAAAAAAAAAAGAAGAGAAATTTGCCACTACTCTAGAATCCGTCGCATCGCGATTCAAAGCTTGTTAATTTCGTCTTCTTCTTCCATGGAATAACGTGTTTAGGCGTGTATCACATGGTTCTTTGTGTGACACTAAACCAACATAAAGCTTCCATACGATTAGACCTCTAGAAATATCTGTCTTTTTCGATCACTGTTGTGAGATCTGGTCTGGGTCCTCGATTTTGGTGAGGATTGTCGGGGAAAAAGAAGACCCATCTCTCGCTTTAATGCTAGCACAAACTGGTTCTCTGCTTCGGATCTGATTGTGATTTTACAGGTGCTTTTTCTGGGCTGTGTTTTCTTCGTGAGTAAAGCTTTTTGCTTTCTAATAGTTCAAAGTCTGAGTTTTGGTGTATAATGTATTCGTTGATGCATTAAATTAAGAGACTTTTACTTTTTGATACAATATTTTGTTTTCTTGCTCAATTGGCTTGAGCTCATGATTTGGTGTTGTCGTTACTGATCCAGGCATGAACTTTTGAATGTTGATTGCCTTAGACATTGTGCAGAGAATAAATGGGCAATCCTGGTTCAGACACCGAAAGAAACAAGAGAAATTTGGTCTCAAGTGTGTTTGATCCTGCACTCTCTAGATTCGTTGGATTTTCTCAGAAACTCCAAACTTGTCTTAAGGTCATGCTCTGTTTCCACACATGCTTTAAATGCCCTGTGATGTTGCTGAAAATGAGTTGCTCTTTTTGTCACAGTCCCAGCTGAAGAATTTGAAAGTTGATAAGCATGGGATTGGTTCTTCATGGAGGCAAGATAAAGAAGGGTCGTCGAGCTCCATGGAAATTGATCTGGAGAAACAGTTAGATATGTGGAGAGAAAACCCTTCGTGGACTGATCAGATCCCAGTCGTTAAGGTGAACAAGAGATGAATTTCACAACATGGTCTTATCAGAGCCGGTGAGAATCTTGTTATATGACAGATAATAACAAGATTCTTTGCAGGTGAGTATTCCAAAAGGATCGCTTTGCAATCTCAAAGCCGAGGTGAATGTTGGTTTACCTCCTGATGCAGTCTATAACATTGTGATTGACCCTGACAACAGAAGAGTTTTCAAGAATATTAAGGTATGTTTATATCTATCTTGTTCTCTGTAAGAGTTAAGCACCTGTGATTCATTGGCCTCGAAATCACAGGAGGTTATGTCGCGGAAAGTATTGGTAGATGATGGGTTAAGGCAAGTGGTGGAAGTAGAACAAGCAGCCTTGTGGAGATTTCTCTGGTGGTCAGGAACAATCTCAGTTCATGTCTTGGTGGATCAGAACCGTGCAGATCACTCTGTAAGACCTCTCAGATTATAACAAAATTCTTTAAGTTTCTTGAATGGTTCGTGAAAGGAATTTAAATGGGTGTTGCAGATGAAATTCAAGCAAGTGAAGAGTGGATTCATGAAGAGATTCGAAGGAAGCTGGCAAGTCAAGCCTTTGTTTGTGGACGAATATATGTGTGATCGTTTGAAACCGAAAACGCTTGAGGAGTATAACCGGTGCACTGGAGGTAAAGGGAGGATCGGATCTAAGGTAACGCTGGACCAGCTAATACAGCCAGCTATTGTTCCACCTCCCCCCATTTCTTGGTATCTCAGAGGAATCACGGCTAAGACGACAGAGATGCTCATCCATGACTTATTGGCTGAGACTGCCAGGATCCGTGCAGCCGGAGAAATGGAGGATGGTCACTCGCCGGATAAGCAACGGATTGGGACACATGGGGATATAAAGGAAAGATGGGCTGCACGTAGAAGAACATCAAGGAGACGACGCAATGATTTGTGTTAAGGTCACAGTCCATTATTTTGGGATTATAGAAACCTTGAGGATTTTTGGATCATTCAGATATGTGAACATAATATAATGTTTGTTTTCATAAGATCTCACTGGCATATATATGTGGAGATATATTTCTTGTTGAAGAAGTTTAACCCCATAATGAACAATATTGATATGAAATTTCGAAATACAAAATTTCTAAAGAATCAACTTCATTCATTTATTTTGGTAAAGAAAGAATAGTTTCTGTGATGAAACAAATGCAGGCGTGAAAATATGCAAATGCAAAACAATGAAAGCAAAACAATCAATCATATTAATCCAGGTACAATACACGAAAACTATTTAAAAAGGGTTCTTCTAGTAGATTTTTAGGTACAAGACATCTACTTGCACAACCAGAAACATTCACATACCCAATAGCAAAAAGGTTCAGATAATATTTATAATCTCTCTTGCATCCAAACAGAGAAATCCCAACACAGCAGACAGAATCATCTCGATGCAAAGCCATTTCTCCCTCATCATGCCTATGCAAGAGGAACAACAAGAGGAAAATATATAAGCATCGCAGAATAAAAAGAAACCAACTCGTTAGATTGTGTTTTTGACAACTTATGTTACCTTGCCAGCGATGTTGTTGGAGAGCCAGTCCAGACCTTCATAAAGCCCTTCACCTGATGTAGCACATGTGCTCTGGATGTACCTGTAGCGAGCAAAAACACACATCAGTATCGAACAGATGAAATGTTTTTTGACTTTTGAAACTTATTGGGATGTTTATTTACCAATGACGCTGACGGAGGGAGTGAAGGCCAAGCTTATCTGTGATTTCAGCGGCGTTCATCGCATTTGGAAGATCTTGCTTGTTGGCAAACACAAGCAACACAGCATCACGCAGCTCGTCCTGCAATAAAAGAGTAGGTAAGTAAAGGATATTCAAATTAAAAAAAAGTATGAAGAAGAATCACTCTTTCTATAGAGCTTGGATATGGACCTCATTCAGCATCCTGTGGAGTTCATCTCTAGCCTCAACAACTCTGTCTCTGTCGTTGCTATCCACGACAAAGATAAGACCCTGAGTGTTCTGGAAGTAGTGTCTCCACAGTGGACGGATCTGAAAAAAGAAGCCAAAGAGTCAGTTTATTTGGTTGAAAAGTTCCATCATCAACAATAAGCAGTTTCAGATTCCATACCTTGTCCTGACCCCCGACATCCCACACGGTGAAACTGATGTTCTTGTATTCCACAGTTTCCACATTGAAACCTGTTCATAGTTTTTAGCTTATCACTAGTCGATCCTATAGTTTATACTCATCATCACAATCAAAAACCAGTATTATGGTGTGAAGCTTCCTTACCAATAGTAGGGATGGTGGTGACAATCTCTCCTAGCTTGAGCTTGTACAAAATAGTAGTCTTACCAGCAGCATCAAGACCAACCATCAGAATTCGCATCTCCTTCTTGGCAAAAAGCCGGCTAAACAGCTTGGCGAAACTCAACCCCATTTTTGCTTCACTGCACAAACACAACGAATATCAAAATCATCATCAACATTCTATATCACGCGATTTCAATCTCAGAAAAATCCTAAATCATGCATCGATAATACAAAATTCAATCCTTATATCCTCTAAGAACCAGATCAATACCAAAATTGTCACTCACGAATCATAAACTCAACGAGATCAAGCAGATCCAAACAGATATTCAAACGTCCCTGATCTCTCTGATCAGATCTTCAACATGTCAGATACAATTACAGCGAGGAAAAACGGAAGCGAATAGAAATCAAACAGATCCACACTAACAGATCGAAATCAGAATCGTCTACATATACACATATCTTAAAATCAAAGCGCATTATCAAACATGAGCAAGATCAACCTCAACGAAATCAATCACGACGATTCCAAAACCATCAAAATTCACAAGAAACGAGAAATGCAGAACACAATGGACACATAACAGATCTACGCAAAATTGAGAATGTATGAGCACAGATCTTAGATCAAAGCGTACCTACGAAGGAAGTAACCGAGAGAGATCTGACAGAGAGACCGCGAAGAAACGGAGAGAGCGAGAGAGACTCGACGAAATTTGAAAGAGAGAGAGAAGAGAAGCTTAAGAGAAACGCGACGACGACGAAATAAGGAAGTGGAGGAGAGGAATTTTATAAGGAGAGGGGTACCGGTTTATTCGTCGTTTTTTCACGCCAATTAACGAAATTGCCATTTTGAGTTTACGGAAATACCCTCTTCGAATCTTCGATGACCAAGTGCAGGTTAATATGCTAGCTAACCAATTTAAACTTGACACGTGAGCAATACTCTTTTCTTAACTACTACTTAATCTCGTGTGGAAATTTCGTTATTTGTTGATGTCCTCGGACCAATTGGATATTGTCATGTAATTATAGCTTCAAAATTACAAATTTATAGCTATTAAAATTAAGTTTTATTTATATAACTAGGACTCCGGACCCCCGCGATGTCGCGGGGGAAAATATTTCATAAATCGTTAAAAAAATATCAAACGAAAATTAATAATAACGATGGTAGATGATTAAATGTTATAACGATTTATAAAATAAACTTAAAGTTGCAATTTTTCGTGAAATAAACTAAATGTTGCAATGGTTCAACTAAACGGCTACAATCATTTTATGAAAAATTACGATAAAAAGATACAACCGTAAAAAGTATTTACTCGGATTGCAACTTTCTCAAAAAACATAACGTAAAATAATTTTTTTAGTTTAAAAAGAAATAAATGAAATGTTGCGATATATCAAAAGTTGTAGCGGTTCGTCAAATAAACTAAAGATTACAATGGTTCGTAAAACAAAACCAAAAATTGCAATGATTGGTCAAATAAACCAAATGTTTCAACGGTTCAATTAAACGATTACAATCTCATTTAAATGCATTTTGGTAATTAAAAATTAAAAATATTAAAATATGAAAATTATACCGAGAGACGCGACGGTAGATAATTAGATGTTATAGCAATTTATAAAATAAACCAAAGGTTGCAATTGTTCGTGAAATACAAAACAAAATATATAAATCAAAGGTTGCAATCGTTCGTGAAATAAACTAAATATATAAATCAAAGGTTACAATTGTTTGTGATATAAACTAAAGGTTGCAATTGTTCGTGAAGAGGTACAATAAAAAGAAGAGGTGCAATTGTTCGTGAAGAGGTACAATATAAACTAAATATTGCAATAATTGAATAAAAGGTTGCAACTGTTTATGAAGAGGTACAATAAAAAGAAGCAACCGCAGAAGATATTCGGATTGTAATTTTCTAAAAAACATACCCGTAAAATATAAATTTTAGTTTAAAATTAAAAATATATCCATATGTAAACTATGAAATAAACCAATTTTATATGTAGTTTATTGGTTTACATAAAAAGAAATTCAATAAAACAACATGACAGTACAAAAATAACTGTAAGAAAACAACCATAAATATTTAAACGAAAGGTTGCAAGAAAAAGACACAACCGTTCAGATATACAAATGGTATTTATTGGAAACGACATAACCGTAAAAAAATAACCGATTAAAACGAAAATTACGATAAAAAGACGCAACCAAAATAACCGTAAAAAATAACCGATTTAAACGAAAGGTTGCGATAAAAAGACGCAACCGTTCAGATGTGCAAATGGTATTTATTAGATTGCTATTATATATAGATTTTATTTACATATTTACATCTATTGCTATGTCAGCTGAACCTACTAATAAAACTAAACAGAAATGAATAAAACTAATCTTGAAATCTTAATTTAATGAATAAATTCTATTTTAAGATAATAAAACTAAATCAGTTTATAAAAAAAAATCTAGTTTTGTATTAGTTTAAACATTTGGGTTTGCTTTGGTTTATTCGGTTATGGTTTCGTTGCCAATCCTTAACGCTCACTTGTAAAGTTCTAGAAAAGAAATAACAAAAAAATATGTTATAAGTTCAATAGATAGATGAACAAATGTGTCATACAATTACAAAGTACCTAAAATACAAAAGGAATAATAATATTTACGTAAATTTTTTTTTACTGTATAAGTATATTGAATACTACAATGCTTTTCAATCTCATTGTATATGCTTCATTTACAAGCTAATATAATAGGTCAGTTGCTAAGATGAATTACAACTACATATAACGTACGTCTGCATCCCTCACTACAACGACCGTCAAAATATGCGATCACCACCCTTAAAGCTCGTCGTGAACATCTCCAGTTTCTTCACTGACCATAACAGTTTCTACCAAATACTCATGATTTTGGTCTAAGCCCTTGTCGTCATGCGAATACAGACAATCCGCAGAAGGATGAACCACACCATAACCAAACCCTTCAGCAGAGTTACAATAAGCTTCCACTTTTCCATCATTGCCTTCCAAATTGACATTGTTGAGTACAATGTGGCTGCAAGGGACTGCGTCACTACACGCGAATTTGATGGCTTTCGCGCTTTTCGTGGTTCCGGTTATGTTTCTGTACATTATCTCGGATATGTGAACCGCTGAAGTCTGCCAAGAAATAGGAATCAAAAGATTAATTTTTTTTCTTGAGGTTTCTTGATGAGTCAATGGTTATGTGAAAGAAACCTGGTTTTGACAAGTTGATGGTGAATCGCAGTAGAATTGATCGATTATAATCGGATTTGCAACGTCTTGCATCACTACGTTCTCGAAACGTACACCCTTTACGTAACCATTACCACCCTGTTTTTAAAGATTTACATCTTTCAATCAATCTTGAAACTCTTTGGAAGGAAAGCAAGGATCAAGAATTGAGAATTTACCTGCCATGTCTTAATTCTTAGACCATTAGTTGTGTTCTTTAGGAACGCAGTGTCCAACACAACTGCAGTGACGGTTCCTGTCGAATGACCTTGTCCAAGGCTTCCAATGCTGCAGAACAAGAGATTATTGCAACCAAGAATTATAAATTTGAACTTAAAAATTAATATATGTAAGTGTTTACCTGATTCCATGTCCTGGTCCACAGTAGATTCTCTTCATCTTTATCTTCGCGCTTCCATTCACAATTGAGACACAATCATCTCCTGTTATCAAGTTTAAGTCTCAGATATAACGTTTTGAGTTTGCTATATTAGCATTACCATAATAGTATTTTGAGTTAAATTACAAGATTTGGTGAAGATCGAACCTGTGCTGATTTTACTGTCTTGGACTACAACATCAGTCGATGCGGTGATATGAATTCCATCAGTGTTGGGACTGTCACCTGGAGATGTGACCATAACTCTAGAGATTCGAACTGTATTTGATCGAGCAATGATCAAATGCATTTGTTGGCTGTTCCGGATTGTTAAGTCTCTCACATACACATTTGAACTTGAATATATAGTTAGAGCCTGTATAAATAAAGACTTTGTTATATGCAAAAATCAAACATAAATGATAATTAGTCTAACGGTGGATGAACAAATTAAAAAGGGAAAAGATTCAGACCGTTGGTGCGCCTACGCAAGGCTACAAGAGAGAAAACCAAGAAAGAATTTGAGTCAGATTTCTACATTATGATTAATTAGAAGAAATTTCAATTTATGTAAAGAAGATTTTACGTTAGACTTGTTCTTCTTGCAAGAAGCAGCCCACCATTTGGTACCAGAACCATCTATAACTCCATTCCCTTGAAATACAACTCCTTGGAGTTTGGAAAATTGAAGCCAAACCCTTTGGAATTTCGGGTCCCATTGGATAGGCTCATCTGGTGCTACGATTGTTCCATCAATCTATCAAATTCAGATTTCAAAAAAAAAAATGCATAAGACATGTTGTTGTAACTTAACATGTATGATTTTTGTTAACAATGAAACCAAACAGGAATTAAGAAGTTAAAAGATGACCTGAATGATCAATTTTTCTTGACATGGACCATCGAATTTCGTCGCATTTACTAAATAGCTACGTCCTTGTGGAACCAATAACACAGAGTTTGGAGCAGAGCAGGCCATGGTCCAAGCGCTTACAAATGCCTGGTTATAAGAAAAGCATTGCATCAGCTGATAAAATCTATATATAGAAGTTTTGTGTGTCTATTCAACCAGCATTATCATGAATTTATTAAACCGTTTCGAGCATAACGCACCTGAGTATCATCAGAAACTCCATCTCCAGCTGCACCAAAGCTATCCACGTTCACCAAATTCTTACCAGAATATTGGCTTGTAAACGACGAGAAATCAAAGAACGTCACATCTTCCTCAATCTCATCCTCCGGTACATCGAGGTTCTCAAGCTTCCCAAGAATGTCAAGTTCCCTGTACAATGTTTTTCCATAAGAAGCTACCATTAACAGAGCAAACAGGGAAACGATGAAGGGCTTATTCATTTTATGGTTAAGAAGAAAAAAAAAACTCCAAGCAAAGATTATATGATTGTATAGTTTAAGATATGAGATTCAGATGATTTCTTTGTAATGAGATGATACATGGTTTGAATATATATAAGCAGAGTAATTAAGGGGGTTTTATTGGCTTGGCTTAAAAGTAGATGAAGAAAAGCCCTTAATTTACAAACACATCTAAACTTAAAGCACAAGCCTTCCACTTCTTTGCTTTACTCCAAAACCTCTACACAGATTTTCATGGTCAACATATTGGTCCCGTGAGATCTGAGAAAGGACGCAGAAAGCTCAAGATGTTACAGTTAGACATGCCATAGTTTGGGAAAACGAAAAATCAAACATTTAGTTGTTGTTCCATGCATGTAAATATATAACAAAAATATATATAGTACTAGGTCAACGATTTGTTTTACCAACCTTGAGTTGAAGAATTCAGCCTGTTACATATAATTTCCCTGTAAAGTGCAGATCATGGTGATGGCGTCAAGAGGAAGAACCTATTTAGAGAGTTTGTTTACTACTTCTACTACATTATCGATTACAAGTAAACAACATATCAAAATGTGAGTTTGATACTGTAAGCTGAATGAGGGTATAGGTGAAACCAAGTTAGATTAACTCAAGTGTTCAACGTATGATGGTTAATGAAAAATTGATTTATGTTTTTAACGTAACTTTCACAAGATATACAATACATCTCTAATTAACGGCGCCGTTTACCTAATAAAGACTCAAAAGGAAGAGAGGAACTTGGAAAAGAACTAGACATATCAATGTTGTGTAGAGATAAGAGTCCATCAGTGGAGTGACATGGCTGATAGTCTTTGGACACACTCCCGTATTTCACGAGGTCATAGCATAATAGACACGTCGATGATAGCTTGAAAAGTCGGTCTGACCGAATATCTAACATATGCAGTACTTTACCACCGTTTTCGTTTGACTTGGTTCCACTGAGGTCGATCGTATGATTCTTGGTCCAGACACGGTCTCTACTTTCATCCATTTTCCAAATATCCATGATTTGAGACGCGTCATCAATATCCATCATCCATAAGTTTCTGCGGCTTCCAAATAGCTTGAAAAAGCGAGATTTTTTGGATTCTTGTGTGTCAAGGCAGAAGCAAGGGGGTGTAGGGTTTACGCTTGAGAAAGTCTCGTCTTGTAGAGAGAAAGATACGATCTGAAAATCACTAGTGGTCCAGTAGATGAATCCATTGACTTGAACGTGAGAAGAGAGTTGTAGAAGATAAGGACATGGTTTATGCAGACTTCTCCAGGGTGATACTTTAAGTCGGCCATCTTCTACGATATCGATATTCAAGACCTCAAAGTTGACTTGATTGACTTGGCCACTTGGCAACTTCCTTGTACAGTTTTCATCCAAGTCATGAGGCCACTTGACGACTTTGTATTGCATCGTGGCCTCAACAAATTCAAAAGAGATGAGACACTTCTGAGATTCATTGAAACACCTTGGAGACGAAGGAGGGTCAGGTAAATTCTTTAACTCCTTATTCACGGGGTTGCAAAGATGGATACCATCTAAGCAAACAAAGCATACCAGCTGGTGGTGAGAACTTAACATTCTGATGATTCTCATTAAGCCACTAACCGTGAAGTCGTGGACTAAGCAATTGGCCTTGTTGGACACAAAGAAATCATATCTTCGTTGATGGAACTCCCTTGGATCAAGGGAACAATGTAAAGGCATGTCGAAAAGGACTGTGGCAAAAAGGGAATCACGTGAACGGTTGTGGTGGAGGCGGAGGAAACAATGATCAGAGAGTAGAGATCTAAATTGCTTTGAGACTAATCGGAATCTTGCTAGAGATTTGCCAGGAATTCGAGACATGATGTCCATAACAAGATCATTGGGCAGAGAAACAGAGGTCATATTTGTACAAGCTCTTGATTTGGTTTTGCTCCTGAAGCGTGTGCCCTTCCTCTCCCTCTCTCTCTCTTTCTACGTGTGTATATGCAATCTTCACGATATAGATGATTCTGGCTGCTTCCAAGTGAATTAGGGTTTCAGATCTCACTGTAAACGTATGGGACTTAAGCCCATTAAAGAATTATAAAGCCTGCAACGGGTAACTTCTACCTGTGTCTTCCTCCGCTCTCTCGACCCTTTTAAACTTTTAACCGTTCGATTTGATTCTTGAGGATCAAATGGCTCCAATGTGTCTCGTATCCGTTTATGACGAATAAAGATACATAAACGTGAGAAGTGTAGAGTGAAAATCATATTACAAGACCACAAATCCAAATCTCCCACAAACTTCTCGAGCTAAACAATTAAAAAACATCAGATTTTTTCCAAAGAAAAGATTTCAACGTTTTTGCTGAATTAATCTGATAAGGGATTGTGTACCCTAGAAAGGCACCAAAGGAAAAGAGAAATGTGGAAAAGAATCAATACGTATCAAGGTTGTGTAGAGACAAGAGTCCATCGGTGGAGTGACATAGCTGATATTCTCTAAACACTCTCCCGCAGTTTACTAGGGTGCTTGACTTGGCGTTATAGCAAAACAATGGCCATGTGGACCACGTCGACGATAGCTTGAACAAAACTCGGTCTGATCGAATATCTAACATATGCACTCTACCATCGTTTCCGTTTGAATGGGTTCCACCGAGGTCGATCTTATGAATCTTGGCCCAGCCACCGTCTCTACTTTCATCCATCATCCAAATCTCCATGGTTTGAGACGTGACATCATTATCTATCATCCATAAGTTTCCGCGGCTTCCAGATAACGTGAAAAAACGAGTTTCTTTGGATCCTTGGATATCAAGGCAGAAGCAAGGGGGTTTAGGGTTTACCGTTGAGAAAGTCTCGTCTTGTAGAGAGAATGATACGATCTGAAAATCACTAGTGGTCCAGTAGATAAATCCATTGACGTAAACCTGAGAAGATAGTTGTAGAAGATAGGAACATGGACTATGATGCCTTCTCCAAGGGGATACTTTAAGACCGCCATTTCCTACAATATCGATATTCAAGACCTCAAACTCGAGTTTATTGAATTTCTTCCAAGTCGTGATGAGTCCATTTGGTAACCTCCTTCTACGGCTTTCATCCAAGTCGTGAGGCCACTTGACGACTTTGTACTGCATCGTGGCCTCAACAAATCCAAAGGAGACGAGACACTCTTCCGATCTGTTGAAACATAATGGCGACCAAGGAGAATCGTGTAAATACTTCAAGTCCTTGTTCATGGGGTCGCAAAGATAGATCCCAGAATTACAAACAAAGCATAAGAGCTTGTGGTAAGAGCTTAACATTCTGAAGTTACGGCAACCAAACATTACCGTGAAAGCATGGACGATGCCATTTGCCTTGTTGGTCACAATGAAATTGTATCTTTTACTATATGTATCGCTTCGCTTATGTAAGAGTGCGTAGAAATCATTATGGGAATTTGGTAAAGGTTCGTGGATGGATATGACAAAAAGAGAATCACGTAAACGGTTGTGGTGGAGGCGAAGGAAGCAATGATCAGAGATGAGAGACTTAAATTGCTTTGAGACTGATCGAAATCTTGCTAAGGTTTTGCCTGGAACTCGAGACAAGATCTCTATAAGAAGATCATTGGGCAGAGAAACATATGTCATGTTTTTCCAAAACAAATGATTTGGTTTTTGTGGTTTTAGCGTGTGCCTTTGTTCTTTGGGGAGAAAATATAAAGTCGACGATTCCGATCACCAAGTCACCAACCAGCATGAATCCAACACGACAACATCAGCAGCTAGCTCATGCTAATTGATGACAGGATTTGTTCAACGAAATTCAGGTTTTTTTATTCACGCTCTAGCCTGTGAGGAAATTTTAACCTGATATATAAATGATTCTGGTTTCAAGTGAATTAGGGTTTCAGATACCCGTACACTTATGGGCTTACACTTTTGTAAACATAATGGGCCTTAAGCCCATTAAAGAATGATAAAGCCTACTACGAGTAGTAACTTCTACGTCTGTCTTCCGCTTTCTCGACCATTTCCTTTAAACCGTTCGATTTGATGAGTGCTTGAGAATCAAATGGCTCTAATTAATTGCAAGTATCGACGAATAAAATACATAAACGTGTGGAGTGTAGAGTAAGAATTATATTACAAGAAAACAAATCCAAATCTCCCACAAACTTCTCTAACTAAAGAAATATAAAAACATCAGATTCCAAATTCATTATTTTCCTTTTTCCAAATCATAAAATCTCATTGTTCTTGCTCACAGAATCTGATACTGAATTAAAGCAAAGCATCACTACAGGTATCTTTTTTTTTTGTCTTGTCTAATCTTTTTTTGTTTTCTTGATTTTACTCTGTCTCTCTGTGGTTAAGTAAAGAATCTTGTCTCTTGCTTTGAATGCTATATCTCTTTGTATGTTTCAAGTTTTTATCTCTCTCTCCCTCTCGTTGTCCATTGTTAATGCTAACCAAAAAAAAACAAAATCAAGATCCGTGATGTCTCATCATGAGTTTCTCGCCTCTGCTTTTTCTTTTCTTGACGTAAATTTATTAGACTCTATTTGTTAAAAACTTCAAAATCAAGATCACTTGTGTTCACAAACTTACAGAGACTTTGAGAATGGTGAAGAATGTGTTTAGCAGAATTGATTTGTCGAGTTTTATTACAGGTTCGACTGAACATACTTGGCAACCAACAATGACTTCGGAGACAAACATTCCAAGTTACTGGCTAAACTGGAGATTCTTTGTCTGTGCAATCTTTGTCTTAACGTCTCTGTTTCTATCTTCTTATCTGATTTGGAGATATGAAGGACCAAGAACACGCAAGAAACGCGGTGATGATCATGATCAAAGCATGGAACTAGAACAACTCACAGGAGTTGTATATGATGATGAAACTTGGAATACTTGTGTGAAAGAGATTCATCCGAATTGGTTGTTAGGTTTCCGTGTTTTCGGTTTTGTTGTTCTTCTTGGACTTATCTCTGGTAATGCTATTGCTGATGGAACCGGCATTTTCATCTTCTACACACAGTGAGTCTCCATTTGTTGATTACATAAGAGTTTTTTAACATTTCACTTTTTCTGATGAGTTTTGATTGGTTCTTATATCAGATGGACTTTCACATTGGTCACAATTTACTTTGGGGTATGGCTTTTCTTCACCTTATCATGGTACTACACATGCTTTATCCAATCTATGTCTCTAGATCCTAACATCTACCTGAGGTTAGTAGTTGTTAAAATCGGTTTTTCGAAACCTAAAGTCGGCTTGATGTATTGCAGCTTGCAGCATTGGCGTCCATATACAGATTTAAGTCTGCTGATAATGGTGAAAACAGAATCAGTATAGTAGATGAAGAGCAAGGTTCGTATAGACCTCCCGGGAATGGCGAAAACTCAAATGTGTTTAAATCTTCAAGTGGACACGATAGAGAAAACAGGTCTACACGTCAGGTTGCAACTACATTGGGTTACATTCATCAGATTCTTTTTCAAGTAAGTCTTCTTGTGGTTTAAGTGTCAAGTTCTCTGTTTCTGAAGTCTGAACATGTTTTTTGGTTTGCAGACTTGTGCAGGAGCAGTATTACTTACAGATGGTGTGTTTTGGTTCATTATCTACCCTTTTCTTACAGTCAAAGATTTCAATCTCGACTTTGTAAGTTTTAACCACAACAGTAGACACTTTGTCTTTGATTTTCATTGAGGCTAAAATTTAACCAAACATTTATATACTGCAGTTCATTGTCATTATGCACTCGGTGAATGCTATTTTCCTCCTCGGTGAAACTTTCTTGAATTCTCTGGTTAGTTTTTATGTTTAGTCAACACAATAACATGATGATGAATCGGTAATGATGATGATTTTCATGTATCCAGCGATTCCCGTTGTTCAGGGTTTCATACTTTGTGGTATGGACCGGCATATTCGTGCTATTCCAATGGATTGTTCATGCTTGTGTCTCCTTCTGGTAATAGTCATGGATGGATCTATCTTTCTTTACATTATCCTATGCGAACAGATTTGTTTACTTGCTTGGGATATTAAGGTATGTGTATAACAGTGTGATATCTGTTTGTGCAGGTGGCCTTACCCATTCTTGGATTTGTCATCACCCTATGCCCCTTTATGGTACTACTCAGCACAAACTCATCGCCTATTATATCGGTTATGAAAATGAATCTTGATCTTGAATGGATTTAGACTACACATAGTAATGTTTTAACTGATGTTGCAGGTATGCGGCTGTTGGATTGATGCACATACCATGCTTTGGAATCTTTGCTTTGATCGTGAAGTTGAAGAACTTGTGGCTCTCAAGATGTTACTCAGAAGGACCATATTAAATATATACTCGAATGTTTAATACTCTCATATGAGCCTTGAGCAAAGTTCATAGAAGAAGTTACAGATTCTCATACTCTCATGTACAAGTACAGGTATATAGGTTCTCTCCTGCCTTCTGTATCAATTTTTTTCTATGTAAATTTCCTTTTGAAGGAACATATATAATCACTTAGCTAGCTAGTAGTCACCATTCTTTTGGAGGGGGCCAAAACAAATAAAACTGTTCTTTTGATGATTACTTTTGTTGCATCGTGTGAAAATTAGTTTTGTAGAGTACTAAACTAAGCATCGTCCAACTATGATAAAATTTCATTAGCTAATCTTATTGTGCAGACACTGTTGATCATTTTTTCTGATTGTCTAACGATCATGTTAATCGAATCCTGAATTGGAGTGTTATTGAGTCGCAAACAAAAGTAAAAGCAACAAAGACCAGTCCCGGTCAAGATTCTTTTATTTATATTATTGGACCGTATCCAATTTTCATTCGATAATGAATAATAGTTTTCCTGATAAACTAATTAATCATATCATGTTTTTTTGTTTCTACCCCAATTAATCATATTTTACATCTTGTCTTCTGGACTTTTTATTTTGGAAATTCAAAAGAAGCATCATGTTCACGCGAATATCTGAAATCAAATTTTCTTTTCTTCTTAACACATTTTATTCCTATAAAAACAAAACTTTATATTTTTATTCAAAAATGGCGAAGGAGAATATTTTCCTCCGCTTTAATAGGAAGACAATGATGCTTTTAATAGTACCGAACCACATTATATCATTTTTGTAAACAACATTTCCCAAAATTACCTTAGCTAATCAATTATAGCTGTTGGCAAAAAAACAAAAAAATAGGAAGACAATGATAATAAGAACAGTGAGAATGTGAGATTATGGGCCGAGATGAGCCCATTAGAGCATGATTATCGGTGTATCTTAGCAACATCTTAACACAAATCTTAGCATTAAAAGTAAATATATTTAATCAAACCAACAAATATTTGCTAAGATATGTATCTTAGTTAAGATGTTTTTCTTAAGTTTAGAAGCGCACACGTGTCACGATTTGAGTGGGAAAAAGAAAAAACAAAACTAAATAGAGTAAAAATTTGTATGTCCTTAAGAACTCCTTGCTTTTTAACCAATGGAGTACAAATTTGTTAAGATATTGTATAACTTTTCTTAACTTACAAATAGTGAAATTTTAATTTAAAATAAGGTTAAGATCTAATGTTAAGATACACCGATAATCCTGCTCTTATCACTCTTGTCGATTGTCGTTGAACCGAGTCTTCGTGCACATCTAAAAATTAGCTTGCAATATCCAGTTTTTTATATGTCGAAAGAGAATTTATGATCAGTTAAACAACAATGTATTTTATTTTAGTGGATTTGACTAAAACAAAATCTCTTCGCACTAATTAGATGATACATAATGGAGATAAAAGTGATTATGATAATAATATTCGTAAGTGATTTTAAGACGGTCGACGTGGGCCTAAAAGACTAATCCTTCGCACAATCTACTTAAGCTTTATCAGTGCTTGAAAATGGAATTGATGATTGTGCCAAAAGTACATAAAATCTAGTTATAATATAATTATAATATAGCTATATAGATATAATCTCAAATAAAATTAAAACAAATATATTAAAACCCTTATTTGTATATATATACCAATGAGTAAGTTGGACCAATCCTAGCTACCCCGTTCACATTATCTTGAAACATAACAACAGTTTAGTTTAATGCATTGACTAACTATATTCTACCATTCTAGATTTACATATACGTGTGATCATGTTAATACCAAAATAAGGTGTTAGCTTTTTAGCTCTTTTTAAACGTGGTGGTTGTGATTTGTGAGCTGAGCTCTCCAATGAAAAAAAGTCAGCTACTAATTGCACTTTTGGAATAATAATAGTTAGGTTTCCGTCGTCAAATGCGCCATACGCATAACCAAAAGGTTTAGGCTTATGATTATAGAAATAATTGTTATAGGTGTATAAATATAGTCAAACTCGAAGATAAATAAAATGGTGCCACGTTAATGAAAGATTATCTTTTGTAATCTTTAACCATGAGCTAATTAAGTATAGAACTAACTTTCCATAAATGTATCTTTTTGAGTTTTGATCTCACCCGCACAGTTGGAGCTCACTTCCCTTGCCCTTATCGTTGGCTCTACCAAATTTTTTATTTAAAGTTATTAGATTTTTTTTCTGTACATGTAAATATGTAATTCTCAATCCGTTTTTTATATAAACCAAGATTTGAATATTTGATAGTGTAAAACAGAAATATATAAGCTAGAAAGTATATTATACTAAAAATTATTAAACGTGACAATTTTGATTGATTTCCGCAATATCTAAATTTTGTCTATTATGTAGTAAGAATAGCAGTTTCTCTTCGAAGCAAAAACTTCAACGAAAGAAAGACAAATTTTATATTTGAAGGACCACAGACAAAACGCAAAGGACCACTTCATAAGAAACATTTGAAAATAGAAACAAAAACACTTTGCATCAAGATGCTTGGTATTGTATATTTTTTTTAATATGCATGTCCACGACATCCCCAGATCATGGGAATAAAATCAAATGAGCTGAACAGTAATCCATAATAAGCTGGTTTTTTTTCTTCAACAGCAATTTTTTAACGTAAGAAAAAAGAGATTAGAATCTTTATATATAAAAAAGCTTATTAGAAATTTAGAAAATATGTTTTAGTAGATGCTCATATTTGCTGTCCCAACACTGTTTCAGGTTGTATTTCAAAAGATTTATTCCTCAAGATAGAAGTTAAAATAATCCATAATTTACTTTTTTGGTCTATAAAGACTTTCATTTCTATTAATTCCCCAGCCACTTTGAAATTTTGGTGTATGTATAAGGTTTTGGTGCAACGACTGCTGAAGAAACAAAAGATCATGTGGTTCTGTGACTGTGATCAGTTGTTTGCTTAAGAAATAAAGCTATTGGTGGATATTTAATTTCCTTCCAGGTACGTTGATATGTTTTGGTCAATTTATATATTTTGGTTAACTACAAATGAATCTCTGTGTTTTAGTAATGCTTAAATTTCGATTGGGTACAAGCATTATGAAGAGGCGGCCCTAAGATTTCTGTGCAAATATGTTGAATAGTTAAATATTTGCATACATACATGACCAAAAAATAATATTTAAATTGTTTTATCGAATATAATTTATAATTGTCAACGCAAATGCTTCATAACATTTTCGTTTTATACTTGCATACAAAAACATTTGATAAAACATATCAAGGTTATTATGATAACATATAAATGTATAGCATAAAAGAAGAGATAGTTAATAACAGATGGATATTTCATTCAAAATTGTGAAGAAAATCTACTTTGACCAAAGGGTGGTGGTTCCTTTTGGTCATGGGTTCAAATCCCCTTTTGGGCAGGAGAGACATTCTTTAAATAGTAATAGATTAAAGGCTGATTACGAGTATTGAGTAAGATTATGGGCCAAAGGTTTAGAAATCATACGGTTTATCAAAAAAAAAAAGAGTAAGACTGACGATTTCCCAAAAAACAAATCGTAACAAGTAATATCTAATTTTCAGCAACATTTCTAAGACAACAGACACAAATTTGTACTTCCGACGTTTACAAGTTCTATAGGGAAGCTTTGTGAGAGTCTCTCTTGCCTTTGTTCAATTTTAGTGCTTAGATTGCATTTTCTCCTCAGCGATTGTTCCTCTTTCGTGTTTTGTCTCTATAGTATTTGGTTTTAATCGGTTTCCCTATATCTTAGGGCTTAGCTTCCCTCTTTTGGGCAAATGTTTCTGGGGACATTCATGTTGTCCGCCGGCATATGTATTTCACTTTGTATCCTTTCTTGGTTATTAATAAAATTCAGATGACAAAAAAAAAAAGACACAAATTTGTACAAAAACACATTGATATGAGATACAATCATACAACACTAAAACAAAAGGATAAGGTTGAAGCAACCGAATATTAAATAAATAAATTAACAAAAACCTCAATATTATGAAATCCAATACAAATAATTGAAACCTAACAACACTAAATCACGGGAACAGTACTATTAAAAATCCATGAAGAAAACACTTGTGTGGACGTACAATAATATTATTAGCACCATAATTGTATGCAAATAAAAAAAAAAATTATATGCAAATTTGATCTAATAATTTAGTCGTTACTTTTTGTTATTGTTATTTTTTCTGCAAGATATGGACTAATAATGAGAGGTTCGGACCAAAACTTTCTTTATCAAATCCAGAACGTTTATGCCCATCACTATACACATAAAAAAAATTTGTAATCATTTCTCGACGATAATGATCATATAGAAAAATTAGAAACAATATAAAATATGTGCTGTGAAGGCCAACGGTGAAGATTCAATCCGATACGATCCAACGAAGTGAAATGAGAGAAGCAAAGTTATGTCGTTTATATAAGGTTTGATACGAAACCAAAGCTTTATGTCAGTTAAATTTCTACACCAAAGTAGTCCGACGGATGTGTCAATCAACCTGTCCATCATCAAAAAGACCTTTGTGACATTTTTAAAAAAAACATTGCAGAAAAAATATAGAATTTTTTTTTACAACAAGGTTTATTATAGAAGGATTTTTTTGTTTTAAAAAAAACTGTAGAGTTAAAAGGATTTTTAAACATTTTAATCATAAATTATGATAATTTTAATGTTAAGAGTTTGTGATGAATCCTTAAAATTTTATTTGTCCAATGGTAGAGTCCTTAAGTAGGTTTCTAAAAAAAAAAATTAAAATGAAAATTAAAAATATTTTTATTAATAAAACTTAATAAATATTACAATTTCCTAAAAAATTTAAACATACAAGACATAAAAGCATATAAAAAATACATATAAAAAACCAAATTTTTGCCATCTATGTTTAACAAAATGAGCTTTCAATTGTTGATGCATAGTCCGATCACGAACTCGAGTTCGAATGTCCATCATATTACTGAGATTTGAAGGCATATTTTTTTTTGTCTTTTATTAATATTTTTGACCCAATCAGAAAACGACACATATGAGGCTCTTAACAATCCTTAAACCTCTTAACAATCTTTATATTAGAGCCAACTCTTAACAATCCTTAACTTTATTTGTTGTTTTCATTTATTTTAATTACTTTTAACTTTAAGGATTTTTTTAAGAAATCTATAAGAAACACCATTGGGGGTGCTCTAATATTACTATATAAGGTAATGGTACATTTTCTATCTTACGCGACTAAAAGATTCTCTATGAATATAACAAGAAGTGCGATTAGTGGAGTGGCCACTAAAGAATTTAGTTCCAAAGGGTTTTTAATTAGCACATGACTGAAAGCCACTAAAAAAATAATTGCTCACTACGATCTTGATGGTTGTGATTGATAATGAGCACCTAGCCACCGTAGACGTGTATACAGCGAAACAAAAACTAGGTGAAAATTGAAAATATAAAGGAGTAAACTTGAAGTTGAACCGGCCCGGTTAGACAACTAGAATCCGTAGGTGTCGGCCACCGTAATTGGAACAGAAAAGCGTATTCTAGCACGATTAACAATGGTTGCTTAAAAATGGTTCTTAAGAGTATTAAAATAATAAATTTGTAAAAGTGACACATGGATGGATCTTAATGTTAATTTTGGTTCTTAGCTAAGCCACTTTAATTTTGGATCTTAGTCATTAACAAGATTTTTCTTTAATTTTTTAGCTAAGATTTAGCTAAGAAATGGTTAAGACACCACCAATAATAATTGGTCTTAATTAGTTATTTACGGTCGTGCACACTCTTCCCTTCTAACCTTAAATGATGGTAATCTGGATTTTGACCCCGAAAAAAGAGTGACCTAATTAATACACCAAATTACCATCATTTGTTTTTGGGGTCAAAATTCAAATTACTTCATGTTTTTTTTGTTAACAAAGCATAGTTGTCTTTTTTAACTCGACTTGATTAGCCAAAGCATATTTTGGTCATTTGGGCACTAAGTTATATATATCAAAAATAATCGTAACCATGTAATCGTACAGTCCAAAAAAGTACTATTGAATCACGCAGAAATCTTTTTATAATCACCCGAATCGTATTCCTTAACACATATGGCAAGCCCTTGAAATCTTTCTTCTTTTACACCCCTCTTGAAATGTATAATCTATTAAAAGGAAATAATTTATTATATCATAATTTTGTCTCGTCCTCTTCTATGCAAATAACAATAAATTAGATGGAATATAACTGGGGAGGATTTTGTTTTTGGCCGAAATATTTACGACCATTGCCCTCAAACTACACTCCGAGACCGAACTCAACTTGGCCAGTCTATTTCCATTGTCTCTCTCATTGAAGAAGTTTGGAAAACTTTTTGTTAAACCCGACGGTTTCATCTTTTCTTTTAACTTGTTATTTGTGTGTTTCTTGATCTTCTTTGGAAGCAAGACAAGACTGTGGATCGAAGCGGCGGCGAGCACTGATCGTATCTCACAACGATCATATTAATGGATAGAATGTGTGGTTTTCGTTCGACGGAAGACTATTCGGAGAAAGCAACGCTGATGATGCCGTCCGATTACCAGTCTTTGATTTATTCATCCACCGGAGCCAATCGCGTGTTTGGATCCGACGAACTCGCTACGGCTTTATCGTCAGAGGCGCCTCCACGTATTCGAAAAGCTGATGATAATTTCTCTCTTAGTGTCATCAAATCCAAAATCGCTTGCCATCCTTTGTATCCTCACTTGCTCCAAACCTACATCGATTGCCAAAAGGTTATTTCGCTAATCGACTGTTCATATTTTGTGTTCTTGATATGCGTCTCGTGTTTTTTCTTTCGTACTTGTGTATGATTTTGTGCTTCGTGATGAAAAACCTTGATCATGATTTTCTTTGTTAATTTTTCCATTTCTTACTTTTTTTTTTTTTTTTAATTTTGTGTTCCACTTAACCCTAAGATAAGATAGCTGATGCGTGTGATTTTTTCTTTTTTTTTGGGTTATTGATTAACAGGTAGGAGCACCTATGGACATAGCGTGTATATTGGAAGAGATTCAGCAAGAGAACCATGTGTACAAGAGAGATGTTGCTCCATTATCTTGCTTTGGAGATGATCCTGAGCTTGACGAATTCATGGTTTCTCACTCGTCCTTTTTTTTTCTCAATCTCAAGTCCTTTTAGTTGTTTTTAGAAATAATTTTTTTTTTTGGTGTGGTGTGATTCTAGGAAACCTACTGTGATATTTTGGTTAAATACAAAACCGATCTAGCGAGGCCGTTCGATGAGGCTACAACTTTCATAAACAAGATCGAAATGCAGCTTCTGAACCTGTGCACTGGTCCAGTGTCTGCTACAGCTCTTTCAGGTCAGCACTAAAATGATATCTCTCTCTAGTTCGAGTGTACTCTTGATTTCTTGTTTCGTAGTGTTTTATTGATCTTTGAGCACTATCCTCGATTTGTGTGTCCTTGAAAATCCTTGCGCACATTTCTCCTTACAAATCGAGCGGATTTCAAGATCTTTCCTCAGAACTTTTCCTTTCTGTGTTTCAATGATCAGTTTCTTGGAACTGATGGAAATCTTCTGATTTTGTTTTTCCTTTAATGTTTTTGCTTTCTTTAAATAAACAAGAAACGATAAAATAATTAATTGTAGCTGAAACTAGGAAGAGTTTAGACAACCAAAGTTAATAAAAGTCAGAGAAAAACCAAGGAAACTCTAAAACCCTAGTTTGGGAGAAAACAATGATTGATTCAGCCACATCTTTCATATTTTTAGAAAATAGAAAGTCATTCATGCTTTAGATGGATCTATAACCTTCACACATCTTAATTTTATGACAATTATTTTCTATCATTAGTTATGGTTTAAGCTGCGGGGCTTAGTGGTGATAGGGGGCAAGCAGTGGGTAGGATTTTATCACTAGTGATATTTATTTTCCTAGTGATCTTTTGGTGTGGTATACTTTTCTTTTGTTACTTTTATAATATACATGTATTATTTATTATCTTCTCCTCTGTCAGAAGAAAAATGGGTCTATGAAAGCAAAAACTTTTGCGCTAGAGATTCTGATTTTGACGTTTCAGTGTCGTACTGAAAGTTTTTTATTTGCTTCTTTCCAGTGAAAATTCAATCATAGAGAAAAACCTAGTCATAACTTCCACTAATAAATGCCACTGATTTTTCTTGAGTTTGTTGCTTGGCTTCATGTTTAGATCATCTGAGTATTGCTTGTTTTCATCTTCATTAAGACTGATGGGTAAAACAAAACTTTACTAGTTCTTGATTGCTCCAACTTCTCTTGGTGGATGAACCAAAGTTTATACTACTTTTTCATAGTAAGTGTCAGACTTAAGTTTTATCCTTATCACTTAAGTATATACTATTAGAGAGTGAGGAAAATTTATTGTGTATAATGATCAGTAAAACAAAAATTTGAATAGTTTTATTAGTATATGTGAAAATTTACAACATTAGCCCTTCTTACATTTGAAGTCCGGTGTGTTCATATCATATGTACAAAATCACTGGTGTGCTTATTTTTCACCAACCCAGCTGACTTAGTAAACCAAAGAAGTGTCTCGATCATGTCAAATAATAGTTGGATTTTAGTTTCTGTAGCTCGAAAAGCTAAAACAAATCTCTATTAGATTTCAGTTCCACTCATTTGAGCTCATGCTCATGGATGTGTTATAAACTGGCCATAAAATATGCTTGATGGCCAAGTGGCTTGGATATTAAGACACTGTAAGTTATGTTTACTAATATGCTTTATGGTAACTTCTTTGTCGCCATTTTTCTTAATTAAGAAGAATAGAACTTTGTAAGTGTATTATTTACTAGCAGCCCAAATGTGGAAATAATAGGTTTTCTTAAGAGAATGTTTTAGTTGCCTTGTGTTGTTTTTGTAGATTAATATTGGTTAAACCTTTCAAACATGGCAAAATTAGTTTTTTTTTGTTATTATTCTACCAGCCACGTTAATGTTGTCAGAACGCTAGAGTATATTTGTCTAAGTAAAGTATTTCACTATCTTAGGGATTTTAAACTAAATCATTTCTTTCTTCATCTCCACCTGATAAGAACTAGCTGGAAAGAAATGGAACTAAAAAATTGTGGAATTCAGCTTTAATAGTCTTCTTGTTATTGTGCTTTTTCTTGTATGATATCAAATGCAGCTTCGGTTGTACTTTGTTAGCATTTTTAATTCCAAAAAGTTGTTAATACTTATCGGCGTACTTAATTAATCGGAGTTTACAAAGGGAATCATGTCCAAAAGGTTGAAAAACAGATCACTTGGAGCTTGAAATTTTCTTTAGTAGACGAATGTTTAGTTTTTAAATGGTTAGAAGTACAACTTGCCTTTTTGGGTAATCTCATGTATGTTCATTTTGATTGGATATATATTAATTACCTTCTTGAGTGATCTGAACATCTTTTCCTTTGCCAATATCTTTTTCTGTTTCTTAAGTCCCGAGAAAGGAGTTTTCTTTTCAACTGATTTCATCTTAAACTAATACTAGTATATATAACTCCTAATATGTGGTTTTCATCAGAGTCACGTGCTTTTGGTTTCTTTTCGTGCTAATATGCTTTAGGAATATAAACCAAATCCTCTTTAGTCAACTGATGTTTGTCATAACTATTGTATAATGTATTTACTTATTTTTTTCGTGATTAGCTCATTTACCATATGATGTTTTATGACATTTTATATGTTGGTATAAGCTAAGCTTCTGTTTGTGGGCATGGTCAATATTGGCGATGGTTTTTGTTCCATCCTCTTCTTACCTTTCTGCATCCGTATGTGGTGCTTAGGTCTCTCATTGTTTAAGATTATTCACTACAGTTTTGTGTTGTAAAATGAAATCACCCTATATCTTTGGCTGTGTTATCTTCTATTCATGCATGTATAATCACTATTCCTAGGAAACTCAAACCGGAAAGCTTGAACAAAGTTCTATGTCATGGCACATTAGTTGCTTCACCAGTTCTAGACATGATGGTCATTTGAGGGAGTCTTGTTCATTGTTTTGCCCATAGTAGGATGTTCATAATGGTAAAATCTGCATTAGTTACGTAACTACTAATAATCTGTTTGGTTATATCACCTTGGTAGATAAAATATCCCGTTGCCACAAAAAACACTATGCGTGATAAGCTTGAATTAGAAATCTTGTGGTCGTTTTTGGAGATGGAAGTTAAGGGGGAGTATATGGGGTGGTCGAGTGTCACATGGACTCCCGTGGAATCCGCTGGTGGATCCCTTTGTGACCCAATCACAACTCTTTCTTTTAAGCTTTTGTTGATTTGATTTGATTCTAAAGAAAAAGGTAAAAATAAGGGAGAGATTGAGACATGGGGTTTGATTTCTGTACAACGCAATCATCTTATGACTAATGCTTCTCCACTCTCTCCCCATCTTTTTCAACTGTTGTTGCCTAGTGGTTGTCATTTCCTCTGCTCATTTGTTCCCTTGTTGGGCCATGCTAATTTCCACGTGTTTAACTTTTTTTGGGAGATGTACAAGCCTAGCTACCTTTTTTTTTTATCAGTGCATGTTGTCTCTTTTGCATTGCATTCATATTAGATACGAACCAATTTCGGCTAATAGGTAAAGAACAAACTGAATTACTATTGCACATGCCTTCCTCAACTAGCAAATGTTTTATGGATAGGGTGTGAACTATCTTTGTATAGTTTTTCTAGGGACCAGCTCATGTTTCTATGCATTTAAGATAAACCTTATATGTATAGCAAAACTAGAACCTAATATCTTCAGGGAGATATTAAAACAATGTCTTTCTCTATACACTAGGTGGAGATTACTTGTTGGAAAATTCTAATGCAAATAATTTGATCATTAATCAAGTTAAAACCTCCCTAATAGAGTGGTCAGTATGGTATGGTCATAAATGGGGCATTATGAAAAAGAACATAAATGTTGGGGAAGCGTTTTTTCCGGGGGTCACTTAAAAGTGTCAGGAAGGTAATACGTGTCGTGACTCAGGTGGCCAATGGTAAGCTAACTATTCAGTCACTGCGACAGTTTTTGACTGATCACTTTTGAGCCCGGGTCTTGTGAAACCTCGATACTATTATCTCGCTATTCTTGTTTTCTCCCTTTTACCCCTGAAATATTGTTCTCTTCTTTATGTTTTTTTTTTTTTTTGGCTCATTTCTTGTTTTAGGTGCTTAGCCATTTAGCTGAGCCTACAAGTATCTTAATGTTATATGTAACCTATGTTTGATATTGTTTTGCTTAGTGGCATAATTTACTTTCTACATTGTCAAATATACCACCATACATTCCCCTAGTACGTTCATTATTGAATCTTCCGTATGTACATTATTCTCATGTGTGAATAGATGATGGTGCGGTTTCATCTGATGAGGAACTGAGAGAAGATGATGACGTAGCAGCGCAAGACAGCCAACAAAGAAGCAATGACCGGGATCTCAAGGATCAGCTTCTGCGTAAATTCGGTAGCCATATCAGTTCATTGAAACTTGAGTTCTCTAAGAAGAAGAAGAAAGGGAAGCTACCAAGAGAAGCAAGACAAGCGTTGCTCGATTGGTGGAATGTTCATTATAAATGGCCTTACCCCACTGTAAGTGTCTTTCTGATACCACCGTAAGCTAGCATACACTCAAGGAGACGGATATTAATTTGTTTCGATATGACAATCGTAGGCGAACAATTGGTGTGTTTAATATCTTCATATCTCAAATGTGTGCAGGAAGGCGACAAACTATCATTGGCGGAAGAAACTGGTTTGGATCAAAAACAAATAAACAATTGGTTTATAAACCAAAGAAAACGTCATTGGAAGCCTTCGGAGAACATGCCGTTCGATATGATGGATGATTCTAATGAAACATTCTTTACCGAGGAATGAAAAGAGAGAGATGAAATTGTGCATTGTATAATCTTACATTGTTTTCCCAAGAAAAGAAAAGGAGTAAAAAGCTTTGGTACATGGGGCGTCGTCGCAAACTCGTCATAAGCCAAAACGGACGAGGGCGTAACGACACTTTATATTGAAAGTAGTGGCAATATTATGTCACTAATCTTCCAAATGGTCCAAAATGATATCTTCCTTAATTGTATTAAACCTTACTTAGATAGAACCATGTCTCAACTAATAACTTATTATCACCATCGCAAGTAAACCTTGTAGTTCATGTAGTCCTATGGTTGCTTAATATAAGAACCATTTGTTATTTCGGCCGAACATGCCCTCTGAAATCTCTGATGGGCTTTAGTTAGCCTCTTCTTTTTGACCGTGTGAGGCCCATTAGGCCACTAGTGTTTAATAGTACATAAATTAACTTACTATCGCCATCGAGATAATCAAATTACTCAATTTCACAACTATATTACTATACTAACTAGTAACTAGCTTCTCTCACTGGTTTATACCTTTCTGCTCAACGGTGTATTTGTTCTTCTTATACAATTCTTTAAGGCTCATCTACCGTAAAAGGAACTTTGTGAGACAGTGGCAAGAGATGCACAACCAGCTGAATCGCCATCAGAACCATCTCGAAGTTCCATTACTCTTTCATCCATAAACGGAGGGTTACTTGGCAATGGCAGGATTTCCTCTTTGTTCTTTAGCATATGCAACAACTTTGACATCGATGGTCTTAGCGACGGTATCTCTTGAGTGCATAAGAGCCCTATTTGAACTACTCTCGCTATCTCCTTTTTGATGATGATACTATCATTCTGATTCTTCCAATTCAGGTTTGGATCATATATTTCCTCTAAATCTCGTGTCTGAAAATGCTTCCATGCCTTTTTTTTAGCAACAAAAAAAAACATAACACCACAATTAGTATGAGAAGTGAAATCTCTATTTCTAGTCATATAAGACAAAATCAGATAACTTACTTCTGTAATCAAACTGTCTGAGTAATCTGACATTTTGCTTTTGGTGTTCTGTTTTCCAGTTACAATCTCTAGTACAAGAACTCCAAAGCTGTAGACATCTACCATCTCTGTTAGCTGACCGTGTGCTAAGTACTCTGGAGCCATATAACCTCTGCAGTTTCACAAGTTTTGACACCATTTTAGTTTTTAAAGTAATAAAATCATATATTCATATCTTTTGAAGCAATGTTACACTTACAAGGTCCCTGCAATGGCAGTGCTGATATGGCTCTTATCGTCCTGGAATGATCTCGCCAGTCCAAAGTCGGCGATTTTAGCTTGAAGCTTTGAATCTAGAAGAATATTGCTTGCTTTTATGTCTCTATGAATAATCTTCACACTCGACTGCTCATGCAGATACACTAATCCTTCAGCGGTCCCAACGATGATCGTGTATCTTCTCTGCCAGTCTAGTGTTTTCCCTCTGTTCACATCTGCAAAAGTAATAACAAAGAATGATTTGGTGTGATGATTCAGCATTCAGGATTAGACAAATGAAACTCATCAAATAGTATTATAAGTAGTAGTTACCGAAGATGAATCGATCAAGGCTCTTGTTCTGAAGGTATTCATAGACAAGGAGGCTCTCTGGTCCTGAGCAACTGCAACCAAGTAGCCTAACAAGGTTCTTGTGTTCAACAGTGCTAATCATGTTGACTTCATTGTAGAAATCTGTTGCTCTATGTCTGTTGTTGAAGAATAACCGCTTCACAGCGATATCTCGTCCGTCTGGAAGAACCCCCTAAAACAACCCATAGAGATGCCACTAGATCACTCATTTGCTCTACAAAAAGATAGAAAGAGAAAGCAATGATCATACACACATACCTTATAGACAGTTCCAAATCCGCCTTGTCCAAGCTTGTTTGTGTCGTCAAATGAACCTGTGGCTTTCTCCAGTGTTGAGTATTTGAAGTTCAAGCTACTGTCTTTTAGAGTTTTCGCCATTTTCTCAACATCATTTGATCCTGAAAAGCACCAAATATAATATCTCTGGTAAAAAACACTCAGATTCTTCTTTAACCAATTTATCAGAAATCAAGAAACTAAGCTGACCTCTTCTCTTCCTCTTGATGGTCCGACGTTTGCAGATATAAACACTTACTGCTATTCCAATCATGAAGACAACCACAGAGCTAAGAACTGAGACCACAATCACTACCACAGAGCCTGCAAAAACAACTAGTTATGACCATCAAGCGAATGAGATTCTATAGAAAACATGTATCTGTTCTTGTGTTACCTCTTGATCTTCCGTTTCTTGATATCTTGTTCAAGAAATCTTGATCAGAGTACCTAAGGAAACATCCAGTGTGAAGTGCACGTCCCTCTGACCATGGCAAACACCCCTTAACCACAGACGCAGACGCGTTCTCCAAACACTGTTTACAAGAATCAGGACTCAAAGTTCTCCAGCAATTCGCCAACACAAACGCGGATTCAGATTCAGATTCACCCGCCTTTGCAGAAGCACGAGCGTACCCTCCAGTCCCAGAAGCCTCAGCAACAGCATTTCTCAGCCCTTGCTTCACCGCATCACCGAAAGTCTCACTCTTTCTCGTCGTGTTTCCACACACAACGTTATCTTCAGGTCCTTTGAATTCGTTATAGAAACTATAATTCTCAGCTCTCATAAAACATCCATCAAGAAAGATTCTTCCTCCGTTCTGAGGATAACACTGCGGAAGCATCGTGCGTGCTTCCGCGTAACAGAGGACACAGTCGTTTAAAGGAAGATCACCGTAGCACTGTGCAAGACCGTAGTTAGCGTCTGGTCCTGTACCGGTGAGAGCAACTCCAAAACCGGAAGTTTGTACTTGTGTACTGATTTTCTCCATTGTGGCTACGAAATTTGGGACATAAGCGGTTTCGTTGTGCTCAAGCAAGGGTGAGCAAGTGACTTGAACGGCTCGAGCTCTTGCGTCTCCGGTGATTTGACGGAGTGATGAAAGAAGAAACATTAAGAGACATGGAAGGTACAGAGGACGGATATGAATTGGTTCTTTCTTCATTTTGTTTGGTTTTGATTGAAAGAGATCTCTTTTTTTTGGAGTTGATCAAGGGTTTTGTGTTCTGTTTTCAAGGTATGAAATTTAGAAAGAAGAAGCAGAGAGAGATCAAGAATTGGAAATGATGAAATTGAAGAATTTTCAACGAAAGAGGAATTTTTCAACAGTTTGACTTTGATGAAAATGTTCTGTTACAGTCAACCAAATTTGCTGTGTCTCTCTCTACTGGTTAGTCTTGAATTCACACTTGGAAACCAAACCAGCTCGATCATGTTGAAGTCGTTGTCTTCAATTATTTGTCGGTTTCATAAACCTAAAAACCGGTGGACTAATAATTAATAATTAATGTAGAGCTTATTTGATGTGGAGCCGGTTTGGTTTAATTGGATAAATCTCTTTATCAGTTACATACTTACATTTATCTTCTTTCATTGACTTCAATTTTCTGGATATTTAAAGAGAAAAAGAAAACGTCACATAAATAAGACGACATTCAACAAAATAAGATTAAGAAATTGGCAATGGATAAAGTGACGTTGGACTATTTTAGATAAAGAAATAGGTTTGTTGGGTTGATTAGTGGGCCTAGTTGGTGGTATGGTGCAAGAAAAGATCTAGAAAAGAAAAAAGAAAAAAAAATTACCATTGCTATGGTCAAAGTTTACTCAAGATCAATTACGAAGAAAATGAGTAGTAGTTGGACAACTAAAAATGTTGATCTAGTTGGCTAGAGTAAAGACATGTTATATATAATAAGCTTCAATTATATAATTTTATACCAAGTGGTTCTTGGTCTAGTTTCCATTGACTTCTTTAAAAGAAAAAGAAAAACACTAACAAGAAAGTCTTGGTTTCAAATCCATTTTTCAAAAAGGTTATTTCCAAAAAAATAATCCGCAGAAATTAGAAGATTCAGATCCAAATTTCACGATTCTAAAAAAAAAAGAAAATTATACGTATTTTTCTTGACCTGAAAATTTTCTGTAACTTTTATATGTTTGATGTTTCATATAAATCTATAATCCTTATGGCCTTTTATTTTTTTTTGCGAAGTTAAAACGTAGAAAATTATTGACTCATGAACAAACACAAAAACCGTATAATAATAAACAAAGCTACTGAAATTAACACACAAAATAAAACTACTGAACCGTAAACCGAATCACTAATATCAAAACCGAGACTAAACCGGAATCTGTCCCCACCATGTAAAGCTCTACATTGTTCAGTTCCTAGCTTCTATGACATTGTCGTGGCACATACGTAACCCTCAGCTCCTAGCTAACACACGATTAGTTGACATCTCAATTTTTGTACATATGACACAAGATGATTCAGAATCCACACAAAAGGATACTGATATATGTAACACGATCTAAAACCTCATCTAGGTTCAAAGAAACTCGAACCCTCGGTTATGTAGTCACTCCTTGATCCTGAAGAATTAGACTGATTCGTCGTGGGAGTCATCATCATCTTTCTCATCTCTACTACACTCCCTGGATTCAGAAACGGCGGTTGCGTCGGCCTGTGAATCTCCAAACTCCCTTTCATCATTTTCACAACTGCAGACATCGCAGGCCGCTGATCAAAGGCTGCTTGAACGCAGAGAAGCCCTATTTGAAGTAGCCGTGACGCTTCTATCTTGTTGAAGTTATCCCCCAAGATTGGATCCACTGCTTCTTCCAGATTTCTTGCTCTATACAGACTCCATACCTAAAATATGTTTTCAAGATTCAAGAAAAGGGTTTAAGCTAAAATCAATCCATCAAGAAAACGTTAACTACTTTTAGAGAGTTATTTACCGTTTGTAGGATCGAACCAGCTTCTTGTACGAAGGCATTGTTACGTTTTCCGGTTATAACTTCAATCATAAGAACTCCGAAACTGTAAACGTCTGCTTTCTCGGTCAGTTTTCCTCGTACCACATATTCTGGAGCCATGTAGCCTCTGTTTCCACAAGTGAGAAACTTCAGAAAACACACAAGACTCGGTAGAGATATAAAGTTACAAAGATAAGTTTTGAGACTTTACAGTGTACCGGCGATGGCAGTGCTGATATGAGTCTTGTCCTCTGGGAACAATCTAGCCAATCCAAAATCAGCAATTCTTGGAGTAAAATCATCTTCCAAAAGGATATTGCTCAGCTTAATGTCTCTATGTATGATTCTAAGATTCGACTCCTCGTGAAGATACGCCATTCCTTCTGCTGTACCAAGTATAATCTTGAATCTCTTCGCCCAATTCAACGGTTGAACATCTTTTCTTACTGAACCAAAAAAAAAAAAGCAGCAAGAACTAGTCAATAAAGATCCATCAAGAGATGGTAACCGTAGAAAAAGGTATACGATTGTCGAAAACAAACCAAAAAGATAGTCGTGGAGGCTTTGATTTGCAATGTATTCATACACCAGAAGGCTCTCTGGTCCAGTTATGCTGCATCCCAAGAGCTTCACAAGGTTCTTGTGATTGACTTGGCTTATTAAATTGACTTCGTTAAAGAAATGATCCACCCATTGCTTTGTGTTGAAGAACAGTCTCTTTACCGCAACAGTCTTACCGTTAGTAAGAACTCCCTATTCCACACAAAAAAAAAGAGCAAGAAATTAACCAATTGAAGAGTAGTAACATCAAGAAGAAACGGATAATAACACAACTTACCTTATAGACAGAGCCAGATCCTCCTTGTCCTAACTTATTTTTATCGCTGAAGTAATGGGTAGCCCTCTCGAGATTCTCATAGGAGAAACAGAGATTAGATTTGTTCGCAAGCATGAATAATGACCCTAGCTGCTTCTTCTCTACATTACATTCCACAAAAGAAAAGAAAAAAAAGTTTCTGTTAAGTTCAAGACTTTATAACTTTACTATTATAACCACTCAAACTCTATGACTAATCTTGATTATGGAACATAAATCTTAACTAATTCCACAAATAACTCACAAACCTCTTTGCTTCTTGGCATGTCTCTTTTTAAGCAAGAAACCAGCGGCAGAGACCAACAGAACAAATGCCACAACCGAAGATGTCACCGCCAAAATCACACCCAAATGGTTATGACCTGATCAACAAGAATGTTGCTAAATCAATGTTCTCTCACAAATCTCCCTTAACATACCATAAATGTTATAACACATACTAAATTTAAATCACATTTCAAGCTTATTGTACTTACCACCATTACCATCTGATGTGGAATTTCCAGAATTGTTATAAAACTTCTGAGTAGAAAATCTCATATAACAACCAGCACTAAGAACTCGACCTTCTTCATTAACCAAACAAGAACCAATCCTCACTGAAGCTTTACTCAAACACTCAACACAACCACTACGATTAAGAGTCTCCCAACACTGAGCCAGACCGTGAACCGTCAGATTATGTCTATCCACAAAACCAGCATAGAATCCACCATTTCTCACCGCCTCCACACTCATGTTCTTAACCAACTCTGCAGCGTTATCCCGGAATATCGTCCGGTTTACTCCGGTTATCTCCTTTGGAGCACAAACTGTCCGGTCTTGCAAGCCTAAGGTCTCGTTAAAGAAATTGTAATCATCGTACCTGATGTAGCAACCATCTGAGAAGACTTGACCACCACGAGTACCTTTTTGGAAAGGTAAGCAACGAGGAACTTTAGCTTTGATCTGAGCGAAACACAAGTCGCAATCTTTCTTATCAAGATCTTTTATACACTCTCCGTAAGCATAGACGGTCAAGTTTCCGGTGCCGTTGACCACTTGGCCGTAACCTTTAGCTTCCACGAGTGGAGATACGGCGTCCATGGCGGCGAGGAAATTAGTGACGAAGAGACTTCTCTGTTGCGGCGTCGTTGTTCTGTTGTTGCATATCTGAGCCACTGTATCTCCTCTCGAGTCTGAAGCTGAAGGGTTTATAAACAAACCCACAAGAAGAAGAAGAAGAGTGAGAATCGGCATCTGGGTTTAGTGATTAAGCTTTTGGAATTGAACAAGACAGCATTTGTGTAAGGTTTTTGATCTTTTGCTCTGTTTTTTTTACTCTCTTGAAATGGATTTGGTGATAGCGTAAGAGAAACAAGGAAGGAGACACGATCGGGAAGTTGAAATTGAATTTCTTCGATTTTGGTTGTTGGGTCAAAAACTCATAAGAAGAAAACTCGGAAATTTTCCAATTGTATGAGAAGTCAAAGAGAGACTTTTGTCTCGTATGATTCAACGAAAGATAACGATCACATTTGGGGGCAGTGAAAGTGAAAACGACGCCGTGTGGGAGTTATGTTCTGTTTTTAATGCACGGGGCATCATGACGTCATTGCCTTTGTCACTGTTTTTTCTTTCGAAAATCTGTTTTGTCACGCATAGTTTTTTTCTACGCAACCAAAAAAAAAGTTTTCTGTTACGGTTTATGATAGTTGGCATAAGAAGAAGAAGAAATTATGAGAATGTATAGTGATAGGAAAATTCAAATTTGTAAGATCATGTGAATTAGGTAATTGTTAAGTTTTATCAGTTTTCAGTTTGTAAATTCAAATTTGTAAGATCATGTGAATTAGGTAATTGTTAAGTATAATACGAGCAAATGAATTAACATAGTTGACAAATGTTTTGGAGTTCAGATGTGAATCAAGGCTTTCAAAATTTGAATCCAATTATGTGCTGATAATCTATTTTAACACAAAAGTGTAAACGCAAACGTAAACGAAAACAAACCATGGGAGCATTAATCATAACACAACCAACAAACCATAGTTTTTTGCTGAATTGTGTTACTAATTACAAGCACTGAGTAGTCCAATTCCAACAAACTCATGTGTGAAATGAAATTTTAAACACAGTTACAGGATTAATATGAGAATCTTCTAAAGTTCGGGTAATTTCCGGATATTCAATCTTTCATAACGCTTTTTGTAGTATTAGGAGAAAACAAGCAACGTAATGGATAATGGCGTAAGCTTTTGTCAACTGTATTGTGAAGGTCGTCTCTAAATCAAAGATACTTCAATCAGTCTTTTTATTCTTTCTTCACCACTAATCATCGACAATGTTAATTATTCAACCCTCGATTTATCAAAATTTGCCGCTTATTTTGAATTACTTGATACATTCTGAAAATGACTGTTTCATTCTTGTCAAACTAATCAACCATCACTTTCTGAAAATTACGTTTTTTTTTTGTTGATAATGACTTTGAAAATTACGTTTTTTGTTTTGTTTTAATATTCTTGATAAAGCATGGTTAATAAGAAATTACAGTATTTGCATGTAACTTTTGTATGAAAATATGTCAACATATAAGCCTTTGCATATACTTAGGTTATGAAGTAGTTAAACAGTGTCTTGTTTTCGTTATATTTCTATCACGCATATAGAGGTTAAAAATAAATGATTGTTTTTAAAATTTACATAAATGTGTGTATACTTGTGGCTCTGAAAAAATAAAAGTATATAGTAGTAAAAGTATATAGGAGTATTTCAAAAAGATACTCCCTCCGTTTCGTTTTAGTTGTCGTTTAAGGTTTTCGCACACAAATTAAGAAAATCAGTAATTTTTGTTTTACCCTTTATTAATATATTTTATAATTTTTTCATTGGTCAAAACATTAAAACATTGAGGACAAAACATGAATTTTCACCAAACATTTGCATTGAAAACCTAAAACGACAACTATTATGAAACAAAATTTTAATCCTAAAACGACAACTAAACTGAAACGGAGGGAGTATACTATTTTTAAGTATCTGTGCTTTTTTTATTAGGTATAATGATGAGTTGTAAATTTCAAGAAAAATAATTAAATTCTACTCTCTTTGTTCTTAATAGTTTGATGTTTTGGATTTTTCATACATATTAAAAATTTAATCATTGTTTAAACATTTTAACATTATTTTGATATTAAGTATTTTAATAATTATCAATCAATAGTAATCTAAATTTTTTATTTATTTTCAATCATTGTGTTTTGAAGTTTACGATTTATTAGTATAAGTCAATAAAAATTATAAAATCAATTTTTGTGAAACAAACACCAAAAATTAGAACATCAATCTTTTAGGACCAATGGATATTGGTTTAGAGTTAAAAAAATATTGTAAATTATAAAAATATTTATAATCAATTTTTAATATATTTTTAATATGTGCAAAACAGTGGATTAATTAGGAAAAAAAGTAATAAAAAAACGACTAAACACGGTTTGTGAAATTATTGGTACCTGATAATTGTCGGCGAATTTTTATTTAGGAACAAGAAAATAATAGAAGCCGATGGGTCCCGTAATGATCGACCTCTAGAAGCAAAGCGACCAACTCGTGACTATCAAAGTCAGCGTCAACTCCAAATATCCAACCCGTTCCTTACTGTATTAATGAATCATTGCAATAATGTCTTATCGCAAAAACAAAATCCTTACATTGAATGAGATCTATTTCCAAGTCCCGTCATTCTAAGAATATTAAACTCTTATCTTTTTAGTACAAGCTAAACCATGTTTTGAAGTGATAGTGATGTTGTGTTGTATTTTTCTTGTTGTTGTTTGTTGATTAAATGATGCATTTTGAGCCTATGATTAAAGATCTTTTTCTTCGGCCAAACGAAACGAAAAATCACGAGCTTGTTCTATACGTTAGTCAGTTTCAAGATACTATTAGAATTTGTTGGCAATTATAAAATGATGAAAGCTTTGACTTATGTTTAGGTGTATGAACACTGGCCACTAATCGTGCCGTCACCACCCAGAACCACCACTATTACTCTTTTGACTTAAATAATTACTTAATGAAACAATAATTAAGCCTCTTGTGTCATGAGAGTATTTATCAAAATCATATGCATCAGACTACAACAACAAATTATAGTATATGTTAGCATCAATAACCCCTAATTAAACTTGTTAAGTTTTCCCAAAACGAGACTCAGTTTCAAAGTCATGAAATAACTAGTCTAAAACTAAGTAACGAAGATTACTTAACCTTTTTTTTTGTTTTAAGGGACAGAGAATAAAAGATTATTTGTCCAGCCCACAAGAAACCTGGACTGACGATAATCTTTCTTAGGTGGCCTTAATTAAAGATTTATTGTCAACACAGAAAAAGCCCAAACCAGTATGAATTGGGAATCAAAACATAAGGCAATTTTGTAAGTTAATTAATCGGCCATGGCAGGGCCATTACAAAGCATAGTCAGAAGACAGACCATAATTATTTGCGTTTCCTCAGAACAAAGCAAAAAAAAAAAAAAAAGTAGGAAGCAACCCATCATTAGATTTAGACCTAATTAACCAAGGAACTAAATTTGAAATGTCTCTCTAATTCACCGGTGACAAATTATTTCAATTCTTTCCCTCAAAAAAAACTTACTAAAATTACCCATTTTTTCTTTTAGCATATGTATTAGTATAAATAACCAAACTCCTTCTCTTTGTTCAAATAATCAACAACCGGTGTTCAAACACCATACAATTCTACACAAAAACATATGAAAATGTCTACTAATCTCCACCTTGCGACCGCGGTGGTCCTCCTCCTCCTGACCGCGAGCCAAAGCGGTGTAGCAATGGCTCAACGGGTTATGGGAGGCGGGCGCGATCCATGCTCCGTGTCAGATTTCAAAGTGTTGTGCAGATCAGTGGTGAAGGGCCAAAAGAATGTTAACGCAGCGACAGAGGTTTCCATACGAGAGCTGATGAAAAGAACGATCAAGGCCAAAGAAGCCGCCAAGATTAGCCGAAAAAGCGGTGGAGGACTCAAAACTTGCTACTCAAACTATGACAGTGCGCTCGAAAATCTACAAAAGGCGTTGAAAAATATCAAACAAAATGATGGGTTTAGTCTTAACATCAATCTCAGTGCGTCCTTAACGGAATTTGATACGTGCAATGACGCCATGGGTGGTGGTAAGGCTTCGAATGTCTTCGCCAAATCCACAAGTACGTTGCACGAAATGGCTGATAATTGTTTGGCTCTCTCTACCCTCGTCAAACAATAATGATAAAAGCCAGATGTGAATTTTTTAATTTGAACAAGAAAACAAACAAAAAAAGAATGAAAAAATGTTTGATTTTACAGTAGATTTTTCATTTCCTTTTCTGACTCTTGTGTACAGTTTCGGAATGTTTTGAACATTGTGTGATTAAGAGGGTTTTTTCTTGCTTGCTTATTCTGTTTCTTCTCACCGTATAAAGCCCAATATTAGGCCCATATAAAGCCCAATATAGCAAATCTCAGGCCCTTTTGTCATAAGATAAGCAACTGTCACATATGCAGGCATTAATCATCATGTGCATCATGATGATGTATCGGTAATAATGTGTATGGTCCGAACAAAAATGTAATAATCACGCCGCTTTGTGAAACACCTTGTTCAAAAAATGATGACTAATCATAGTCCAATGCCGAATCGTATAGTATATATATAAACATTCGTTAATCATAGTCAAATCGTACAGTATAAATATAAATATTCGTCGGTACTTATTTTAGCTAACTCACAAAAATAAAAGAAGATGTAACCTCGTGGAAGAAAAAGCTGAGCATGGGACGGCTTTAGACAGCATCATTGCTCGTACATCAAATTGTTGTATCCTACTTTTGCTTCAATATTCCTCTTTTTCTTTCACTTTTTTCACATTCTCCTTCTGTCTTCTTTTAGTTAAAAAGAAAGTAGACTATAATAGAACAGATTAAATGCTATCCAATTTTCAGTATTTATATTCGTTCACACAGAAATGGAAATGGTGTAGTGGAATTTATGATGAGAAAATCGGCCATGTTGAATTATATGCCTAGTTTTCTGGAGTATGAGAACGACAATATATCATGTTATAAACACTTTTTGTTTTGATAGGAAATTTTTGAATCTGCATTGATTATTGGAGTAACTCAGTTTGTTTCTCTAAACTTCTGCTCAAAGCTGAATCCTACGTCTACATTTATATAGCTAGTTAGAGCCAAATATTACGTCAAGAACTGGTAAGCATAAATGCTAGTGTGAACAGATAATTATGTAGTCTCGGATTAGTGGTCTACTAATGCAAATGTGTGGTGATTCATTTTTCAATTAGTGGTCGCAATAATTCTCCCTCATGAGTCATGATTCAAAGATTCACATATATAATATTATAATACTGCTCCTATGAGCCACCAAAGCTATTGCCCTTTGATGCCATTCTTTTTATTGACAGGAATCAAATTCCCCGCTTTATATAAGACCCTTCCTTATACATTCTTCAATGTTTGAATTAATTTCCTTAATATTTTATCTTCTTACATTTTCTCATTTTGTTCGATCATACCGTATATATGCATAATGCATGGATATTAAACTAAGATGGAATTGTTATAGCCACATGATCTGGTATATATGGATCGGATTCTTCATACTTTCTATGCTACAAGTACGTCTGTATGCGTCTTTACGTACGTATTCATGTATACGTGCACGCATGCGTATGGCCCCAACCATTAAACCCTTTGGGATCCATATACAAAAAATTTGCATCTGCCAAAAGGATGTGTTTAGAAGTGAATTCACAATTCAGACAAAGATGGGGGAAAACTTTATATCCTTTTCTACTTTGGGTTGAAAACGTAAAGCGAGTTGGATCTAACTGTATTATCCAAAATAAATGAGAATTGTCTTCTTGAGGTTAATTAGCTATTATTAACATCATGTTGTGCCATTGTGCCAAACTCAGTCATAACTTTTATTTTTCTCTCAATCATAAGTTCTCTCTGGCAACTCTGCTTCTGTTATGACTTATGAGTATAATTAATCAAAAGCCAAAAGAAAACAGTATGGTATAAGACTAAAATCTCAAAAGAGACAAAAATTTATATGCCATAGTGATGTTTGAAAGAAATGGAAAAACAAAAAAATTGAGAGGGGAAAAGCTAGAGGAGAGCGATGAACCATTAAGATTAAATGGACTAACAAACGAAACGATCATCAATGTGTATGTGTCCCTACGAGGACCGCACCCACTTAATTCCCCAACTTCAATACCTATTGACCCTCTTTTCTTATAATGACCCACTTATAATTATTATCGTATATTGTAGTTGCAAGATTGTGAAATGTTTTATATTTTCTATATACGAAGAATAACCTGGTCAAGACTCAATATATATATATATATATATAGATTCAAGTAAGTATAGTATGCATAATGGCATGCTTGGTTAAATCAATCCTCCATTTTGAGAGACAATATGATTATACTTTAAAAAATAGACACTCTCGAGTCTCGACAATCAAATGTCACAACTCGTACTATGCTATTGTAATGTTTTTCAATCAATAAACTTGCTTTGTTTTCCGCAAATATATAGTTTTATTTGATTTATATCACCGGTTGGTGTTGAGCCTAACAAATAATATGCATTATTTACTAATAGTCTAATACTAGTAGTTTGTGGTATATTCTTTTTCCAGCTTGGAGAGAAGATTAATTAAGCATATTTTGGTCTCTGATTAAAGAGATTACGTACCGTAAACTCAAGACTTCTATAATTAAAAGAAAAAATCACCATATTTGTTTGTTAGAAATTCCAAGAGATTCCATAACAAAACATTTCATTATCCTACAAGCAACATTGTGGAATAAATATTGTAACATGGAACATAAATTTAACTTGTACAGTACTCTACATAAACGGTAAAAAACAAAAAGGGCTTGGAAAAAGAGAGTAACACCAGAAAGCAAAGAGCTTTGAAGAAACCCAAATTCAAAGGTACTCAATTTCATCTGACTAGCTCTGACCCCATTTCTTCAAACCAAAGAATGATCACACCAAATCCAAAAATCTCCCTATAAATTACCCTTCTCACATATATATAAAGTTTACTTCTCTTATCTCTCTTTCCTCTTTTATCATTTAGGGAGTACTTCTTAAACTTTCTAGATATCTGCAAAACCCTTAATTTGAATTCCTCATTAACCCATGTATTTATATTACCTTATGTAACCCACATGCCCAAAACTTTAGCAACACACAACCCTAATAAATTTTTGTTGGAGGATCGATGAGTTAAATCATTCTTTATTGTTTTTGATCTTCTCAGTGTGTTTCTTAGAGAAAGTGATTATGTGTTTAATAGGTTTGTTGGGAGATGTGTCAGTAACATCAAGAAGACGAACAACAATTCAAAACCGTATTAAATGTTGTCTTTTTGATCACTCAAGAAGAAAACAACAAGACAGCAGATGTTTTCATCATTCTTCACACCAAGTTTCGTCCAAGTCTGATTCGATGTTCTCCTCTAGCTTTCTCAGATTGATTCTTTTACTCTGTCTCCTCTCTTCTTCCTTCTCCTCCACCGCTTCTTCCTCCAATTCCACTGCTGCTGATCAAACTCTCCGGCCACAAGAAGAGCTCCAGAAGCTAAAACTGATTAGACAAGAGCTCGACAAGATCAACAAGCCGGCTGTGAAAACTATTCAGGCAATTTCTCTATTCATTGTTGTCAATTTGATTAATGTATATTATACAGATCTCCTTGTTGACTTTATAACTCTGTTTTTGCTCTGTTTTTTGCTCTGTTTTGTTGGTCAACTGACATGCAAGTTTATACTATGTTCTTACTCTGTTTTTTGCTCTGTTTTCTTCTTTATGTTACGTATGCAGAGCCCAGATGGAGATGTAATAGATTGTGTTTCTACTCATCAACAACCAGCTTTCGATCATCCTCTCTTACAAGGACAGAGACCAATGGTAAATTTACTTTCCCTCTTCCTTCTCCATTTTTTTCTTCTTCCATAAGTATCTTATCAAAGGTTACAAATTTTCTTGTGTTAGGATCCGCCTGAGATCCCCGAAGGTTATAACAAAGATGATGAGTCGTATGAAGAAGATTCCCAGCTGTGGAGTTTATCCGGTGAGTCTTGTCCGGAAGGTACTATTCCGATAAGAAGAACAACGGAACAAGACATGTTAAGAGCAAGTTCTATCAGTAGATTTGGTCGGAAAATCAGGCGCGTGAGGAGAGATTCCACTAATAACGGACACGAAGTAAGTACCATTTTAATACCATAATTAAGCAAAAAGTCAGAGGTTTCTTACTTTTTTTTATCCTCTATAAAGAAAAAGTTATAGAATGATACCAAAAATCAGCTTTTTCGTAATTTTTTGCACGACCATAACACTTACTAGTTGTATCATCCAAAGGAGTGAAGCGTGACATAACTAAGAATTATTCTCTGTTCACATCGTAAAAAAAGATTATTCTCTGTTCCTTTTTCTCTTTTTCTGTGTTTACGAAAATGATACTCCAAATTTAGCGTTTGAGAATTTATTTGATTGATCATTTTTAAAAAATGAAATATTTTGTAGCATGCGGTGGGATATGTAACGGGGAGACAATACTACGGAGCAAAAGCAAGTATTAACGTGTGGTCGCCACGTGTTACGAGCCAATACGAATTTAGTCTTTCTCAGATTTGGGTTATTGCCGGTTCGTTCACACACGATCTTAATACTATCGAAGCCGGTTGGCAAATTAGCCCAGAGTTGTACGGCGATACTTACCCAAGATTCTTTACCTATTGGACGGTAAATGTTGCCTCCAACTTTAGTATCCTTACTTAGTTTATGGTAAAGTTTTTAGTTTTATTGAATTAACATTTTGTTAACAATGGTAGTGATAGTGATTTTCAGTCCGATGCGTATCGAACAACGGGTTGCTACAATTTGTTGTGTTCCGGTTTCGTTCAAACCAACCGTCGAATCGCGATAGGAGCTGCGATTTCTCCTAGATCTTCGTATAAAGGTGGACAATTCGATATAAGCTTGTTAATTGGAAGGTAACTTTCTTCATCTCTCTCCACATACATATTTTTGCATATCATCAATGAAAAAAGTACTAACAATATTTGACCAAATACTATAACTATAATAATTCAGTTGTATTCTGCAAAAAGATTACCAGTCACATTCCTTTTATAATTCTTTAGATGAATTTTACATGGTTCACATCAATGTTTCGTGAGTCAACCCAGCTCCTGTATATAGAAAATGTGTCTCCATAAAGTCTTAACTAATTTGAATTTGTTTTAGTCATAACAATAACATTATGCATGCTTGTATAATCTACGTATAGGATCCAAAGCACGGTCACTGGTGGCTACAATTTGGGTCAGGTGCGTTAGTCGGATATTGGCCTGCGTTTCTATTCACGCATCTAAAGCAACATGGGAGCATGGTCCAATTCGGTGGCGAGATTGTGAACAACCGACCCGGTGGTTCACACACTACGACCCAAATGGGAAGTGGTCATTTTGCCGGTGAAGGTTTTGGTAAAGCATCTTATTTCCGGAATCTCCAAATCGTTGATTGGGACAATACTCTGATTCCCGTTTCGAATCTAAAGATTCTCGCAGACCATCCCAATTGTTATGATATAAGAGGTGGGACGAATCGTGTGTGGGGTAACTATTTTTATTATGGAGGTCCAGGAAAAAACCCTAGATGTCCATGAAGTATCAAGAAAACAAAAGAAAAAAAGGTTATTGATTATTATTCTTACATGTAGTGCAAATGAATTTTGGGATTAAGGGAGATTAGGAATTTACATTGCCGCTAGGTGTTTTGCAAATATCATGTAGATGAGTTTATTTTACCACAACAATATCACCACGAGCGAACAAAATCTTTTTTTTTTTTTTTAATTTTGTTAAAAATGATCAGTATAAAGTTTGGTAGTGTTATACTTGTTCTTTACTTTTTTTCTTTGTTGTTTTTGAATGTATGATGGCATTACGGGTTTTGTAATGTTTATATTGATTAGTGTTGATTAGTGTTACCAATGTGAGATCGAGAATCGTGTTGCTATGTTATGTCGTATATGGCTCTGAAGTTTCTTTGTTTTCGATATAGAGTTAAATGCAGAATTAAAATTGTCAGATTCATCATTCGTGGACCAAAAGATTGTTCTATGGAAACACTATCATAATTGGTTGTAGCAGAGACCTCATAATTAATTGGGTTTGGCTGTAAATTCTGACGATTAGATTGAACATTCACAACTGTCCATTTATTGAATAATTTGAAGTATTAAGCAAAAAGAAAATTAGAGGTGGTGATTTATTTACGTGGGACCATAAATTAAAATGCAAATTTAATGGTCTTCATTAATCGCCCCACGTGCTTTCTTTTATTACTTTCGATAGAACACATTTCACCAAATTCCTAGAATTAATTGACCAGTTCCATAACATTTTTATTCCCTTAAAAGTGTTTTCTTTATTTTAACTTGATTATACTTATTTGATTGTAACAGAGTAACAGTTGGTCCAATTTTCAGTTCCAGTTGTTTTTACCATTTTCGTAATGCACCATGTTTTAATTCGTTTATAACATGGGCACTCAAATGCTATTTAAAGCAATCTATCAAGGTTGGATTATACAAGAGATAATCACATATTCACATCTCAAGTTAATTTTAAAATGGCATAAATAAGCTTCAAAACTCTTTAAAAGCTAAATAATAATCGTAACATTATTCAGATAGGGTGTGTTAAACAAGTGTTAAAAATTCTTTATCCAAAAAAGTGTTGAAAACATATACCTATCAGGTTATCACCTATTTATTTTGTTTCTTGTTTTGTTTATGCATGAAAGAATACGGGCCTAAGTTAGGCCCAATAGTTGTAGGAGAAAACATGAGATCAGACTATTAGATATACGGCCTTGGCCTGTTTATGAGTAGCACATTTATGCAATTGGCAATTAGTTAAATACAAAAGGGACATCAATCTCATAACTTTGATTAAAATGCACAAATATTGGTTGTTTTGTACCAATGGTGGGATTGTGGGAACGGGTTTAGTTCGGCTTGCAGGATTCAGCCGGTTTCGACATCTCTAAAACACATTTGTTTTAATAAATTTATGGTTTATTTGATTTGGTTCGATGATATATTAACGTAGTTTCGATTCGATCTTGGGTTCAAATTTGTTTACAGTAATAATAAAAAAAAACAAATATGATTTTTAGTTTATGTATATCGTTTTACTCAGGGTTGTAGTTTTTCTTGTTACAATTGTTTTGTTCATCTTTGATAATGAATTTAGGTGGTTTAGAAAATCGATAAGTTTAAAAATAAATCTAAGTTATGGTCGTAACCAATCCGTATGAAATAGAGTGAAAATGTGATTTGTATTTCTGTTAGATTAGCATTGACACTTTTCATTAATAAAAAGATAAAACGACGACAAGCAACAAGAACAACGGCGAGTGAAGTGGAAGCGTGAAGCATGCAAACCGACTCATCATGTTCTTTGTCCTTTACTCTCCACCGTTTCAACTACGTAGGCTCGCCATTTGGCAAACACTCTAGGAGAATATATTTATTATGTATTTATACTAATATTAAAAAAATGATTAAGGAGGAGGACTTAAAATGAAGACGAAACTGTGATTAGCACTAGAGTCGACAATTTTAAAGTCAACCTAATTAAATACTACTAGAGTACTAGTAGCTTTCCTCTTCATTCAATTATAGTAGGGCATAATAATCATATCGAACCTTTCCACGTGATATCACGACCCTTCAAAAAGACCTACCTTAAACAGTTAAAACTCGTAATTGTTTAAAACAAATTAGTTGATGAATTTTAGTGTTATTTGCACACTTTTCCAAATTTGTTTTATTCGCGATTAGATGTAACAATGGTTTTGTTATTAAAATAGTATCTCGTCAATAAAGCATTCCTTGACAAAATCATGAGTATGTATATATGTTAACAGTTAATTTCCATAAATGAAATGAATTTTAGAAGAAAAGAAAAACATTGACATAGCCTCTCCTTTTTGTCAACCATTGACAAAACCTTTTAGATAGTTTTTCTTACAGAGTAATAAATACAGTAGATTTTGCATCACTTTAGACGCAGTTTCTACAAATGTATGGTAACAATTAGGTTTATTATAGTTTCTTAAGATGATCAACAATATCAAATTCTATATTGTGTAATTACATAACTTTATTGGTAACTTTTCAATCTTTTTTGTCATTGGTAGTAAAGTTTTTAATATTATTAATACATTGTGTTCGATTTATAGATACGCATTGTTTTGTGGAGAGCAAAACTCAACCATAACAATTACTATGATTTGTTTTGAGAAAATGTAAAGTGGTGTATATATATCAAAAAATTATCATTGGATGCATAGTCATCATCATTGTGCGGGACTCTTTGACTCTTTGTGCGTATATATCAATACTTGGTCCCCGGAACTAGAATGATTTATTGATTATGGATCAAACGACTTGAATCCTCATTACGTAAAATAAAATTAGCCACATAAGATGTAATTCAGCTTAGACGGATACATAATTGGGTAGAGCGTCTCTCACGTCCACCTACTTTTGTTTCTTGGAAATGAATCGATAAAATTTCATGGAGTAGTTTTTATACAATTTCGATGGACTAATATTCTCCAAATCGAGGGTATATGAATAGAGATAGTGTTCAAATAGGTCCATCTAGGAAAATGATGTGTGATGATGAAGTGCTATGGGGATGGAGAATTAATTGTTTAAATTGAATGGCTTGTGACTTCATCATTTCCTCCAATCTCCTACGCATTCCAACTTGGTGGTCTCAATACTCTTTTTATTAAAATTAAAAGAAAATCCACTACGTTGTTAAATGTTAGTGTTAATGGTTTTTCATGAAAAAAATATCCCAACTGCCGATGAATTGAATCATATTCAAATAAGTATATCCAGTGATATCTGACCAAATAATTTATAAAAAAAAATAGCATCTACAGAATCAGAAAAACAAAAGTCACAGAAAAAATTAATGTTTATGGCAATTTTTTTTTAATAACAATGAATAGAGAAACGAAAATAGTTCGAAGAAAAGCAACAGTGAATTTTTTTCAAATATGGAAAATTTATATGAAAATAAATTATTTAGTTTGCATGTTAAAATTTAATGTGACTTCAGTAAATATTGATGTTTAAAAAGTTTTATATATTTTAGCACTGTTCAATAGATTTTGGAGTATGTATATAGGTGAACTATTTATCATCATCCTCAATTCCTCATGTTCTATGTGGTTAATTGGTTTGGTGTGAACTGTTCGGTTAGCACTCGAATAAAACACCATTAAAACAAGTGTATCTAATAATTAAAGATAATGATGACTTTTTAACGTAGTATATGTTTATAACATTATAACTTTTATAATGTGGTTCAAAAGATAAGTATATCATGTCCTATAACGTTTTATTTTCCTCTAGCTAGTCGAAACATTAGTTATTTCCTTGCTTTTTATCTTGAAAGGCTCTCAAATGCTATTGACTCGAAATTTCGGTCACTGAAAGATCTTATGTGGACTCAATACTATCACGGTTTGATTAGTCACTCCATAACTAAACAAAATTTGTCTCCAACATTATCATTTATGTTAGATAAACAGCATTCAACGTTTAAGATTTTACAATGGATCGTTGACATTAATTGCACTATGATTTGAGGATGCATCAAGCTCAAAGTTGGTTTGCAAGAAGCCAAGAAGTAAAATGTTGTTTGAAATCTTGAGCATTAACTACCCTCGGATTTTCTTCACTGATGTTCATTCAATGTATAGGAAAGAATAAACCAACGAATATAAAGAAAAAATCCTACAAGATTTACTCTCGCCCACTAAACAATAAATGAAGCTGATTTTGAAAATGAAATTCCGGGAAAAGAATCAATTTTGAAAGAGAAAAAGATGATATTTTTTTCCAAAACGTAACGTTCCTAAAATTAATTAAGTTTGTAGTTAAAGTGAATATATTAAATAGATTTGGTAACTTAGTTATTTCAAAGTATACCACATCTCACCGTGGGTGAATTTACTGGAGCAGAAATTGACAAATCAACCATCACTAGAAGAGTTCTCGAAGGTTAAAGGCACTAATGTTTTTACCGGCTGTTTTTTGTTAAATGGATTGTTATTTGTTGATCTGGTAGGAACACCATAGTCGATATCGTAGATAAAACCTCTACGCTAAAAGACACTAGATAAAGGTTCTTGACCATGTCAAAGATGTCGCATAGTATTGAATTTATACTTAAATCCATTTCATATAAAAAATGTTAGCAAATACTAAAATTTTCATTATAAACAGTGTTTTAAAATTTTAATGCAAAAAACATTAGTTTGTTTCCTAGAAATAGTTAAAATACTGTTTATAATAAAAAAATTTAATAAATTTTATAAGCACAAAACATAAATTTAATTACAAATTTTTAGAAAACATTTTAGAATGTCGGCCCCAAACTTTCGGTTAAACTACTAAAAATATAGAAAAAAGAAATCCTACAATCAAATCATATTTTGTGTTTCTCAAAAACTTTTAGATAGTTTGAAATTTATTAAATATGCATTTGTTTTAATCTATTCTTAAGATTTACGAAAACGACAACCGAGTGTTTTTCCGTATCCTGGTAGCGAGGAAAAGGTTGTTTAGCATGCGACAAAATTTATAAGAACAAATAGAATTTTAAAAAAGGATGAGAATGTCGGGCATTTTAAGAATGCGAACATCATATTAAT